GAGAATATAATTTGTGCGTTGAGCTTACTTAAAAGGTCACGACCAAGGAGAGGGTTTGGACACTCTTCCATGTACAGGAAGCTGTGCTGGAGCTGTGTGGTGCCCGGCCGGCACTCCAAAGGTTGCAGGAAGGGTGTCTGTTGTGACTTCCCTGTAACCCCAATGACTGCTGCAGTCTTTTTGCTCATTTTAGTTAATTTCGAATTCAAAACTGAGTATGTTGCTCCAGTGTCCACCAAGAAATCAATCAGGCGATCCCCCACAGCGAGGGTTACCCGGGGCTCCGAGGGGGTTATTTTGATGGGTTTAAGATCTAGTGGAACCCCTGGGCACCCCTATTCTTCATCTGAACCTTCTCCATGAACTATCATTTGTCTCCTTTCCTCCACACTTGGCTCCCGATTCCTTCTACTCTGTCTATATTCCCTCCTATCTTCACCTGAGGCTCTACCCTGTGCTATCACTGGTCTCCTGTCCTCTGTGCTGGGCTCTCGATTCCTTCCCCGTCCGTATTCCCTGTCATCATCTGAGCCTCTAGTCTGTGCTGACATCTGTCTTCTTTCCTCTCTCCTTGGTTCCTGGTTCTGTGTACTCCTCCTATATTCCCTCCTGTAACCCCTGCGTGAATCATCCTGTCGTGGTGTCCTCGGTCTTCTATCCTGCCCTCTGGAATTACTGCGTCTGCCTCTGCCCTGTAACCTGGGACAACTGTCCTTCCAATGTCCCTCTTCCCTACAGAAAGCACACTGGTCTCTTCCTAGGGGTTCACGTCTCTGTCCATTACTGTTTTCCCGATACCCTGGCCTGTGCTCTCTTTGTACAAAAACAGTCGCAGGTTTCAGTCTCCTGTCCTCTCTCCTGTCCTCTCTATTATTATAAACCTTAAATGCTAAGTCCACTACCTGGGACGGACTCATCTCTGTGACGCCGTCTATCTTTGCTAACTTTCTCCTTCTGTCTGGAGCACTATTTGTGATGAACGCCACAGTGAGCACATGAGCATTTTCTGGGGCATCTGGATTTAAATCCGTGTGGTCTGTATACGTCTGAATAATCCTCTCAAGGAATTCTGATGGATCCTCATTAGCCCCTTGTGTAAGTTCCAATATTTTGTTAAAATTTTTTTGTTTGGGGATTCCCTGCTCCAGTCCTGCCAATAAACATTTTTTGTAGAGATCCAACTTCGCCAGTCCTCCATTGTTGGGGTCCCATTGAGGATCTAACTCTGGGACAGCCATCTCTGGCTCTGGGTTTTGGCTATCCTGTTGGTGGAGACGTGCAGCCTCTTCCCTGGCTTTCCTCACTACTATCCTCTGCTCATCTAGACCTAGTAAAACATGTAGCATCATCTGTATATCTGCCCAGTTAGGGCGGTGGGAGAGAAAAACGGAGGCAAACAAGTTTGCCATCCTCTTAGGAGCCTGCCGGTACGGGGGAACAGAGTTCCTCCAAGTTAGGAGGTCCCCGGTGCTAAAAGGATGGTGCGACCAAAAGTACCCAGCAGGTTTCCCCTCTTCATTCACGCCACCTATCGGCAGCTGGCGAAGAGGAAACTGTCCTGCCACAGAGCGGTCGTTACTGCCAAAATGGGTGCCGCTCCTAGTGTGGGGAGGAGACACCACGATAACTACCTCCCTGGAGGGCAATGGAGGCTGTGAAGCCTCAGGAATCTGTGCGGGAGGGGCCTCGGGAGGGGCCTGGTCACGTGGTGAAGGCCCTTGTCCTGAAGCCTCAGGAGTCTGTGCGGGAGGGGCCACTTCACGTGGAGAAGGCCTTAGTCCCGAGGAGTTCAAGGTATTTAGCATATGAATCTCTTTCTGTTCTTCTAAGTCTGCCCTACTGCAGTCCTCATGGGAAGGAGAACATTTATCTCTTCTCTGCACCATTATTCTAGCCTTTTTCTGCGTCATATCCCATTCATGGAGGGCGGCCTGTATCTGGTCCTGCACACTTTTAAAGGCGGACTCAAAAACGTTACGATTTTCGTCCCTCACACTGCCAATAGCTGAATCAAAAGCCTGATTTTGTCGTTGCACTTGATCCTGCATGCTTTGAAAAGCTGACTCAAAAGGCTGATTTTGTCGTTGCACTTGATGCTGCACGCTTTGAAAAGCTGACTCAAAAGTCTGATTTTGTCGTTGCACTTGATGCTGCACGCTTCGAAAAGCTGACTCAAAAGCCTGATTTTGTTGTTTCATCGCTAAGTTAAGAGCTTGGATTTGTTGCAGCACATTCTCAGTATGTGAATTACAACCACTACTTCTCATAGAAACAAAAATGTAGCACATGGCGCCTATGCACATTACCAAAAAAACACCTAGAAGCACAGACTGCAAAGGGATGGCTTGGAAACCATTCACATATGTATACAGAATTAAAATCACGTGCCATAAGCTAGGTCTAATCCAATTATTTACACTTATCAAACTGGTGGTAATATTTAATGGAAAAAGGCTACTTAAATTCAAGGCCGGAAAAAAACTGAAAGAACTCAAGTTAGGGATTAAACTGCTGAAGTTCATGGTTGAGGCCGCGTTTGGGTCAAAACCACACCCACAACGGCCGTATGCGCGGGGGGAAAAAAAAAACTTTTCAAGACGTGAAACAAAGAGTTTCACTGCGAGTCCTGCAGACCTAATGCGCTTTTATGGTGACCAACGCAAGAAAAATTACTTTGGGCTGGTCAACCACGGGTGAAACGCAAACCACGTTTGGGCGCCAAGCTGTTATAGAGCAACCCCGATATTAAACGGGTTCCTGGCTGTGGGTCCTCACCCGCGCGCTTTAAAGGGACTTATGAATACTCTACTACAGACACACACAAAAGGGTTAATAAAAGGTTTATTTACAAGAGAAAAGGAAATAAGGAAAATGTACAACTCAGGGAGAAAATAGGGAAATAAAGTCTTTCATGCGTCCTACCCGATCCGCCGACCTGGAAACCCCAAAGTCACTCTCAGAGCTGACCGGACGCTGCTGCTGGCCAAGAGCCCAAAAAATGGAGAGCGCCCCAAAGCCCACATGTCTGCCTTTTGTATCCACCTGGCTGCTGAACCCCACCCTCAGGTCCCAGCCACCTTCCCTTGGGTGGTGATGGGATTTGGAGTTCCCAGTGTCTTTGGCTTTGACCTGGGGTGGGGGTGGAGTCCACAAAGCCTATATGGAATTTGCTTTGGGACAGCCTTTTCCCCCTAACAGTTATGTTGAGTAAGCTTAGGAAGGACTCAAAAAAATCAGATTATAAGTGTACCCAGCCAGTTTAACCTCATGTTTTCAACAGGTAACTGTACGTGGAATGAAGGCATTTTATTTGTAGGTTTGTGTTCAAATATTACCTATAAAGAAAATTTATATTCTATTACATATTTTCTCCAGTGCATTTTATATCTATGTCGTGTTCATTGAATGCTAGACAATAATGTAAAGGTCTTATATGCAGTGGAGGAGAATAAGACAAAAATGTAATAGGCAACATATTTGAACACAGTCTTCTTTTTTTTTTTTTTTTAATTTATTTATTTATACAAGCACTGGGTACAGTCAGAAGTGTGGGAGGATGAGAGAATTCACCAGAGCCAGAGCGGGGAGCAGAACAGGCAGAAGGAGCAAGGTACACTGCTGAGGGGAGCAGCGGGCGGCAGGAGAGGTCTGCACGCCATGTGGGACCCTCCTCCGGTGGCCGGGGAGCAGCCGGGGATCGAACCGGCGCTGCAGAGGCTGTGGGCAGCTTCGCAACCCAGCGCTCAACCGCTGCGCCACTGGGAAGGCCCTGAACACAGTTTTCTAAGAACATATATCAATAGTCATTTGGCTTAGAATACTTTTATACATGATTAACCTTAAAATTGTAGATTAAGCTACAATGAGAAACAACCATACACCACTCTGATGAAAATTATTAGAATGAGAAAATACTAAATATGGACTCAGTTTCGTCAACTCGGTGTTCAGTGTCTCCTGTGATCTATCTTACATTTTTTCATCCTCCAGGGATACTTCCCCAGAATTATTGAGCACTGCAAATCACTAGTATGCACTCTAAAATTTGAAACTTTGTTTCAGTAATAACATCTTTTCCTACTGTTGCACATTCCTGACCATCATGGGACAAAGACCCCTTCCCAGCTAGGGGATGAGATGGTGGTGGTCAGATAGCTCCTTTGCACAAAAGTCACTGGCTGAGATTCCCGTTGCCATCTCATGTCCAAAGAGAGTTTCATCATTTCTGCATTTGTGATAGATTCCTAAAGGGATTGAATGTAATTGTTACTGAGTGAGAAATCTTATGTGGCTAAACAGCATTGGTTCATGAGTATACTCACAATCAGTGAGAGCAGGACTGGCAGAAATTCCCCTGCTTGGGAGTGTTCTAAACATCCCCCCTTATGTTTTAAGGGAAAATTGACGAAGAACGCTCACTGCATGGATTTGTGCAACAAGAAAACGTCTATTCCTGCAGGTGCAATTTGTCTGACTGAGATGCACATTTGATTTGTAGCCTTGAAAAAAATTGAAATAGTTGTAATCTTGGAAGTATCCTAGGCTGCTGTGGAGCCTAAAATAATGTGTCTAATACTAAATGATCACCTGCTGACAATATGGGAAGTGACAACTTTCCCGTTAGGAGAAGGCCGGTGCCCTCCAGCGAAGATTAGAGCCGATCCTCAGTTCGCAGTGTGGACAGATGCTTCATTCACGAGGGTCAGCGACAGGGCCCCCCCCGCGGCATTGTGGCAGCCGCTGAGGAAACTACACTACCCAGAGGGCGCTGCGCCAGCCTGGGCGGACGTGAGTCCTTCGCGCGCCGGGGCGGGACTTCCGGTGCGTCCCCGTGGTGTGCGTCGTGACTCGCCCGGACGCCTGTCTCGTCGGCGGCTCCGGGCGCCGGGCGGGAGTGAGGCCCGACCGGAGGCGCTTCCCGCGGGAAGGCGCCGAGGGGTGGCGACGCCGCGGGACGCGCCAGGCCCGGGCGCCGGCCCCCCGGGGCCCGCGACCCGCAAGATCCGATGGCGGCGGCCGCGCCCAGGGCCCCGGCGCAGGTACGGGCCGGGGGCGGGGCGGACGGAGCCCGGGATCGGGCCCGTCGTGGGTCTGCGGGCCTGAGAGGGCGGGGGCTGCCGGCGCGGCGGCCGGGGACGCGGTCGGTCTGGCGGGAGTCGGGACGGTTCTGACGCCGCCCGCGGGGCGCGGGGAGCCCTACCGGCCGGGGTGCTGGGGAGAGCGCGCCGGCGCGAGGCGCGGGGCCCCGAGGGTGTCCCGCCGGTTTCCTGCCCCGGGCGCGCGGCCGTCGCTGCGGCGGGCGTGGGCTCTGGGGTGAAGAGCGGGTCGGGGATGTCGTGCGCGGCTGAACGGGGCCGCGGCGTTCTCGCTGCGTCTGTGTAACTTGGGAGTGTGAGAAACTCTGTTCGGCCGGCCTGGGTCTGGGATGTGTCAGCGCAGTGAGAGGCACGTCGACGGACAGTGGTCAGGAGTGTGGAAAGCGGGGCTGGGGCGTGGGGACGGCCCTGATGGCGCAAGGGGGTAAGTGTCCACATCTCCTGTGGCGCGGGTTCCATCCCGGGCAGGGAGTGACCCACAGGGCGCAGCAGACCCCTCTGCTGTCTCCCCGCTGCTCCCCTCAGCAATGGATTTCATTGGATCCACCTGTTCTGCTCCCCACTCTGTCTCTGGGGAGTTCTCTCTCCAGAGAGGACCCCTGCACGTCTGGCCTGCACCCCAGCTCTTGTATGCATCAATAAAATAATCTTTAAAAACAATTTAAAAAGGAGTCTGGGAGGGCACAGGGGTTCAGGGTGAGACTTGGGAAGAAGCTTCTCTGTGCACCAGCTGTGGGCCACCTTTAGGAGGCACAGGCAGGCAATGCTGTTCTGGGTGCCAGAGACTGGGATGCGGACCAAGAGGTAACTCTGGCATCGTTGCTGGCTACGGTCACAGGTAATCACAGCTGAGCAAGAGACATGAAGTGGCCATAGAAGAACGTAGTGGTTTGTGGTCCTACTTTGTGAAAGGTTCGGCGCGGTAAAGGAGAGGAGAGCCAGGCTACATTTCTCAAAGGGAGGGAAAGTTTATGGCGCCCTGGGCGGACCTCACAGACCCAAGGTGGGGGTCAGTGAAGCCGCGCACGTTGTCAGGGGGAAGCAGGGTTTTATAGGGTGAGGAGAGGTCAGGAGGGCTCGTTCAGCGGGAAAAGTTTGTAGGGCGCGAAAAGGTTCGTGGGGCAGGTAGGAGTTCTTTGTCTGAGAAGAGACTCGTGGGGGAAGGGGGAAGGCGCACCGCCCGGAAACCTCCAACCTCCAGGCAGGTATCCGCATTCCTGCCCCCCAGGTGGGCTTCCTGGTTGGCTCCTGCATTCCGGCCTCCTGCATGGACCTTTCACTTTGCATGAAGGGGATGTTACTAGGGCTGTGGATTTACCAAATGTCCATTAGGGAGAAGGTGGGCAGTGACTGCTGCAAGGACAACAGGTATTCACATGCATCTGGGAGCTTATGTTGAACCAGGACTAGGGGCAAGTCAGAGGCCTTCAAGCCATTATTTGGTGGCTTCTTCTGGCATTGGGGTCATGGGAGGTTTGGATTTGTATTGCTTCATGTTGAACTTGCTGGTACTCTGCGTCGCATGCTGTGTACATGGCTGAGTCCAGGCAGGTGCCTGCACTCCAGGAGGGGAATATGGCAGCTGTGGGGACTGAAGATGGTATAGAGGAGGAGTCTGTAGAAAGATGTGCACATGCAGAGGACGTGGGAGCCAATGGCCCAGGGCCCTAGAAGTGGAAACTTGGGTTGAAAAACAAGCCCACTGTTGACTGTGTTTGGGAGGTCTGGTATGGGAGGGTCCAGGGAATTGCTTGGCAGGATGGATGGACCAACCCCAGAGCTTTTGATGGTGGCTTTGCCTGCTCTGTCTCTCCCCCACACACACCCTTCTTATTACAGAGTAGTGAACACGGTGATGACTGAGCACCTCAGCACTGATGGTTTTGTTGGCATCAGAGCCTGGACTCTTCTCTGCTGTGGGGAGCTCTGGAGGAAGAGCAACGTGGAGCAGAGGGTTGTCTCAGAGGGGCAAAGTCATGTTTTCTATTTCATTTTTAATTTATTTATTTTTTTTTTTAAGAGGCATGCTTTATTTGTTTGCTGGTTTGTTTGTTTGTTTTGTTTATACATGCACTGGGTACAGTCAGAAGCGCCGGAGGGTGAGAGAATCCACCAGAGCCAGAGGGGGGAGCAGAGCAGGCAGAAGGACCGAGGTACACTGCTGAGGGGAGCAGCGGGCGGCAGGAGAGGTCTGTGCGCCATGTGGGACCCTCCTCCGGTGGCCGGGGAGCAGCCGGGGATCGAACCGGCGCCGCAGAGGCCGCGGGCAGCTTCGCAACCCAGCACTCAACCGCTGCGCCACCGGGGAGGCCCGCAAAGTCATGTTTTCTTCTGTCACCTTCTTGACAGGTCAGTGTGACCTTTGAGGACGTGGCCGTGTACTTCTCCTGGGATGAGTGGCGCCTCCTCAGTCAGGCCCAGAAGGACCTGTACCATGATGTGATGCTGGAGAACTCTGCACTTTTATCCTCCTTGGGTAAGACTCTCCCCCGCCCCAGTGACCTAGACTAGGCTCTGCATTCTCCTTAGACGTCAGACTCTTGTGTCACCCCTTGCCTGCCCTTGTCACCCACTCATTTTGTCCAGATCCATCCTGTCTCTCCCAAGTTTTACTTCTTCCTTTAGTTGACATTTCCTCATTGCTAGGAATTATAGGCCTTGATAATATTTAATGTATATTTCATAGTGAACAGTGTGGTGGTGGGGGGTCGGGTGAAGGATTCAGCAGAGAGAGTGGGGAGCAGAACAGGCAGATCCACTGAAATACACTGCTGAGGGGAGACAGGAGCAGTCTGCCATGCCATGTGGGAAGAGCTCCTTGGCCAGTGATCGAACTCGTTCTGCCAACAGGTTCATAGTGCGGCTATATAATGCCTTATGCCACCAGGGAGGTCCCTCAGTTGTTAATTTTTATTCATTTATTTTTTTAAAGATTTATTTATTTATGCATACAAGAACAGGGGTATAGACCAGAAGTGCAGGGTTTGGGAGGATTCACCAGAGACAGAGTGGGGAACAGAGCAGGCAGTGCAACTGAAATACTTTGCTGAGGGGAGCAGCGGGCAAGTCAGGAGAGGTCTGCTCTGCCATGTGGGTATCTCCCTGGTTGGCAGGGGGATCGAACTCGTGCTGCAGAGGCTGCAGACAGCTTCATGGGTTGCATCTTAACCCCTTGCCCCACCAGGGAGGCTTTTTTTTTTTTTTTTTTTAAAGATTTATTTATTTATACATGCACTGGGTACAGTCAGAAGCGCGGGAGGGTGAGTGAATTCACCAGAGCCAGAGCGGGGAGCAGAGCAGGCAGAAGGACCGAAGGACACTTCTGAGGGGAGCAGCGGGCGGCAGGAGAGGTCTGCTCGCCTTGTGGGACCCTCGCCCTGCAGCCGGGGATCGAACTGGCGCTGCAGAGGCTGCGGGCAGCTTCGCAACCCAGTGCTCAACAGTGTTTACACAATATTCACATCTGAGGTCACTAGATAAAAATGTCCTGCAGGTATCCCTTGGCAGAGGAAGAATTGTGGAATTTGCCTCTCTTCCTGCACTGCACAGTGTCTTGTATCCTTGCCCTGCGATGTCTTCTCCACATTTGTCTGTGGGCGTAGTGAGGCGTGGTTGCTATTTTCCCAACCAGACTCAACTCCTTCATCTGGAAAAGCATCCCACAGACTCATTCTTTTTTTCTTTTTTTTTTTTTTTAAGATTTATTTTTATTTATTTATGCATACAGGAATTGGGGTATAGGCCAGAGGTATATGCAAGACTTACAGAAGACAAAATGGGGAGCAGAACAGGCAGATCTACTGATATACACTGCTGAGGGGAGCAGCGGGCAAGACTGGAGAGGTCTGCTGTGCCATGTGGATTGCTCCTGGTGGGCAGGGGATCGAACTCGTGCTGCAGTGGCTGGCGATAGCTTGATGGCGCTGTCTTTAACCCCTGCGCCACCAGGGAGATCCCCACAGCTTCATTCTTATATGTGACAGGTGAACATGTGATTGAGGTGTCCACTCTCTGTAAAGTCAGCATGTACTTCACAGTGTTCCTCTTTATTCAGGTTGCTGCTGTGGAGAAGAAAACGTGGAGACACCCCATGAAGAAAATGTGTCTGTAGGAATGTCACAGTCCAGGATTTCTAAGCCTGCGTCCCCTGTCCGGAAGACCCACTCTGTTGAGGTGTTTGCTCTGAACTTGAGAGATATTTTCCATAAGAGTGAGTCCCTGGAAATACAGAACAACCAGAAATTGTTCGGGTGTACGGTATGTACAAAGCGATTTTGTTTTGGTACAGACCTCCGGAAGCATCAAAGCCATGCCACAGGAGACACAGTCTTCAGTAGAAATGTGGATATAGCCTCATTTGTGAAGACCTGCAACTTTCGTTTGGCAGGGTCAACCTTCACCTGTGGGGATGCTGGGAAGGACGTCCTGGTGACCTCAGGACATCAACAACAGACCACTCATTCAAGGGAACTTAAAAAAATGACACACTGTGGGCCCACCTTACAGAGCAGAAAAAATCACCTAACCAGAGTAGAATGCAAGAAAATCTTCAGCTCCAAATTCACTGTTGTGCAGGACCAAGGCTTCCACAGTAGAAGAAAATGTTTCGTGTGCAGTCAGTGTGGGAAAACGTTCAGGTACAAATCCTCATTCATCATGCACCAGAGAATCCACACTGGAGAAAGACCTTATGAATGCAGTAAATGTGGCAAGTCTTTCAAGCAAAGAATTCACCTCATTAGGCATTGGAGAGTTCACAGAGGGAAAGGTTCTTATGATTGCATTGAATGTGGGAAATCCTTTAGGAAAAGCTCAGCCCTCAATGCGCATCAAAGAATTCATACTGGGGTGAGACAGTACACGTGTATGAAATGTGGGAAATTCTTTAGCCGAAAATGTATACTCATTTATCGCCAGAAAAGTCATCCTGGAGAAAACTGTTATGTGTGCAGTGAATGTGAAAAAACCTTCAGCCACAGCTCCATGCTCATTCCACGCCGGAAAGTCCACACTGGAGACAAGTCTTATAAATGTAATGAATGTGGGAAATCTTTCACTTCTAGCTATACCCTCCGATACCATCAGAGAGCTAATTCTGGAGAAAGGCCTTATGTGTGCAATGAATGTGGGAAATCTTTTCCCTGTAGTTCTACTTTCCTTGATCATAAAAAGGTTCATAGAATAGGAAGGCCTTATAAGTGCAGTGAATGTGGGAAATCTTTTACCCACAGCTCAAGACTCATTCAACACCAGCGAGTTCACACAGGAGAAAAACCTTATTTGTGTGGTGAATGTGGGAAATCTTTTAGCCAGAGCTCTGCACTTCTTCAACATCAGATAATTCACACAGAAGAAAGGCCTTACGTGTGCAGTGAATGTGGGAAATTATTTACACAAAAATCTTACCTTATTGTACACTTTAGACGACACACAGGAGAACGGCCTTACAGTTGCAGCGAATGTGGGAAATCTTTTATCAGTAGCTCTAGCCTCCGTTATCATCAGATACTTCACACAGGAGAAAGGCCTTATGTATGCAGTGAATGTGGGAAGTCTTTCACTCACAAGGCAGGACTCCAAAGACACCAGCGACTTCACACCAGAGAAACATCTCATGACTGCATGGACTATGGGAAATCCTTGAGGGATAGTTCCCGATTGAATAAAAACCAAAGAGCTCATGGTGAAGAAAGGCCTTATGAGTGTAAGGAGTGTGGCAAATCTTTTACCAGTACCTCCCGACTCCTGTGTCATCATAGAGTTCACACAGGGGAAAGGCCTTATGAGTGCAGTGAATGTGGAAAATGTTTCGCATATTATTCTGTCCTCCGTAATCATCAGAGTGTTCACACAAGAGAAAGACCTTACGAGTGCAGTGAATGTGGGAAATCTTTTAGTCGTAACTCCACATTAATTCGCCATAGAAGAATTCACACCGGAGAACGACCTTTTGATTGCAGTGAATGTGGGAAAACCTTTAAAGAAAGGATTCACCTCATTGTACACCAGAGAGTTCACACAGGAGAAAGGCCTTATGCGTGCAGTGAGTGTGGGAAATCTTTTGCCTGTCGCTCTAGCCTCCGTAGTCACAAGAGCGTTCACACAGGAGAAAGGCCTTATGAATGTAGTGATTGTGGGAAATTTTTTACCCGTATCTCATCATTGAATAAACATAAGAGAATTCACACAAGAGAAAGACCTCATGAGTGCTGTGAATGTGGGAAATTCTTTAAAGAAAAAATTCATCTCAAGCTACACCAGAGGGTTCACAAAGGAGAAAGATCTTAGCGGTGTCGTGAATGTGGGAGAACTTAAAATGTACACATCCAGTGCAAGGTCACGGTCTTAGCATTGGATTAGGGTCGTAGCTTGATGGCAGCAATTGTAGAAAATGCTTTAACGACTCCATTCTAAGAATGCCATACTGTTCACTGTCGGTGATGCCCTTATGAGTATGATGAATGTGGGAAGTCCCTTAGCTAACACTGTCCACACGGTGGAATTCACTGTGGGGGAAATTCTTATACTCACAGTGAATGTTAGAAAGAGGTTAGTCTTATTTCATTTAATATTTCATATAAGGAAAATAAGCCTTGCAGGAATTGAGTTATTTCTATTCCGTGTAGCAACTGTGGTTGGAGATCCTTTGTGAAGGAGCCAACTGCACTTACACCTGATATACCAGGGAAATTCCAGGTATGTGGGAGCTAAGTTCTATTTTTTTTTTTTTTTTTTTTTTTTTTATAGAGGCATGCTTTATTTATTTGTTTGCTGGTTTGTTTGTTTTTTTTTGTTTATACATGCACTGGGTACAGTCAGAAGCGCGGGAGGGTGAGAGAATTCACCAGAGCCAGAGCGGGGAGCAGAGCAGGCAGAAGGACCGAAGGACACTGCTGAGGGGAGCAGCGGGCGGCAGGAGAAGTCTGCACGCCATGTGGGACCCTCCTCCGGTGGCCGGGGAGCAGCCGGGGATCGAACCGGCGCCGCAGAGGCCGCGGGCAGCTTCGCAACCCAGCGCTCAACCGCTGCGCCACCGGGGAGGCCCCTAAGTTCTATTTTTTAATTTCTCCAGGGCCCTTCCCAGATTTGTCTCACTTGCCAATACCATAACAAATGCCATCTAACTTGTAAAAGTGAGCAGGTGAGTCAACCTTGATATTCTCCCATTTGCAGGAGGGATTTGTATAAAGACTGAGCTCCTACATGTTTCTCCTTCTTTGGTGAGTTACACCAATAATTTGACAAATTTTAGGTCTTTAGACACTGCCTGTGATTAAATTTTGTGGAATGCATTTTTTTTTTTTTCAGGGATATTGTCCTTCTCATGACTCCTGATGGCATTTTCCAGCCTTCAAGGCAGTAACTATTGAACAGCCTATTTTTTTAATAAAGTCCTATTGTGAAAGCCTGTATAACTTTGAATTTTAAATTGCTGTATGGTGTTTTGAAAACAACTGGATTCTGTTGACTTGAATGGTGGACAGCTTCCTCTTTGGTTGGTGGACTTTGTGTACCTCTGAGAGAGGTCTGTGGTTGGAGAACACAGGTCTTCATTTTCACCTTGTCCACATTGTTGCCTATGGTCTCCAAGAAAACACTGCAGGACTTTCTGATCCTTGCTTCAGGCTGGATGCTTTTCAATTTTAGACAAGTCTGGTCACCCTGAAAAGTCCCTTGTGGCAGCATGGCTTTTTCCCCTTGTTCACAGGGAATATCCCAGCAATATCAACACTGATGATTAGAATCTGCCCCCATTCCAGTGACAGTGAACCTGCAGGATTTGCTTATTCTCAATCTCAGGACCTCCAGGCATTTTCGGTAGCTGACGTCACTGTCCGGAAAAGTCAAAAATTGTTGTGGCCTCCAGTTACGTCTCTGCCCATTGCTTCCCAGGTAGGTAGACAGGAGTAGAGCAATGGGGGGCCCACAGTGCACAGACGTGGCATCTGTGACCAGCCAGCTCTCCAGTCTACTTGGATGGAAATGTCCCGCATCACTTACAGGTCTTTGGTGCTTGTGAGAGAAGACTGACCCCAGAGAACATGGGGGACATGTGTAGAGGAGTCAGAATCTGATTGCCAAACATAATTTGTCAGAGGGAACACAATTTGTCAAAGCTTTATCGAGATATGATTTACATGCAATAAGCTGCACATGTTGAATGTGTGCAGTGTTTTGTAAGTTATGACAAGTATGAACCTTTCATACCATCATCATATCTGCCACTATATATTTACCTCATGTTTTTAAATATATCTCCGTGCCCTTCACTATCCTTGAAATAACCACTAATTTCCTTTAATATATAACATTGCATTTTTCAACCTATCATCAGTGTTTAGTCTTTTTTGTGATTTCCTTTGTATTTCATATATTTTTGTGATTACTCCTAAGTGGACCTGTCTTTGGACATACAGCATTTGTCCATTGTTTTGTTTCTACACGTGTCTTTTTTTTGGTCTTGCAAAGTTGGTGCAAATGTGCAATTCCTTATATGAATATATGTTTCATTTATCTTTGTCAGTAATTTAGTGTGCTGGTCAGTGTTAACTTTTGAAGAATCTAACTTATGTGAGTTAAAGTGTCCTTATTAGTTCATTACTAGCAGTTTATAGCAATTCCATATCTCTACATCATATCGTACACTTGATCAGTTTATAATTTATGGTTTTCTTTTATTAAGTGTTTCTTTTGCTTTAATTGCCTTTCCTTGAGGATTCTGATGATCAATTTTTTTTGGTAAAAAAGTTCTAATCGTATCTGTTGGTAATTGTTTTATGAACTTAACCAGAATCGTATGTTGGAATTCCACTTGCAATACATGAGCAATATCTTTGTTTGATAATTGCTTCACTACTGAAGAATATATTCTAAGTTTTTGCAGATTTCTTGAGCTTGCACTGTATAATATATGCAATACATTTTAAAGATTAAACTGCTTTGTTATTGTAATGTTTCTTAACTCTAAACATATAATCACACAGTAAAATCTTGCTGTGTAGTGCGTGCTCACCTTCCAAGCCCTGTCGTGCCCACGGGGGACCAGATGGCATTGGGATGGGATATTGTTCAAAGCCCCAGGGAAGGTAAAGGAATGGGCGGTGAACAGACTCCCAGCCCTGGGCCAGGAGAGCCGCTTGGGAAGCCTGGATTCCCATCACTGCAGAGTTAGGGGTGTCCTCGCTGTTGGACAGGTGCGGACTGAGGCCTCCAGGGGAGGTGGGGACAGCAGAGTCGGGCGGCGCCCCGTGGGGTCGTGGGGGTGCTGGGGCTCCTGGGTTGGCTGCGAAGCGCGGGCGATGGCGCACTTTGTCCATGAAAATGCGAGAGACAGTCCCGTCCTTCAGGGACCAACCCCAGCGACGACGGGGCGGCGGAGGAAACGACTCTGTCCGGAGGGCGCTGCGTCCGGCCCTCGCGCGGGAGCCAATCGGCGGGCGCGCTCGTGCTCGCGGGCGCGTCGGGGCGGGACTTCCGGCGCCGTCCTGGGGGCGGGGTTTCGCTTCTGAGGCGGCCGCCGGTTCCGTCGGAGGCTCCGAGCGCCGGGCGGGGCGTGGCCCCGACGGGAGGCGCGTGTCGCGCGGAGACGACCTTGCGGTGGCGACGCCGCCGGGGCCACGCCAGGCCCGGGACCCCCGGCCGCCCCCGCCCGCCTCCCGCGCGCGCCCCGCAAGGCCGATGGCGGCGGCCGCGCCGGGGCCCCGGCTGAGGTACAGGCGCGCCGGCTCCCGCCGCGGCGTCGGGGGTCCGGTGTGGGGCGCCGCGCGGGGTCCGGGAGGCGCGGGGCCGGGACCCGATCTCTTCGTTCGCTCCTGTTCGCGGCTCTGCGCCCGGACGACGCGGCGCGAGGGCGGCGGCCGCGGCCGGGGAGGGAGACCGTTCGCTCTGGCCGGCGCCGCGGCTGCCCGGGTCGGGGCGCGAGGCGGGGCCGACGCGCGGGAGCGGGCGACGCCCGTTGCCACGGAGACGGGGACGCCGCCAGGGTCCAGCGGTGGCGCGGCGGCGGCTCCGCGTGACCCTTGCCCTCCGGGGACGCTCTGCCCCGCGGGCCCGAGCGGTGGGACCCGGCGAGGCTTCTTTGGGTCTCGCGCCTGAGGGAGCCGCCTCGGTGGGGCCTTCCGCGGAGATGCTGAGGAGCCGGGCCGGGAGCCGGGCCAGGAGCGCGTCCCCCGCCCGCGCGGCCGCGAGCCGGGGTGCAGAGGCCGGTCCAGCCAGCTGCCCGGGCGTTCTCGGCCCTCAGGAATCCGCGCGGTGATCCTCAGTCGCACTTGGCGTTGCTGTCCGTGGTGGCGCCCCGTCCGCGGTGGGCCAGACCGTGTGGCCTGGGCCCCGTCCGTGCCTTTGTCCGCCGCGCCGAGCGGGACCTGGAGCAGCTTCCCCGGTAGCTCGCGCTTTCCTTCCCCTGCGCCTGTTCGGTTTGCCCGGTTGTGCGGTCCGGGGTGTTCTGTGTATCTGGGGGGGAGATGCAAAGACAGCACCTTGTGCGATGCTCCGGTTTAGCAGAGGATGACGGAGAGGAGGTCTGTGGCCGCACAGCGACAGCTGCCACACCGCGGGGGGATCAGCTGCGTCCCTGGGTGGCCAGTGTAGCATGGACCGGAGGCCGGGAGGGGCCTGCAAAGCCGCGTCTGGGACTTTGTCTGAGACTGGCATTCAGTAGAGTAAAAGGGCTTGTATTAAAGCTGTTGGAATTTGTCACAAGGCCCAGTCCGCAGCTAGTGAGGGGCCGCATTCCTGGGCGTGGAGATGCCACGCGGGGGTGGGGGGGGTGGGCAAGCTGTGGAGGCAGCTGGCAGCAGAGCGGTGGAGTCTACAGAATAATGAGCTCATAACCAAGACTGTGAGCCCGTGCAGGGCCCTGGAAGTGGGAGCTTTAGGTGAATAGAAAGCCCCCTTGTGATTGTGCCCTGGAGGCGATACTGCAGGTTCCAGTGGAATTGCGTGGCAGGAAGGCTGACACAGTGACCAAGCCTCAGCTGCCCCACATGATAGTGGCGAGGACTGAACATTGTGATGAATGAGAGCCTGAATCCCAGCTGGTTTCATTGACATCACACCCTGGGGCCATCTCTGAACCAGGGAGCTCTAGAGAAAGACAGTTGTTTGCTAGACATCTGACCAGATGGATGGAGTTTTCCATGGTGAGAGAGGTCATCGTTTCTTCTGTCTCCACCTTGATAGGTCTTTGTGACCTTTGAGGACGTGGCCGTGTACTTCTGCTGGGATGAGTGGCGCCTCCTTGATCAGGCCCAGAAGGAGCTGTACCACGATGTGATGCTGGACAACTTGGCACTTTTGTCCTCGCTGGGTAAGACTCTCCCCCTCCTCAGTGACCTGCTAGGCCCTGCATTCACTCGCCCTTTCTACTCAGCAGGTAGCCTGTTCTCAGGTGTAACTGTTGGCACTGTTGGCTCCCCAGCTCTCTGGGTAGGTGCTGTCCTTGGAAAGCTGGGGTTGTAGTTTTTACACTGCCCTGTTCTCTCCATTGAAGCGCCAATACCTGTTTTACTGGTATAAAAACATAAAGAAGTTGGGCCTCCCCTGATGGTGCAGTGGTTGAGCGCCGGGCTGCGAAGCTGCCCGCAGCCTCTGCAGTGCCGGTTCCATCCCAGCCGCTGGCGAGGGTCCCACATGGCACGCAGACCTCTCCTGCTGCGCCCACTTCTCCCCTCAGCAGTGTATTTCATCGGTCTGCCTGTTCTGTTCCCCACTCTGGCTCTGGTGAATTCTCTCACCCTCCCACGCTTCTGACTATACCCAGTGCTTGTATAAATAAATAAATAAATCTTTAAAAAAAAATAAAGAAGTTTATTTTGGTTTTCCTTTTTTTAAAGGTTTGTTTTATTCATGCATGTAAGAACTAGGGTGGGGGACAGAGGTGCAGGAGGTGAGAGGCTTTACCAGAGACAGAGTGGGGAGCAGAACAGGCAGACTGACTGAAATACACTGCTGAGGGGAGCAGCAGGGAGGCAGGAGAGGTCTGCCGCACCATGTGGGTAGCTCCCTGGGCAGGGATTGAATTCGTGCTGCAGTGGCTGCCAACAGCTTCATAGTGCTGATATTTAACGCTTTATGCCACCAGGGAGGCCCCTCAGTAGTTAATTTTTATTGATTTATTTAAAAAAAAAAAGATATATTGGGCCTCCCTGGTGGCACAGCAGATTGAACACAGCGCTGTGAAGCTGTCCGCAGCCTCTGCAGTGCAGGTTTAGTTCCTGGCTGGCCAGGGAGATTCCCACATGGTGCGGCAGACCTCTCCCGTCGTGCCCGCTGCTCCCCTCAGCAGTGTATTTCGGTCCTTCTGCCTGTTTTGCTCTCATCTCTGTCTCTGGTGAATTCTCTCGCCCTCCCGCGCCTCCGGCCTGTACCCTTAAAAAGAGAAAGATTATTTATTTATGCATACAAGAGCTGGGGTACAGGCCAGAGGTATGGAGGGGGGAGGGTGAGAGGATTCACCAGAGACAGAGTGGGGAACAGAACAGGCAGATTGACCAAAGTACACTGCTGAGGGGAGCAGCAAGGAGACAGGAGAGGTCTGCTGCGCCATGTGGGTAGCTCCCTGGTCGGCCGGGCATCTAACTCCTGCTGCAGTGGCTGTGGACATCTTCATAGGTTGCATCTTAACCCCTGCACCACCAGAAGGCCCTGGTTTTGGTTTTATTTTGGTAGTTCTTTGTGATGTAAAGTTAGGTTGGATTTGAGAGTTTTCCTTTTCCTTACTTTAGGCCCTTATTCCTATCAGCTTTAGTCTTTGAACGCCTCTAACTTATTTCATATCTGTTGGCATTTTGTTTGTCTCAAGGTGATTTTGTTTTCCTTTTAATATATTCTTCATCTCACTGGCCATTGAGGAATTTGTTGTTTAAATGTCCATTTTGCCTGCCTTTTGCAGCTTTCTTTTTGTTACTGATGTGTAGTTAAAATGTTTCGTTTGCTAAAGATACTTGCCATGATTTCAGTCTTCTAACTTGTTAAGACATTTTTGTGACCAAAGATATCATCTATCCTGGAGAATATTCTTGTTTACTTTATTTTTTTTTAATAGAGGCATGCTTTATTTATTTATTTATTTAGTTAGTTAGTTAGTTAGTTAGTTAGTTTATATAAGCACTGGGTACAGTCAGAAGCGCGGGAGGGTGAGAGAATTCACCAGAGCCAGAGCGGGGAGCAGAGCAGGCAGAAGGACCGAGGTACACTGCTGAGGGGAGCAGCGGGCGGCAGGAGAGGTCCGCGTGCCATGTGGGACCCTCCTCCGGTGGCCGGGGAGCAGAGATATGGAGGGGGGAGGGTGATTAAACCGGCGTTGCAGAGGCTGCGGGCAGCTTCGCAACCTATTGCTCAACCGCTGGGCCACCGGGGAGGCCCTATTCTTGTTTACTTTAGATGAATGTGCATTGTGATGTAGTGATGGAAAGTTGTGTATATGTTCGTTGGGTGCATTTGGTCTAAAGTATTGCTCAAGTCTAATGTTTCCTTAATGATTTTATTTTCTGGAATATTTCCCCATTGTTGGAAGATAAGGGATATCTATACCATGTGATTTAATTTTGTTGGTGCCTTTTCCAACTTTGAATCTGTTGATTTAGGCACTTGTATACTCACTATTTTATTGTTTTGAGGAATCAAATATTTTTCAATGTCTGTGCTGCCCCCTGTTTATTGTAACAGTCTTTGAGCTAAATAGAAGTCTTTTGTCTGGTATTGGTATAAACTGATCTCTTTTGGTTTTCCTATCCCTGGATTATCTTTTCTGATCCCAAACCTTTTCAGCATATTGTTTCCTTGGAGCTGATGTGAGTGAGCCTCATGTAGGCGACGTTTGATTGCGTCTCTTTTTGCCTCCAAGCCAATCAGCTACTGTAGCTCTTGCATTTGAAAATTTGGTGAATATTTTGAACACTGTCCTCTTGCTAAATATTACATGCCAGATAAATAGTTCCTTTGTTATTTTACTCTTTTCTGGATAAATCTTTATGATTTCTCTGTATTTATAGGCTTACATTTCCTTATCTACTTTAATTTTTTTCCCTTGTGTACCATGAGATTTATATAAACATCTGTAGACCAAAGCAGTGTCTTTTAAGGTGATAACAATGTAAAGTCAATCGTATACAAACACTTTTTTTTTTTAAAGATTTATTTATTTATTTATTCATTTATTTAATTATACAAGCACTGGGTACAGTCAGAAGCGTGGGAGGGTGAGCGAATTCACCAGAGCCAGAGCGGGGAACAGAACAGGCAGACTGACAAAATACACTGCTGAGGGGAGGAGTGGGCAGCAGGAGAGGTCTGCACACCATGTGGGACCCTCACCAGTGGCCGGGGATCGAACAGGCGCTGGAGAGGCTGCAGGCAGGTTTGCAGCCCAGTGCTCAACTGCTGCGCCACCAGGGGAGGTGCATTTTCAGTGTTCTTAATAATCTTTTGTGCTAGAGTAAGTGATTAGCACACTCCCATATGACAGTATTAGCATTTTCTGAATTTGTCTAATAATGTCTCAGCACTGTACTCTATATTTACATTGTTAATAAGAAGTGTCTGTTCATTTGAATAAAAACCTCAGCATTTCTCATAAATAAGTGAGGTGTTTGATGAACTCCCTCTGCTTTTCTTTCATTGGGACAGTATTTACCTCTTAAATTCCAGAGGGACAATGGACTGGATAAGACATTTTTGATCGGCAGTTTTTCTCTTTCTGAGCTTTCAATTTATCGTCTGCTCTCTCTAGGTATGCATGGTTTCTCCTTAGAAATCAGCTTACAGCCTTATGGGATTTCCCTTGTTGGCAATGAGGGTTTTTTTTTTTTTTTTTTTTTTCTATTTCTGATTTTAGAGTTCTCTGTTTTTGAAGGCTTTCTTTTATTTGGTCTTAATGAAGATTTCTTTTAACTGAATCTCAATGGAGGGCCTCCACTGGTGGCGCAAGGGGTTAAGCACAGCACTGTGAAGCTGTCTGCAGCCTCTCCAAGACGAGTTCGATTCCTGGCCCTGGAGCTGACCCACATGGAGTAGTAGATCGCTCCTGTCTCGTCCCCGCTGCTCCCCTCAGCAGTTTATTTCAGTCAGTCTGCCTGTTCTGTTCCTCGATCTGTCTCTGGTGAATTCTCTCACTCCCCACACCTCTGGCCTCTACCCCCTCTTGTGTGCATAAATAAGTCTTTAAAAAAAATAATCTCAATGAAAACTTTGAGAATCTTCTGCCTGGATATTGGCACCTGTCTCCTGACCTCTGAATTTTTGGGCTCTTACTTGTTAGAGCATGCTTTTTGCCATTTTCCTCTCTTTTCCTGTGGCACCCCCATAATGTGATTACTGATTCCCTTGATGGCATTCCATGATTTAGTGTGTCTTTAGTTTTCTACTCTAATTGACCTATAATACCCCAGTTTCAAGGTCACAGATTTTGTACCTGTTTGATCAACTTGACTGTTGATGCTTTCTAGGGCATTTCCATCTTATTATTTTTTGCCTTTTGCTGCAGAAATCATTTTTATTTTTATCTCTGAACTTGGATTTTTTGGTTGTGTTTCCTCTTTTCACTAAATCATCTCTCTTCTCTTCTAGCTTGCTTTCAAGTGCTTGTCTTGAAATCTGTGTCCAACATTCCTTAACTCTCCCTTACTTTAGGTTCACTTGCAAGAAACTTGCTGTGCCCCGAAAAAGTATAATCCCTTGTTTTGTGTGTGTTTTCAGTTTCTATAGGGAAAACCCAGTGCTTCGCTCCTGTCTCTCTTCCTGTCCTAGTTTTATTACCTTCACAGATGAAACAGTTCACTTTTGAATACTCTTTCTCTACATATCACCAAACCATGCAGTGTTCCCCAGGAGCAATGAAGTCATTGTAGCAATGACCCATTGATTGCATCGGGTCCTATAACTAAGGCCTTGTGCCCACAGGAGCATACATTCTCTCTCTCTCTCTCTCTCTCTCTCTCTCACTCACACACACACACACACACACACACACACACAAACTGACACTATAACTGAGCTCTAAACTGTGGGGTCTGCTGTGCTTTTGACCACCTATCCACAGGTTCAGTCATTTCAAATGAACTCTTTCTCGGGTCCAATTAACTTGCTAGAGTGGCTTACAGAACTCCGGGAAACATTGATTTTACATTTACCAGATATTAAAGATGTGACAAAGGTTCGATAGGAACTGTCCAGTGAAGAACACAAGTCAGTGGTCTTGGGAGGTTCTCAACATTGGTGCTTCTGTCATTATGGTGTTGGGTTTTACCGTTCTCACTGTGTGGATGTGTCTCCCTACCTGGGAGCTCCCCCTGCCCCTGTATTGCAATTCTGTGAGTGCCTCTCACTCATCACTATGGTACTCCAGTCCAGCCTCTCCAGTCCTCTGATCATGACGTGGCATTTTTCTTACCAGTTCCCTTTCAGAAGACTATGCAGAGTCACCTCATCAACAATGCTCTGAGTTCTCTCATCTAGGACGTTACAAGGGTCTAGGAGCCCTATCTCAGGAATAGTATCTAAGAGCAAATACTACATAAAGAGATTTTTTTTTAAGATTTATTCATGTATGCATACAAAAGCTGGGGTTCAGGCCAGAGGTGTGGGGGGTGAGAGGATTCACCAGAGACAGAGCAGGGAACAGAAGAGGCAGACGGACAGACGGACCGAAGTACACTGCTGAGGGGAGCAGCGGGTGAGACAGGAGAGGTCTGTCCCGCCATGTGGGTAACTCCCTTGCCAGCCGGGGATGGAACTCGTGCTGCAGAGGCTGTGGATTGCTTCATAGTGTGGTGCTTAACCTCTTGCGCCACCAGGGAGGCCCACTACATAAAGAGATCTTCGTGCTGTCACTATCACTCAGATATTCATAAAGAGCTCTTTGCTGGGAAAAGGCAGCAAAGACTTACATGTTTATGTATGACTTCATGAACATACACATCAATATGTGTAGATATAAATAAATGTATACATGCAAGATTAAATACATACACGTGCATACATTTATATGTCCTAACTGTTCCCCATGGATCCTTGGTGGTTTATTGTTTTTTTTTTTTTTAATTGACAGGTATGTTAGGGCAGGGAGAAGGAAAGAGACAGCCACATGAAGACTGTCTTGGTACAAGAACTGCTTTCTGGTGTTTTTTATTTTTCATGTTTCTGTCCATACATTTCAGTGTTCAGTCTCCTTTTCCATCATTAATTTGCTGGACTTGTAAAGACCCCTTTGAGTTGTTTTTGAGCTTATGAGTGGGTGGTGTTTGCAGCTTTGAATCTGGGGAATCAGCCATGTAACCACCATGTTGCTCTGTCAGTTGAGATCAGGGTTGACAAAATTGTGGAGCCAGCGGTGCAAGGTCAATCCGCAGGTGCTTTTACCCTGAATGTTGGTGACATCCAGATGGTTCCCAGATCAGACCAGAAATGTTGCCCTTTTGATCTTGTGTCCTTCCTCTGGGGAGGATTCCACATCCCTACCTGAAAATCAGCCCCTAGACTCATTCCTACAGTGACATTGCACACGTGATTGTTTTGTTGCCTCCCTATGAAGTCAGGATATACTCTACTAGTGTTTATTTATCATCAGGTTGTTGCTGTCAAGCAGAAGATGCAGAGACACCGTTTGACCAGAGCGTTTCTATAGGATTGTCACGGACTAGGACTCCTATGCCAGCCTCCTGTTCTGCGAAGACCCACTATGTTGACTTGTATAGTCCAGTCTGGAGAGAGAGATTCCACATGCCAGAGCCCCTGGCAACTCAAAAATACCAGGACTTGTTCAGGACTGGGGTATGTATGAAGAGATTTTGTTTCGGTGCAAATCACCAGCAGCATCAAAAACATGAGACGGGAAACACAGACTTCAGATCCAATGTGGATGTGGCCTCACATGTGAAAACCTGCCACTTCCCTGTAGCCGGTCCCCCCTTCTGTGCTGAGGTTGGGGTGGCTGTCTTGGAAAACCTGCAACATCTCAAACAACAGGTCACTTATACAAGGGAAAAAGGAAAAGAAATCACACAGTGTGGGGCAATATTGCAAAACAGAAGAACTCAGCTACCCATGGTAGAATGCAAGGATTCCTTCAACTCCAAAAACATAGTTACGCAGGACCAAGGCTTCCGCAGTGGTAACAAACGTTTCGTGTGCAGTCAGTGCGGGAAAACATTCAGGTACAAATCCTCCTTTATTATGCACCACAGAATCCACACTGGAGAAAGACCTTATGAATGCAGTAAATGTGGCAAGTCTTTCAAACAAAGAATTCACCTCAATACGCATTTGAGAGTTCACAGAGGGAAAGGTTCTTATGACTGCATTGAATGTGGGAAATCCTTTAGGAAAATCTCAGCCCTCAGTGTGCATCAAAGAACTCACAGTGATGTGATACAATATACCTGCATGCAATGTGGGAAATCCTTTAGTCCAAGGTCTATACTCACTCAGTGTCATAAGAGTTCTATTGGAGAAAAATGTTACATGTGCAGCAAATGTGCAGAAACATGTAGCCATAGTACTATGGTCATTCCACACCAGAAAGTTCACACTACAGAGAAATCTTACATGTGTAGGGATTGCGGGAAATCCTTTACTTCTAACTATGCGCTTCGTTATCATCAGAGAACTAATGCTGGAGAAAGACCGTATGAGTGTAGTGAATGTGGGACATGTTTTCCCTGTGGCTCCACTTTCCGTGCCCATAAAAAATTTCATAGAGAAGAGAGGCCTCATAAGTGTAGTGAATGTGGGAAATTTTTTCCCCATACTTTTAGACTCATCCAACACCAGAGAGTTCACACAGGAGAAAGGCCTTACTTGTGCAGTGACTGTGGGAAGTCTTTTACCCAGCGCCATGCACTTCTGCAACATCAGCGCATTCACACCGGAGAAAGACCTTATGTGTGCAGTGAATGTGGGAAGTCTTTTAGCCACAACTGTGTCCTTCTTCAACATCGAAGAGTTCACACAGGAGAAAGGCCTTATGTGTGCAGTGAATGTGGGAAATTGTTTACCTTAAAATCTTGTCTTCTTAAACATAAGAGACTACACACAGGAGAAAGACCGTACAATTGTAGCGAATGTGGAAAATGTTTTATCAGTAACTCTAGCCTCCGTTATCATCAGATTCTTCACACAGGAGAAAGGCCTTACAATTGCAATGAATGTGGAAAATCTTTCATCCACAAATCTGCACTTCATCAACATCTGAGAATTCACACAGGAGAAAGGCCTTATGTGTGCAGTGAGTGTGGGAAATCCTTTACATATAAGGCTGGACTCCAGAGACACCAAAGACGTCACACAAGAGAAATGTCTTACAACTGCAGTGACTCTGGGAAACCCCTTGGGGACAATCCCCCACTGAATAAAGCAGGACGAAGTCACAGTGAAGAAAAGCCTTCAGAGTGTAAGGAATGTGGCAAATCTTTTGACAGTTGTGCCAGACTCTTGTGTCATCAGAGAGTTCACTTAGGGGAAAGGCCTTATGAGTGCAGTGAATGTGGAAAATCTTTTACCTTTTGGTCTCGCCTCTGTGATCATCAGAGTGTTCACACAAGAGAAAAGCCTTACGGGTGTAGTGAATGTGGGAAGTCTTTCAGCAGAAAATCGACACTCAATCGCCATGGGAGAGTTCACACTATATAAACATCTTATCAGTGCAACAAATGTGGCAAATCATTTGCCTGCAGCTCTACCCTTGGATCATAAATGCACGCACACAAGTGGAAGGCCCTGCGAATGTATGGCATGTGGGAAATGTTTTACCCACATCACCTCACTCAGCACAGGAGAGTTCCCACAGAGGAAGATCTCATAAGTGCACTAAATGTGAGGAGCCTCAAAGAAGCGAATTCATGTAAAATTGCACCAGAATTCACTGGAGGGAAAAAGGCCCTGGTTGTGATGCGAATGTGGACATCTTTTAGCAGTGCTCTCTACTCTGTGAGCATGGGGCACTGCACACTCGATCCAGGTTTTAGGGGCGTAGTGAATATGGAAATTGCTGTAATAATTACTCCAGTCTCTTCACATTCAGGAGCCTCCTGGTAGAGAAAGCCCTGATTGTGTAGCAGAAATCATGGAAAGTCCCTTCACTGAAACTTCAGCCTCATGAAACACCATATTGTTCACTCTGGATAATGGTTGGTTTGTTTCAATTTTTTTTTTTCCCTAGAGATTTATTTATTTATGCATAAAAGAACTGGGGTACAGGCCAGTGGTACAGGGGCTGAGAGGGTTCACCAGACACAGAGTGGGGAGGCAGAACAGGCAGATCCACTGAAATCCACTGCTGAAGGGAGCAGTGGGGAGACAGAAGAGTCTGCTGTGCCCTGTGGGTCAGCTCCCTGGCTGGGGATCACACTCATGCTGCAGTGGCTGCGGACAGCTTCATAGTGCTATGACTTAACCCCTTGCGCCTCCAGGGAGGCCCCACTCTGGATAATGGTTTTATGAGTGTGATGAATGTGGGAAATTCTTTAGCCAACACTGTCCTCATTGCACACTGGAGTTTCCATTAAGTGAAAACCTACCACTTGCTATGTATGCGAATACCACAGTTCAGGTCATGTAGGTAATGACTTAATTTTGGTTCAGTATAACACTGGGGAGAGATTTACTGAGCACCTCTTTCATCTACTGAGCATGCAGCTCAGACACCAGGAAGTTCCCAGGCATGTGGTGCCTCCATCATGCTTTCCATTTTGTCCAGGGCCCTACCCAGACTGCAAGTTCCATAACCAGTGCCGCCTGACTGTGACGGGGGCAGGTGATCACCGAGTCTGTCATTGACCAGGTCTAACGTACGGGGCGTCAGCCTTGATGGTCTGTTTTGCTGGAGGGACTTGATGACGCCCAACTCTCATTCCTTTCTCCTTTTCTGTAGTTATGGCACCAGTTTTTGTGGTGTATATACTACTGTGATTAAAATACATGCAGTGTTGTTTTGTTTTTTTTTTTTTTTCCCATGAATAAAGTTCTTCTCTTATCGTTCCTGTGGTGAAATAGTCCATCTTTCTGCCCACCAACCCAGGAGTAGCCTTTGCCTGTTGCTCTGTGATTAAGGCCTTTTGTTTAAACTGCCTTTAATCTTGTGGTTTCAATTTAGTGTAGGGTGTTCCGAAAACATCAGATTTTTCTAACCTAAAGAGGTAAACAGCTTTCTTTTAGATTTCAGGACCTTGTGTACCTCTCAGAACTGCATGGTGGCAGAATATAGTTCTACATTTAGATTTGTTTACATCACTGCCCAAGGTCACCAAGAAATCAGTGCTCGGCTTTTTGGTCCTCCCTGAGGCTGAATGATATTTTATCAGAGTCACAGCACTCTGAGAGTCAGATGTGCCACCTTCAGGTTCCTGAAAGAACAGCATGGATTTTCTCCCCCATGTTCAGTGGGTAACACATAGCAATGTCACCTTGTTGAGGGGACTCCCACAATTCAGGGAAAGATCCATATGCCCAGATATTTTTCATTCCAAGAGGTAGGGTCATTATTGGTAAGACCATGAGGCTCAGTGGAAACTACTGAAATTTTAATTGGGTTTGCCAGGCTGATGGCCCCCTACATAGAATGTGCCCCCTATAAACATGCATCCAGAAGTAATCTCTGAAAGTGACTATGCAAAACCCATTTACACTCAAATCTCAGGACCTTCAGGCGTTGTCAGAGAAAATAACCAAAAGGTATTGTGAATTTCAGTAGCCCACCAGCCATTGCATCTCAGGCAGGTCGACTATGATAAAGGGAGACCTGTCTTCCATAAATGTGGCTTTTGTGACCAACCAGCATTTCTTTCTACTTGGGTGGAAATGTCCCTCATTTTTTAGAGATATTTAGTGCCAGTGAGGGGAGATTTCATGACCCCAGAGGACTTAAGTATACCTTCTGTGGAGGCAGGATAGGGTTGTTAAGCTTACTTTTGAAAGAGTGGAACATGTTGATTTTTTTGAGCCATTTTTAGAAACTTTTGAAGTGTGATAAGTGCCATAAACTGTACCTATGGCAGTGTAGTATTTGATAATAGTTACTATGATCACCATCATTGCAGGATAATGACCATATCAGAAATGATGTATTCGCACCATGTTTTTATTTTTTTTTTAAGATTTATTTATATATACAAGAAGTGGGGTACAGTCCAGAGATGTGGGAGGTGAGAGGATTCACCAGAACAGAGTGGAGAACTGAGCAGGCAGACTGACCGAAATACACTGCTGGAGGAGCAGTGTGTGAGTCAGGAGAGGTCTGCCGCACCCTGTGGGTAGCTCCCTGGCCGGGGATGGAACTCGTGCTGCAGAGACTGCGGACAGCTTCATAGCTTGTGTCTTAACCCCTTGTGCCACCAGGGAGGCCCCTCTCACCATGTTTTTAAATATATCTTCCTTCCCTGACTGCCTACTAGTAACCTTAATATAATTTACCCTTGCCAAACTTAAACGATTGCTATATCAATCTCTGTTTATTCTGATTTCTTTTAGGTTGCATAATTATTTTAAGGTTCATCAAGAATACTCCATGAGAACCTCAGTTTTCTATTTGTCTTTAAATATTCTGTAGTAGTTCATTGCTTTGTTTGTGGACTTAGGGGCTTCCCCCCCCCCACACACAGACAATTTGAACTGTTACCAAGTTTCTTCAAAGCATGTAGATTTCTTTGTATGACAATGTTTATCTTATCTCATCAATTTAGAGTGCAATGTGTTGATCGCAGGCTCAGAATGTTACTTTTGAAGAATCTAACATTGTGATCTCAATGTCCTTTATTGCAGTTTTTACCCATAAGTAAGTTTGTCATGTTGTTTCATTGTTGCTTTATTGCATTGGGCTGTTTTCTCATGTGCATATTTTCAGAATTTTATATGCATAGCTGTATTTTGTTAAATGTGTGATAATGTGTCATGCTTTTATGAATTTAACTATACAAGAACAGAATTTTATGTTGGAATTTCACTCATTTTGGAATACCTGAGCCACATCTTTGTTTGGTGGATTATTCTTTTCAATACTGAGGAATATATTCTTTATTTTCAAACTGTGTGTACCATACCATATAATGCATACATATACCATACATTATTTAGACTAATCTCCTATATAACATACTCTCCATCAGTGTTTTAAATCCAAACATTTAAGAAAACAAAATCTTGCTGTGCAGTATTTGCTCCTTTTCCATGTTTATGGTAGGTGTGTTGGAACAGATGGTGGGATCAGGGCATGTCAAGATTGACTGATACCTACCACAGTCTTTGATACTTAGAAGAAGTTAATGGCTTTCTAGAAATTTTTACTTCTAGACATAATTTGTGTGATAATACGAATTTCTGATACACAAGTTTTGACGATAACTGGAGAGTAATAATCCCCTCCCATTTAGGAAATGAGATGGGTGGGTTCAGATAGCTCCTTTGTACACACTCACACACACTCACACACCCCACTGTAGCCGCCGCGCACACCCCTTGAGAGTTCAGATTTCTAAAGTGATTGACCATAATTGAGGACGTTGAGTAAGAAATCTTAGCCGGGTGCTAATACTGCTTTAGGAGCTGGACACAATCAGAGTATATGCGCTGGAAGGTAAGTTTTCTGCAGAAAGCCAGAGGTAGACATCACTCGTCCTACTTCAGAGCACCTTACTCATCCCTCCTTATCGTCCACGTCTTGATCAGGAGTCACGACGCGCCCGGGCTCCTACCGCAAACACTGAGGCACAAAGACGCTCCAAAGGATGCAGTTTTTCTCTGAGCGTGGGGATGCCGTTTTGATTTGTAGTCTTTGGGAGTAACTGACAGAATCTAATTGGTCCCTGGAGCATTTTCAGTTTCTACAGATACAACATAACGGATCTAATGTCTTAACTGACAGTTTGCAGACAATGGCCTTAGAAGCAAACGTTTCCACGCGGGACGGCGTCCCATGCAGACTGGGAAACTACACTACCCAGAGGGCACTGCGCCCGGCGTGCGGACGGGAGCCAATCAAGCCCCGCCGTCGGGCGCGCTTGCGTGCTCTTGCGCGCGGGGGGCGGGACTTCCGGCGCCATCCCGGTGGCGGCCGTTTTGTTTTTGAGGCGGCTGCACGCTCCGTCGGAGGCGCCGGGCGCGGCGTGAAACCCGACGGGAGGCGCGTCCTCGTGGAGGGGACGGAGAGTCGCGACGCCGCCGAGGCCACGCCAGGGCGGGGCCCCACCCGCCGCAGGCCCGCCCGCGCCCGCACGGCCCGATGGCGGCGGCCGCGCCGAGGGCCCCCGCTGAGGTACAGGCGCGCCCGCTCCCGCCGCGGCGTCCGGGCTGGGGGCGCGGAGGGGGTCGCCCGCGGCGGGGGGCCTTGTCCGAAACGGGCGCCTGCGCTGTTCCACAGGCGACTCCGGACGGCCCGCCCGAGGGCAGGTGACGGCTGCTCAGCCCGGGGCGCTCGCCCTGTGGGGTTCGCGTCGCGGCGGCTCCGCCCCGGCTGGTGGCGTCGGCTGGTGGCGTCCAGGCCGCGCGGTCCCCGAGGTTGCCCGGCTCCGGCGGGGCCAGCGCTGGGCGCCTGCGCCGCGAGCGCCTGTCCGCCTTCGTGGGCCCAGTCCGCGGCCGTGCTGGGCCTCGGGTCATCCGGGAGGCGTTTGGAAGCGGCGCCTCTCCCCGCCTTTGCTGCTGGGGCCCAGGAACAGACCCCCCGCCCCGGGGCCCCACGCGCGGGCATCCGCAGCCGCGGCGCAGGGCGGGAAGCAGGTGCTGGGAAAGCGCGAGGGCCGCTCGTGTCTCCCGGTGAGAACGGGGGTCAGTGAGCGGGAGTCGTGTCTGCATCGGCTTCGCGAGAAGTTGGGTGTCTCTTCTGGAAGCGCCGGGGATTCTGGCAGTGCAGCAACCCGGCGAATTTTCTGGCCCAAGTCCCATCGGGATTCCCGGGGGGCTCGGGTCAGCAGCAGTGTGGATGGGAGGGGTGTGGCGTGAAGCCTGGAGGGGAGGTTCTGCGTCCCCTGAGCGCGGTAGTAACTGGACCCGGGGGTTGGTCCAGCAGAGGGGACAGGACCTCCCAGGGAGAACGTAGGAGGCCGCAGAAGCCTCAGAGCCGTTCAGACAGGATGAGGCTGAGGATGCTGCTTAGTCACTGGTCTGCAGAGTCAACGGGTTTCTCTGTGATCTTGGGAGGGGTCTGGGATGTCCACTCAGGCTGGCAGATTAACCTGGGGAAGCATGGGTCATTTGTGAGACTCACTGGGCACCATGTAAAGGACCTCTGGGACTTGGCCTGTGATGGGCATTAACTGGGGAGAGCAGCGCTAGGACTGATGTCGGCAGCAAGGGCAGTTCCAGCAGAGGGGGTGTTTGAAATCTGACGGGGTTTTGGTGGTGAGATTGAAGCAAGGAGCAGTCAGAGAGGGCTTGATTGCCGGACTCAGGACTGACCTGTTAGTGGATACCAGGGGGTGATCTTGTTGACTTTGCCAAACGTTCTCTTTACCACGTAAGCTGAGTGACGCATGACAAGGCCGAGGACATGGCACTAAGGTAGGAGGGGGAGGAGGGGCCTGTGGGGTTGCGGTGTGAGGGGGGATAGTAAAAAGGGTGTGTGTACACAGTGGTGTGTGAACTCATGGCCCCATGGCCCTGTAGTTAGGATCATAAGGGTGAAGGATGATCCGTGTTGTTTGTGTTTTAGAGGCACAGTCTGGGTATGGCCTGGACAGCACTCACGGTTCCTGTGGCCAGTGTTTCTAGCCTGTTTGCGACACCACACTGACAGAGACGGTGTGACCCTCACACAGACCAGCGCTTAGGTAGCTGTCTGTCTGTCGTTGCTATAGGAGGATACGCCCTCAGGGATAGAGGAGGAGAGGACCTCCTGGCCCATATCATGAGGCAGACAGTAGAGTGAGCAGAGGGTGGGTATGGGATGGGGAATGTGATGTGTCGCCTGTCCTAGGAGAGGATCTGATCAAGAAATGCACCGTCCTTATCCTTATGACAGGATGTGAATTTTGAAGATGTGTCCATTGCCTTCTCCCCGGAGGAGTGGGCACTCCTTAACGAAGCCCAGAGACTTCTGTACTGTGAGGTGATGCTGGACAACTTCGCGCTTACAGCGTCTCTGGGTAAGATCTTCACAGCCCTCCTAGTGTCCTGATCGTCTGCCTCCCCCCGCCACCTTCCCATAGCTGGACCGTGTAACCCCCAGTTCCTTGTCACGTGTGTTAGGTGCTTTGTGTAGTTCCCCGGACAGCGACTATCCAGGCATCTCTAGCATCTGTTGTCTCGGAAAGTGCAGAGAAGGTGTGAAAATCAGAGATCTTGCAGGCAGCGTGATGGATCCCCCATCCTTGCCCACTCTCTAGCCGAGTGATTGTGTACGGCTCCGTGGCCTTGAACTCTGCCCCCTTTCTCTAGCTAGCAGCTCTTTGTGCCTGCCAGGTTGTGGTCATTACTCGGCCCTCGTTCACTGGTTTTCTGAAGGTTTTCTTTTCCGAGCACTATGTATTGTGTGCCAGCTTGCTCTAGGTCAGTGCTGGCCCTTCACCTGTGCTGTCTTTCCTTAAGACCAGCATGAGTCCGGTTCCAAGTAGTTGCACAAAGGAGGGACACTGGTGGTTTCACAGGGTGGACTTGGCAGCGTGGTCTCACAAAAGGTCTATCTCTGGCGAGTCGCATCTAGGGGAGGAATATGACATCAGGACTGTGTTGCAGTCATACCGGAAACCTGCCCTATGTCCACTAATGTTTGGTGCAAGCAGCATGAAATCCACATCTCTCTTACCTTTCCGTTCTTGTACTTGACACTTTGCTGTCTTGTTATTTCGTCTGTGGGCTTCAGCCTCCTGGCCGCCTCCACCTTTGCTGTCTCTTGTCATGTGGCCCTCTACCCTGCCCCCTGCAACGTTCTGCAGCGTTAATGTGCGTAAGTGTTAGGATGTGTGCGCATATCTTTAAATAACTACTCGGTTCCATTGGAATTTTACTGGTATTGCACACACCCAGCCTTCCATATAGCATCTCAGCATCACCAGCAGACAAGGGCTTGCTGAAGACTCTTGGCAGAGGATTGAATTGGAAACCGTCCTCTGTATGCAGTTCTCTCCACCCCTGGGTCCTTTGTCTGGTGAGGTTTTTCCCATTCTGTGATCCTCAGAGGGTCAGTACTCCAAAGAAGCTCCCCATGTATTTATGCACACAAGAGCTGGGGTACAGGCCGAGGTGCGGCAGTGAGAAGATTCACCAGAGACAGAGTGGGGAGCAGAACAGGTGGATCCACTGAAATCTACTGCTGAGGGGAGCAGGGGGGAGACAGGAGAGTTCTGCTGCATCTTGTGGGTCAGCTCCCTAGCTGGGGATCAAACTCAGGTTGGAGATGGCTTGATAGTGCTGCGCCTTCACCTCTGCGCCACCAGAAAGGCCCCAGTAGCCCTTTCTTAGCCTGTCCCTGTTCTCAGAATAATTCTATGAACCCTTTTTAATGTGTCTGATGCGCCTTTGCAGTGGGGCTTTCCTGTCCCGCCAGAGTCAGCATGTATTTCCTCAGCAATTTTTTTTGCTTTCAGGTTGTTTGCACAGAATGGAAGATAAGGTGTCTTCTGAGCAGAGTGTATCTGTAGTGGAGTCACAGGTCGGGGCTTCTAAGGCAATTCCATCCACCCAGATTGCCCACCACTGTGAGTTACGTGTTCCAGTCTTGAAAAGTGTTTTGCATCAAGTTGGACTCCAAACAGTGTCCCCTGTGCAGGAGCCATGCCTGGGTGGCACATGTGTGAGATGCTTCTGTTTCGGGGTAAACCTGCACCAGAAACAGAGGCCTGACAGTGGAGTGAAGTCCTGGAAGAGAAGGGTAGATGGGGCCTTGTTTGTGACAAACTGCAGCTTCTCTTTGTCAGGGCAACCTTTTACCTGTAGGGAGGTGAGGGAGGACTTCCCAGCCGCCCCGGGCCTTCTCCAGCCACTGGCTTTTCCCGACAGCGAGGAAACACATGGTGGTGATGACAATGCGCAGAACTTGCACAATGGACAAAACTCTTACAGGTTCGGTGCACGTGAAAAAGCTGACATCCACAGCCACCCACTTACTGGACCACAAAATGTTTGCTCTGGAGAAGGGCTTCATGAATGTAGCAAATGTGAAAAAACCCTCAGGTGCAAGTATAAATGCATTCAGTGCCAGCAAATTCACCCTGGGCAAAGGCCACATGAACATGGGAAACACTTTAGCCAAATCTCTGACCTTATTAAACACCAGAAAATTCACAGTGGTATGAAGCTTTATGGATGCAGAGAATGTGGAAAATTTTTTACCCACAACCTCAGTCTTATAAATAACCAGAGAGTTCATATTGGAAGTCTGGAAAGGAATTATAATTGCAGTGAATGTGCAGCAGTCTTTGCCCACGAATCCAAACTGCTACGCCCCCAGAGACAATGCACTGGAGTAGCTTATTATGAATGTAGTGAATGTGGAAAATCCTTTGGCTGCGAATCCAACCTCATTGAGCACCAGAGAGCTCACTCTAGAGAAAGGCTTTATGAATGCGGTGAGTGTGCAAAGTCCTTTAGCCAAAACTTCAACCTCATTCAACATTGCAGGGTACACACCGGAGAAATGCCTTATGAGTGTGGTGATTGTGGGAAATCTTTGAGCATATCTGAACTCATCCAACAGGCAAGAATTCACACTGAAGAAAGGCCTTATGAGTGCAGTGAGTGTGGAAAATGGTTTAGGCAGTTCTCTAACCTTATTAGACACTGGAATGTTCATGCTAGAGAAAGGCCATGTGAGTGTGGTGCTTGTGGAAAATCATTTAGCCGCAAATCTGACCTCATCCAACACCAGAGAATTCATACTGGCACACGGCCTTATGAATGTTGTGAATGTGGCACATCGTTTAGACAACGGTCTGCCCTTGCTCAGCACCAGAGAGTTCACTCTGGAGAAAAGCCTTATGAGTGCGGTGAGTGTGGGAAAGCCTTTAGCCAAATGTTTAACTTCATTCAACATTGCAGGGTACACACTGGAGAAATGCCTTATGAGTGTGGTGATTGTGGGAAATCTTTTAGTTATAAATCTGAACTTGCCCAACACCAAAGAATTCACACTGGAGAAAGGCCTTATGAGTGCGGTGAGTGTGGGAAATCATTTAGACTTAAATTTGGCCTCATTCAGCATCAGAGAATTCACACTGGAGAAAGGCCTTTTGAGTGTGGTGAGTGTGAAAAATCCTTTACCTGCAAATCTGACCTCATCAAACACCAGAGAATTCATACTGGCACAAGACCTTATGAGTGTCGTGAATGTGGGACATCGTTTAAACAACGGTCTGCCCTTACTCGACACTGGAGAGTTCACTCTGGAGAAAAGCCTTACGAGTGTGGGGAATGTGGGAAGTCCTTTAGCCAAAGTGCCGGCCTTATTCAACATCAGAGAGTTCATACTGGAGAAAGACCTTATGAGTGCAGAGAATGTGGGAAAGCCTTTAGCCAAAGTTCTAGCCTTTTGCGACACCAGAGAGCTCACACTGTGAAAAGACCCTATGAGTGTGCCGAGTGTGGGAAGTCCTTTAGACAACTCTTTAATCTCATTCGACATTGCAGGGTACACACTGGAGAAATGCCTTATGTGTGTGGTGATTGTGGGAAATCTTTTAGTTATAAATCTGAATTCATCCAGCACCAAAGAATTCACACTGGAGAAAGGCCATATGAGTGCAGCAAGTGTGGAAAATCATTTAGGCGCAAATTTGGCCTCATTCAGCATCAGAGAGTTCACACTGGAGAAAGACCTTTTGAGTGTGGTGAGTGTGAAAAATCCTTTACCTGCAAATCTGACCTCATCCAACACCAGAGAATTCATACTGGCACAAGACCTTATGAGTGTCGTGAATGTGGGACATCGTTTAGACAACGGTCTGCCCTTATTCAACACCGGAGAGTTCACACGGGAGAAAAGCCTTATGAGTGTGGGCAATGTGGGAAACCCTTTGCTCACAAATCTGACCTCAATCAACACCAGAGAGTTCACACTGGAGAAAGACCTTATGAGTGCAGTGCATGTGGGAAATCTTTTAGCCAAAAGTCTAACCTACTTAGGCACCAGAGAGTTCACACTGGAGAAAAGCCTTAAATATGCCAGGAATGTTTTATTTCCTTGCTCAGTATAACAGCACTGGAGTACATTCTTCGGAGCCATTGACCTGTATTCATACCCCTGTATCTCAACATGCACCGTATGGAATGCCTCACATTTCAGCTATGTCCAGGATTTTAAGGAGCAGCATTGCACTTTCTGACCTTCCCAGGGCTATTGCCAAATTTATGTCACAGCCAGTTTCTGCAGCCAAAACTGTTTCACCTCAATGATACAACTTGGGGTAGAGCATTTGACTGCAAAACCATTTTACCTCTGCTTGGCACATCTATTCTGGTCACCACCCCAGTGTCCTCAGGGGAGCTGACCTCTGTTGGCTTACCTGTTTGAGGACATTATGAAAAGCCCAAGCCCTTAGTTGCATCTTCATTGCTTTCTCTGACTTTAGAGAATGGCCCTGACCGAGTTTTGATCCAGAGAACCCATTCTTGGCTTCGGAAGCAAGAATTCCTTTTTCAGGGACATTGTGCTCATATCAAGCTTGTGATAGTTTTTTCCAGATTCCAGTTTACCACTCTGGAAATTGCTCGCTACACTTGATCTGGTTTATAATGTTTTTGTTTGCACACCTTTAGTTTTGGTATTTATAATCACTGTGCAGGGGGGTGAGCACAGTGTGCAAGCAGGATTGTGGTTTCTCAGCAGTAAGGAATGAACAGATTGTGTGGATATATCAAACTTTCTAGCTTCACAGGGACTTTATGATGACAGAAAATAACTCATTGTCCAATTTTGGTCTAATTTGCATTGCTGCCCAAGGTATCAAAAGGACTGCAGAACTTTGTGGTCCTGATTGGTGGCCTGGGGCCAGGATTTCTTGGTGATACCAGGTTACTTTGAAGACCTTTGTTGTGCTAACCCCCAGTGCCTCTGAACAAGAGGAATTTTACTCCTTGTTCAGAGTGTAAATGACATCATTCACAGCACTGTTGAGGGGACTTCTTCCCCAGAATTGCAAAGAAACCAAAGACCACGATACACAAAATTTTCTGTGTAGGTCAGGCGGAACCATAATTGTGACAGAAACACTGGATGAATAAGGAGTAACGGAGACTGGGATAAATTAGATTAGATTAGGAGTGTGCTTCTTCTAAACTGATCCACCAGTGTTACAGTGACTGTGCTGTGTGGGATCAGTATGTACATACATTCTCAGGACTTCCCCAGTTGTGCTTACAGCAGCTGACATCTTTGGTAGAGGAAATAATGTAAAGATTTTGTGGATAACCATAGCCTCTTTGGGCTGTTTACTGGCGTTCATTGTTGTCCAGGCAGGAGAGCAGGGTAGAGAGAAGGATGAGCCTCTAATAAAGTAGAAGAATCTATCTTTCGTGATCTAGCATTCTTGTTGATTCAGGTAGCAACAGCCTTCACTGCTCTCTAATATTTGCTGCCACTGCCCATCTAGTGTATGAAGAGAGAAAATTTGAAGGTGATAACGAGTTACCAGCCTAATACTCTTTTTTTTTTTTTTATATAGAGGCATGTTTTATTTATTTATTTATTTGTTCATTTGTTTTTGTTTATACATGCACTGGGTACAGTCAGAAGCGCGGGAGGGTGAGAGAATTCACCAGAGCCAGAGCGGGGAGCAGAGCAGGCAGAGGACCGAAGTACACTGCTGAGGGGAGCAGCGGGTGGCAGGAGAGGTCTGCGCACCCAGCCTAATACTCTTAAGAAATGTAGAACATCTTGGCTTTTGTTTGAAAACCACTTTTTAAAAAAAGATTTATTTATTTATGCATACAGGCTAGAGGGGTGGGGAGGAGGTTATGTGAGCGGACTCCCCAGAGACAGAGTGGGGAGCAGAACAGGCAGATCCACTGAAATCCACTGCTGAGGGGAGCAGCGAGGAGACAGGAGAGGTCTCCTGCGCCCTGTGGGTCGCAACTGTGGGTCAGCTCCCTGGCCGGGGACCAAAATTCAGGCCTCAGTGGCTGCCAGTAGCTTGATAGTGCTGAGACTTAAACCCTGCGCCACCAGGAGTGCTCCTGGTATCACATTAACACAGTCATGCTGCATGATTTAGTTTAAAGAATGATGCTAGTTAATTCACTCAGCAGTGCTCTGCTCTGTAGATAACTGCTTTGTTTATCCATTCATGTGTTCATAGACACGTATTTCTGGGTTTGGGGTATTACAAGTGAAACTGCTATATTTTCAGTTTATTTATGTGGATGTGTTTTATTTCTCTTGAATTAAAAGTCAGAGTGTACACGGTACAGTGTAGACAAATATTTAACCTTTTAAAAAGTGCTGAACTGATCTAAAACAGTTGTTCCCTTTTGCCTACCAACACCTGATGTGGTCAGTCTTCTTAAATCTTCACCCTTGAACAAAGTGTACTAAGGGTCCTTGAAATTGATTGTTTGGGTTTTTTTAAATTTTTTGGGGGGTAAAATGTGCTCATAATCTTTCACCTATTTTCTTTATTAATTTATTATTTTAACAAATAAGACACTGCAACACAAAGCCATGTTGAACTTGTTCTTCAATGATGTGACTTTTTTTTAAAAGATTTATTTATTTATGCATACAAGAACTGGGGTACAGACCACAGGTGTGGGGCGTGAGAGCATTCACCAGAGACAGAGCGAGGAACAGAACAGGGAGACTGACTGAAACACAGTGCAGAGAGGAGCAGCGGGGAGACCAGAGAGGTCTGCTGCACCCTGTGGGTAGCTCCCTGGCCAAGGATGGAACTCGTGCTGCAGAGGCTGCGGACAGCTTCCTAGGTTGTGTCTTACCCCCTTGTACCACCAGGGAGGCCCTAATGTGACTTCTTTGCCATTTGGGACAATTGCTTTTGAATATTGGAAGGAATTTTTTTTTCCCCTTAATATTTTCTCCTGTGCAGTTTGAGGTTCACATGTGCCATATGCCTTTAAGCATAATCTGCATCTTTAACATCGTTACCACTTTTTTTTTTTAAGTCTTCAATGTTCATTAGTACACTCAATCAAGCCTAGGCTTATAGTCTTTGCCAATTTCCTTCCTTGTCAATACTACTGTCGTGTTAATTTCAAGGTGTCAAAATGATGCCACAGAACATGGAGTTGGTCGGCTGTTCTAGCAGCGCCTCATTGTATTCTCTTTCCACGTGGCCACAAACAATCTCAAGAACACAGATGAGGGCCTCCCCGGTGGCGCAGCGGTTGAGCGCTGGGTTGCGAAGCTGCCAGCAGCCTCTGCAGCGCCGGTTCGATCCCCGGCTGCTCCCCAGCCACCGGAGGAGGGTCCCACATGGCGCGCAGACCTCTCCTGCCGCCCGCTGCTCCCCTCAGCAGTGTACTTCGGTCCTTCTGCCTGCTCTGCTCCCCGCTCTGGCTCTGGTGAATTCTCTCACCCTCCCGCGCTTCTGACTGTACCCAGTGCATGTATAAACAAAACAAACAAATGAATAAATAAATAAATAAATAAATAAATAAATAAATAAAACATGCCTCTATTAAAAAAAAAAAAAAAAAAAAAACACAGATGAGGGCCTCCCCGGTGGCGCAGCGGTTGAGCGCTGGGTTGCGAAGCTGCCCGCAGCCTCTGAAGCGCCGATTCGATCCCTGGCCACTGGGCGAGGGTCCCACATGGTGCGCAGACCTCTCCTGCCACCCACTGCTCCCCTCAGCAGTGTACTTTGGTCCTTCTGCCTGCTCTGCTCTCCCCTCTGGCTGTGGTGAATTCTCTCACCCTCCAGCGCTTCTGACTGTAACAGTACTTGTATAAATAAATAAATAAATCTTAAAAAAAAAAAGGAACACAGACGGGGCCTCCTTGGTGTCCCAGGGGTTGAGTCTCAGCGCCTTCACCTCTATGGCCTGCTGCTCCCCTCAGCAGTGGATTTCAGTAGATACACCTGTTCTGCTCCCCACTCTTATCTCTGGGGAATCCTCTCACACTCCCCACCCCGGCACCTCTGGCCTGTACCCCACTTCTGCACAAAAATAAAATAAAAATCTTAAAAAATAGAAAAAACAAAGAGTAATAGAACAGTAAAATGATTATTAGTGGCAAGTTTTAAATATTTTGGTGTTTAAAAACAATTTGTACGTGACTTAAACTGGACATATTTAAAATGTACATTTTGATGTTTACATATTATGCTTACATTCCTGAAACCAACTTTCTTCCTGATCTTTTCAGTTTATTGTATCAGCATCTAAAATTAGTGAGACAAGGACATATTATACCTTTTGTGAAGACTTTTAAAATAAATTCATAAATGGAAAAGACTGTTATAAACCCCCATAGAGCCTCCCTGGTGGTGCAAGGGGTTAAGACACAACCTAGGAAGCTGTCCACAGCCTCTGCAGCACAAGTTCAATGCCCCGGCCAGGGAGCTACCCACATGGCTCAGCAGACCTCCCCTGACTTGCCTGCCGCTCCCTTCAGCAGTGTACTTGGGTCAAACTGCCTGTTCTGTTCCCCACTCTTGTCTCTGGTGAATCCGCGCACCCCCACACCTCTGGCCTGTACCTTAGCACTTGTATGCATAAATAAATAAATCTTAAAGAAAAACAACAACCCCATAAACTATCGTATCATTATCGGTCATTTTATGTATCCTCATGCACAATAATGGTTATTTTTACTTAGAATTCCAGATATGTCAGAGTCCATTTGTAATATCTAAGTATTTTTCATACTTAAGATAACATGAATATACAAAATAAAATTTTAAATAAAAATGTTAGTGTTGAGTTTTATTAATTGAATTAGCTATTGAAAGTAGATTAAGTGCAATTGTATTCGTATGCCCTTTACTCAGTTTGTCTTACTTTTTTTTTTTTTTGTGGGACCCTCACAGGCGGCCGGGGATCAAGCTGCGGGCAGCCTCGCAGCCCAGCGCTCAACCGCTGCGCCACCAGGCGAGGCCCTCAGCGTGTCTTACATTAACCTATATCTGCCACTTCTTTTTTTTACACTGAATATGTTTCCCATGTTAATGTTTTATATAATTGATTTACTCGTGTGCATGTTAAAGTTCAGTGTTGCCTCCAGTAAATCCAGGTGTCTGTAGTAGAGACATGTATGTCGCACTTCATGATGCTTAACACAGATTTGTCAGGAAAGCCTGAGGTGGCGACACGCCCCTGAGTGCCTTGGTGGTGGGGTCCGTGCGCCCAGATGCAGCGCCGCGCCCCTGTGCTGGGTGTTTGGGACTGTCGAGGTCGTCCTGGGCAGAGCCTGTGGCTCAGCAGGAAAAGCTACGAGGGGGCCACTCGCCCCTAGGGCGGCCACAGAGCCTTCGGAAGATGAAGGGGCAGCCAGGGCTCCCCACTACTACGCAGACGTTCAGGCGGCCCCACTCGGTGTGTGTTTATTCCCGTGCCCCGAGCGGTGCCCTGCGCTTCATCTTATTTGCTGCGGGGCGGTTGGGCCGGGACCCGTCACCCCTTTGCACGCACCTGAGGAGGAGCTGGGGGCGCTGCCCGCCTCCCGCCACCCGGATGTTCATGGGGCTGCTGGAATAGGCTGGCGACCCCCCATGCCTGCCGGGTGGGAGCTGAGGGGTGCCCCGCGCCGGGAGGGTTCACGTGGAGCCCAGCCGGGAGCATGACGGGGGCTCACTGCAGGGAGAGGGCGCCCTGGAGAGAAGCGCAGGTTCGGGGTTTGTGGCGACCCCCGCTCAGAGGCGGCTGCCGCCGAACACACCCGGGTGCGAGAGGGGCGGGGCCCGCCGCGGGGCCCGGGGTGGGGCTGGCTCTGGTGTCACGGAAGGGGCCGGAGTTTGCCGAGGGGGAAAGAGACGTGGCCGCTTTCCTTGGCCCTGACCTGCAGGGTTGGAAGGGTCACAGTGGCGGTGCCGGGGGCAGCTCCGCTGCCCGGGCTTGTCCTGCGACTCCCGGGGCCTGCGACACCCGCAGTGTCCCCTCGGCCCTGCAGCCCCGCGCGGCCCGGGCCTCCCTTCCCAGCGCCTCGGTGGCGCCGGCGCGACGCGCTTCCGTGGACAGCTCCGCGGGAGTCGGGGCCCCTGGGGCCCGCGGCCGGGGGCGTCGGCCCGGCACTGCGGCTCCGCGCCCAGAGCTGCGGGCTCGGCGGCCGGGGCAGCGCGGGGCGACGCCCGAGATGCCGCTTCCGGGTCTGGCCCGCGCCCCCGGCCCGGCGGACTACATCCCCCGGCGTGCGCGGCGGCGAGCGGCGCGGCGCCGCCCAATGAGAGCCTAGAAGAGCGGCGCGGCGCCGCCCAATGAGAGCCTAGAAGAGCGGCGGTTCCGGCGCGGCCCGCGGTGTCAAGGCGGGACTTCCGGTTTCTTCCTGGGGCGGCCATATTTGCTGCTCTGGGTTTTGTTCGCCGGCTGCGGAGCTGCGAGCGACGCCGCCGGGGCCGCGCCAGGGCTCGCCGAGGCCCCCGCCCGCCGGCGCCCCGCACGGCCCGATGGCGGCGGCCGCGCCGAGGACCCCGGCTGAGGTACGGGCCGGAGGAGGGGCGGGCGGGGTCCCCGAGCTGGAGGCGGTCGGGGCGAGGCTGCGGGGCGCCCGCTGGAAGGAAACCGGGGCGCGGAGCTGGGCGGCCCTGCCCGTCGCATCCGCCGGGCGCGGGGAGCCCCGAGCGCGGGGCCCTCGCGGGCGCCCACGCCGCCCTTGGCCCGTGTCCCGCGGTGGAGACGCGCGGTGTCCCCGCTCCTCGCCCGCCCTGCGCCCCGCGCGCGGCTGGTGGGCGTCTTTCCCCGCTGGGGGCGGGAGCGGTCCAGGGCCGGGTCCCGCGGCAGCAGCGTGGAGGGGGCCCCGGACGCCGAAGTCCGCCGACGCCCCCTGCGGCATCGCGCCGTCCCGCCTCTGGGCGCCGTCGCGCGGTGCCCTGCAGCTCTTGGGGCGCAGCCCCGGCGTCCCGCGCGGGTGTGCAGGCGGGAGTGTGTGATGAGTAAACTGCTGTCCGTCTCCTCTGTGCAGGGTCGGGTGTCGCGTTTGTCCAGCCCCATAACTAAGATGGGAATCCTGCCCTCAGCAGTGAGGTGACGATGAGGTGATTAAAACCCAAGTCTCTGGGGCCGGAGAGTCCGTGGCAGGGGCCAGTGAAGTGTAGCGTGACCGTAGGCACCGCCGTGGGGCCGGCGCAGGAATCACACCCTCGTGGCGAGGGAGTATGTCTGGTGACCCCAGGGCCCTAGTACTGAGGCTTTACTGGTCCTTGGCCGCACCAGCGTGATTCTCTGTCACGTCCACAACTTAAATACCTTATTTGCCATCTGCGCCTTCATGATGCTGGCTCCACCCTGGGAGCCGCAGGCCTGTGAGGAGACAGGCGCCATTGGCACCCCTGGCAGTAGAGCCTGGTTTCTCCTCTGAGGTGGGGGCCTGGGAGTGATGGACACAGGGTGGATGTGGGGGGGAGGGGCTTGGGGTACTAGAAGAGTGGCTTTTTTGTGGCTCACCTGTTCCCATCATGGCAGGGCAGGGTGACCTTTGAAGATGTGACCGTGTACTTCTCCTGGGAGGAGTGGGAGCTCCTTGATGAGGCCCAGAGATGCCTCTACCACGATGTGATGCTGGAGAACTTGCGACTTATAAGCTCCTTGGGTAAGGCCCTCAAGCCCACCTCCGTGCCCTGCGCTCCTGTCTCCTTCCCCTTGTCCCCAGAAGCAGGTCTTTCCTCAAATCAGGACAGTGGACTGTGCTTTTCCCTTCATTTGCTTGGGCTGAGGTTTGTGCACGGCCCTCTGATACCTTGAGCAGGCCCCACACCGCTTCCCTGAAAACTTGTAGGAGTCGTGCAGGAAACCTAATGGGTGCTCCCTTCTTGCCTTCACCTAGAGGACGATTTCTCATACTTGACTGACGGGAATCGTTATCACTGACATGGTTATGCTCGCATGGACCATGGGCTGTTCTGAGACCCTCTTCCAGAGTTCTCTGTGGAATGCTTTGTTTGCTTTTCCGGGGCACCTCATGTGCTGAGTCCTCCCGGCTAGTGCGGCCACTCCTCTGTGCTGTCTTTCCCTTAATATTTGTATCCTTAGGGCGCTTTATCTTTCCTCTCTGAGGGAGTGGGGTTCACAGAATATGCATGAATGCAGCCACAGTGAGACTGGCACTGAGAGAGCCCGGCCTGGAGGAAGGTGTCATGTCAGAGCCGTGTTCAAATTACTCCAGAGGCCTGTTCTGTTTGAGAAACATTGTGATGTCAGTGCCAGCGGCCACACCTCATTTCTGTCTTTGCTTCTCCTTTTTTGATCTCTGGGTTCAGTGTTTCTAACTTGTCACTCCTCTTATGTCCAGTCTGTGTCAAGACCCCCCATCTCTGAGCTCCACGTTTTACCAATTCTTCTCATCAGTCCATCTGTTGTGCTGTTCACATTGGCCCCGGTGTGTCGTGTCTTTGAGGTGCACGAGCCCTGAAACGGTTCAGCTCCCCTGCTGTAGTCATATTTTCTTGGGTCTCCACACACCCTTCTACACAGCGTTTGTGTGTCACTAGCAAACAGGTTCCTTTGGAAAATTGTTTTCAGAGTTGTGAGTTGAAGACCTTGTCTCTCTTTACTTCACACCTCATGGTTGTGTTCTTTACTGCACGAACACCCCTCTCTTTCTGTGCTCTTCATGGGTCACTACCGCTAAGCTTCCCCACCCTCAACCCAAGGATGACTTCCCTACCCTGTAAACAATCTCCGGGACTTGTTCCTGGCATGTGTTAGACACACACCTGTGTAGTAGCCGCCTCACCCACCAAAGTCAGCACACACTTTACTAGCATTTCTTGCTTTCAGGTTGTTCACATGAAGCAGAAGATGAGCAGACCATTTCTGTGCCCCAACTGTCCCAGGTCAGGACCCCAAAGGCACGTGTATCTTCACAGAAGACTCTGTGCTCTGAGATGCGTGGCCCAGAGCTAAAGGACATTTTGCACTGGAGTGACTGTAAGGGGACACATTGTGGGCAGAAACCGTACAGGATTGGGGCGTGTGAAAAGCAGCTGTGTTTTAGTGCGGAACCTCACCCGAAGCATCACATTGGAGGGAAATACTTTCAAAATAATGTGGACAGTGCCCCATTTGTGAGCAACTGCAAAATCATCGTGCCAGGGAAGCCTTTATCCTGTGGGGGGCGCGTGAGGGATTTCCTGGCCAGCTCCAGATTTCATCAGCAACAGGCCCCACACACCAGGGAGAAGTCGAACAGAACTCAGTGTGGACCGGCTATTTCTGGGGGGAAATCTCAATACAACTCTGGAAAATACTCAAAAGACTTCAATTACAAACACACACTTGTTCATCACCAGGGAGCCCTCACCAAGGAAAAATGCTACGTGTGCAGTGAGTGTGGGAAATCCTTTAGCAAGAGCTACAGCCTCAGTGACCACTGGAGAGTTCACACTGGAGAAAAGCCTTATGAGTGTGGGGAGTGTGGGAAGTCCTTTAGGCAAAGCTCAAGCCTCATTCAGCATCGGAGAGTCCACACTGGAGCAAGGCCTCATGGATGCGACCAGTGCGGAAAATTGTTTAGCAACAAGTCCAACCTCATTAAACATCGGAGAATTCACACTGGAGAAAGACCGTATGAGTGTAGCGAGTGTGGGAAGTCCTTTAGCGAAAGCTCTGCGCTGCTTCAGCATCGGAGTGTTCACACTGGAGAAAGGCCCTATGAATGCAGCGAATGTGGGAAATTCTTTACCTACCACTCCAGCCTCATAAAACACCAGAGAGTTCACTCGGGATCGAGGCCCTATGAGTGCAGTGAATGTGGGAAATCCTTTACTCAGAACTCCAGCCTCATTGAGCACCGTAGAGTTCATAGTGGAGAAAGGCCTTATAAATGCAGTGAATGTGGAAAATCTTTCAGTCAAAGCTCTGCACTTCTTCAGCATCGGCGAGTTCACACCGGGGAAAGGCCTTATGAGTGCAGCGAATGTGGGAAATTCTTTACTTACAGCTCCAGCCTCTTAAAACACCAGAGAGTACACACTGGGTCAAGGCCCTACGAGTGCAGTGAGTGTGGGAAGTCCTTTACTCAGAACTCCAGCCTCATCAAACACAGGAGGATTCACACTGGAGAAAGGCCCTACGAGTGCAGTGAATGTAGGAAATCTTTTAGCCACAGCTCTAGTCTCATTAAACACCGAAGAGTTCACACTGGATAAAGGTATTGGCGAGTGCAGTGAATTGAGGAAGTTGTTTACCTGCAGCTCAAACTTCAGTAACCACTATAGAGTTTACACTGGAGAAAGACTTTGTGAGTCTTTGAATGTGGGACATGATTTATCTACAACTCCAGATTCCTAAAACACCGTAATGTTCACATTAATGATGGCCTTCTGAGTGCAACAAATGTGGGAATCATCTAACCAAAGTCCAGCTCTATTACACTCCAGAGATTTCACGGAGGAAGGCCTCGTAAGGTCATTGAATGTGAGAAAGCCTTAGCCAAAGTACTTACCTCATTGGATGCCACAAATGTCAGATGGGAGAAACCTTACAGGTGCACGTATATGGTTTTTCTTTGCTAAGTAACCACACTAGAGCTCCCATGTGAAGGTGCCATTTGCTTGTGTTGAATCTCAGACATCTGAACATCTACATGAATTCCAGGTACGTGGGAGCTGCAGTGCACTTTTTTTTTCTTTTAAAGATTTATTTATTTATACAAGCACTGGGGTACAGGCCAGAGATGCGGGAGGGTGAGAGGATTCACCGGAGACAGAACAGGCAGATGGACCGAAATACGCTGCTGAGGGGAGCAGCGGGGAGACAGGAGAGGTCTGCCACGCCATGTGGGTAGCTCCCTGGCTGGCAGTGATCGAACCCGCACTGCAGAGGCTGCCAACAGCTGCACAGCGCTGCGCTCAACCAGCTGTGCCACCAGGGAGCCCCCTGCAGTGTACTTTTCTATTCTACCCAGGACTGTAGCCACATTTACATCACTGACAGTTCTGTGACCGAAGCCATTTCACCTCTGCAGTCCAGCAGGTACCCTCAGCCCTGTCATCCCAGCGTGCCCGGAAGCTCACCCAGCGCGGTCCTGTTGCAGGATGATCCGGGAGGAGCCTGAGCACACCCTCCCCGTTCTTCCCCTTTCTGGGGAGTTACCCGTTTCGTCGTGGAGGACGCTGTTGGTGTGTGGGGAAAAAAAGGACGACGTCTTTCAGGATATCATCAGCCTCATGAGATTGTAGCGATGGAATTTTCCAGCCTCGACGGCATCTACCACGTAACAGTCTGCCTCCCATTACTCTTGTGTGTACGATAACGTGTGTCTTACTTCGGCCAGCAGTAATCCTGGGGGGTTCTCGCTGTATCGGGTGGTTTGAGATTAACTGAGTTTGTTACCTGAACGGGGTAAATGGGAATTTTCATAGTTCAGACTGAGGAGACAGTGGTGATAACCTTCGCGCTTCGGAGAGAAACTGGAACTCATTCTCTTCCTCACGGGAGACATGAGCTCACGCTCAGTGTTAGTAAAGGCAAGTCTGTTCTCCAGGTCCTACAGCGGAGCCAGGGGCCTGTTGTCATGAATTCCGAAGCATCACCAGTGTGATGGGTAGGAAGGAGTAATAACTGTTACAGGTGAGCAGAGTGGAGGCGGCCGCAGCAGCTTGTTTGGAACGTGCCTCTTTTATCGGGCGCCTGTGACGTTGATACACTATTCACCATGAAGGATGCACAGGTACAGGGACACTCAGGACCTCCAGGAGTCTGTATCTTACATAACTGAGGGTGTTGAAAGAGAAAATAAAGGCTTTGTGGATTCGTCTGCTGTCTCTGGGATGTTTACTCTGGCAGGGAAACAAAACAGCCGGAAGCGGCCCCATGCAGTGATGGCCTTTGTGGCCCGCAGTTCTCCTGTTGAGTGAAACAGCCTTTATCGCTCCCCACTTGTTGCAGCTACGGAGGCGGCACCCCTCTCGTCAGGAACAGATGGCGGAATCAATGGTTTCCCAGCTTGATTTTCTAAAGAGTGGGAAATTCAGAGTTTTAACTTCAATCCTATTTTTCAAGTTATAATGACATGCAGTACACTCTTCCTGCTTCAGTGTACAATTTGATAAATGTGACGTTCATAAAAACCCGTGATTCCACCAAACTATCATGATAATAAACTTTCGCGTTACCCTTACATGTATCTGTGTCCTTTCATGATTCCTGTGCTGCAGGCCATTGATTTAGTTTGCTTTATTATTGGTTTGTATTTTCTGGAACACTCTGATTGAAGTCATAGTCTGTTTCTTGGGTACCCTCATGTGATGTGTATTTTGAAATTCATCAGTCGTGCTTACATGAGTAGAATATTCTTATTGAATCCCGGAGAAGTACGTTCTTGGGATATACCACTATTTATTACATCATCCCTATTTTAATTGGTTCCAGTTCTGGCTATTGCAAATGAAACCTTCAGAAGCTGGATAGTCTTCCGATGGGGAGGTTTCATTTCTCTCATGTTGCTTGCTTGTAAGTGCACCACCTGAGGCCATGTAGGTGACAGTGTGAGTTTTTATGGAGCCAGGTCTGTTAGACGTGATTATTTCCTTTCGTTTTCCCTCAGCGTGTGAGTCCCTTTCGCTCATATCCTACATAATAGTGAGTGGTTAGTCCTTTTCCATTTTGATCTTTGTAGAAATGTGGCTCTCACTCAAAAAGTATCTGCCTTTGGCTTTCAGCACATTTCCCTGAGGTTTCCTGGTGGTTAGCGTAGCTAGTGTACAAGAGACGGGGGAAGGTGTGCCGCTTAAGTGTATACGAAGTGCCTGTGTTGAGATCCTCATCCACAGAGGTGATGGTATTGGGAGATGGGGCTTTTGGAGGTGCTTAAGTTATGACAGTGGAGCCCCCATAAATGAAATGGAGGCCCTCAAAACCCCTCACTCCTGTCATGTGAGGACACACAAGAAGTCAGCAACTGAGCCTGTGGAGGGGGCTGACGTCTGTACTGTCCCTTTAGCCTCCAGTGCCACGAGAAATAGGCCTCTGTTGATAAGCCAGTCTGTGGTCTTGTACAGTACCCCAAAAGGCCTAAGACACATCCTGGTTTTTTTGGGTTTTGGTTTTTGGTTTTTTTGCGGTACCCTCGCCAGTGGCCAGGGAACGAACCGGTGCTGCAGAGGCTGCGGGCAGCCTCACAGCCCAGCGCTCAACCGCTGAGCCACCAGGGGAGGCCCCACATCCTGTTTCTTATTAGGGCTATTTTCAAAATTCATGTACAAAAGTGGCAAAGACATAAAACCCAATGAGTGCCTCCCCAGGCTTCACGGTTCTTACTTCATGCCCGTTGTTATCTGTCCTCTTACCAGTCTCGGCATCACATTTTATTTTACTTTAAGGAAGTACCATTTTTCTTCATTCCTGTTAATATTTTGACAGGAGGGCCTCCCTGGTCGCGCAAGGGGTTGTCTCAGCACTGTGAAGCTATCCCCAGCTGTTGCAGCAAGAGTTCTGTCCCTGACCAGGGAGCTGCCCCACACGGCACAGCTGACCTCTCCTTTTTTTCTTTTAGATTTATTTTATTTATTTATGCATACAAAAGCTGGGGAGCAGCCCAGAAGTTCGGGGGTGGAGGGTGAGAGGCCTATCCAGAGACAGAGTGGGGACCAGAACAGGTGGATGTACTGAAATCCACTGCTGAGGGGAGCAGGGTGAGAAAGGAGAGGTCTGCTGTGCCCTGTGGGTCAGCTCCCTGGCCGGCCGGGGATCAAACTTAGGCTGCAGTGGCTGCCAATAACCTGATAGCACTGTTTTGAACGCCTGGGCCACCAGGGGGGCCCCCATAATTCTTACACAGGAGATACCTCAAAGAAACGGGGTTCCCGGACCTCCCCTGGTGGCGCAGGTGGTTGAGCGCAGCGCTGGGAAGCTGTCCGCAGCCTCTGCAGCGCGGGTTCGATGCCGGCCGTCCGGCGAGGGTCCCACATGGGACCCACAAATGACGCGCGGCTGGTGCCACGTGGGCGCCGTCGCTTCCGGTCTCTATCTTTCCCCATGGGCCCCCCGGGGCCGCGTTTTCCCGGCCTCATCGACTCCTGTCGCCCGACGAGGGCCCACGCGCTCGGAGCAGCGGTTCGGGCCCCCCCCCCCGCCCCACCCCCCACCCCGCGTTGGCAAGGGCGGCCTCGCAGCTGGGTTTCCCGTCGCAGCCCCGGGCCGTGGCCGTGGGAAACAGAGGCAGCGAGACTGGGCTGCGGACGCGTTTCCCTGGGTCCCGGTGGACTCCGGGAAAGAAGCCTTGGGGCGGCCTCCAGGAGCGCTGGCGAGGGCGTGGGCCTCGGCCTCCAGCTGCGGGTGGGGCGGCCCCTGCAGACCCCTGGAGCGCTCTGCTGGACGCAGCCCGGCTTGGCGACCACAGCATCGCTCGTCGGTCTAGGCTGGGACCTACGTTTCATTTATTTATTATTATGTTTTTTTAAAGATTGATTTATGCAAGAACTGGGGTGCAGGCCAGAGGTGCGGGGGGTGAGAGGATTCAGCAGAGGCAGAGTGGGGAGCAGAACAGGCCGATCTACTAAAATCCACTGCTGAGGGAGCAGTGGGGAGACAGGACAGGTCTGCTGAGCCATGTAGGTTTCGCCCCCGGCCGGTCAGGAATCGAACCTGCGGACAGCTTCACAGCGCTGCGCTCAACCGCCTGTGCCATCAGGGGAGGCCCCCGTTTCATTTTTTTAAAATCAAATTTTATGTGTTTGGCAGTCGCGTGGGAGACTTGCTGCTGGGGGCGCAGCTTCACACCTCAGCATGTGCACATGCACCTCACCCTGGTCCTCGCTCTGGAGCCATCACCGTCCCACCCTGAGCGCCGTCGGCGATTGCATCATCGTTCCGAGTCTCCATGTCTGGGGACTGGCCTGGTGCGGCCCGGAGTCTGAGCACCACCTGCTCATAGGAGCACTCCTTGCATTTTGTTGTGAGCCTGCGATACCGGTGATGTCCAGAATCGCAGGTCGAGGTGCGCTAAGGCTCATCTCCTGTTGAGGGCGCTGACGGGTTCATTTAATTCCCTTCGAAGTGCTTCTATAATGAAAGAACTAATCATTTGCATTTCCCGAAAGAATCAGACTGCGCCAACGTCGTGACAGTGACACTACCCTGACATTTCACCATTTAATAAAGTGCCTTCTCACGTTGCTATGGTTTTTGGTTTCTCTCGTGACCTTGTCACCTGCAGGGAGCACAGACAGACAAAGATGGAGACTGAGGAACTGGGACTGTGTCTTTATTACCAAGGTGCAGGGAGGAATGACGTGGGCGCCCCTTATTGGGCAGGAATAAAACAGTCTGTATTTTTGTGGGTTTTTTAAAAGATTTATTTTTTCCCGCATATGAGAATAGGGGTCCAGGTCAGAGGTGAGGGGGTGAGAGGATTCCCCAGGGACAGAGTGGGGCACAGGAGGATTGACTGAAACACAGGGCTGAGGGGAGCAGGGGAAACAGGAGCGGTGTGCTGCGCGCTGTGAATGATTGGGTTCCACTGTGTTTTTGTTTTGTTTTTTTTTAATTCAGTTTGTTACCTGAACTATAAATATTTTTTTAACCCCGTTTTCAGGCAGATGCAAACTTACCTTAATGGAACCCCTTGCTGGGAAAGCATGTATGACCCCTGGGGAACAGAAGCTTTGGGGTATCCATCGCGGCGGGAGGACGAGCAGGAGCGTGGTTTTGACGGGCTGCTCTGAAGGGAAGCACTGGAAACTGCGTCCTGGGAACCGGAGGGCTCTGCGGGGGTTCAGCCAGGGGCGCCGGCTGGCGTTCCAGGCCGCTGCCGCACGGTAAGGGCGGCCGCCGGAGCCGGCGACGGCGCCGGGACGGAGGACGGCAGAAGCGGCCCGGGCCGGCTCGGCCCAGGAATGCGTCTCTCCGAGTTCCTGCGCGGTCGCGTGTTATGCCGCCTCCGACACCAGCGGCTGCCGCGGCCCCGCCCTCGTGGGCTCGGACCCGCACGCGGGGCGTTTGCGGCCGCGCGGCTCTCGGCCTCGGGAGGCCTCCCGGGCGTCCTGCCGGCTCCCCGGTGCCGGCCGCAGCGCCGCTCGGGGGCCGCCGGGACTGTCTGGGCGCCGCGGCCCCGGGGCGGCCAGTCGGCCCAGCTGGGAGTGGCGTCGAGCGTCCTCAGTCGCGGCTCCGCGAGGCCTTTCCCGCCCGCGTTGCTGGGGACGCTCCGGCGTTGCCATGGTGACGCGGGCGGGCTCCGCGGTCTCGTAGACTCGCGCGTCGCGGCCGCAGGCGCAGGCCCGGCGCCTGAAGCCCGGGCACGGCGGGCGGGCGCCCCGCCCCCGCCTCCCGTCGCAGTCGGGGCCCGGGCGCCCTCCCGGGAGACGGCGGTCCCGGCGCGTCAGGGCGGTTCCCCCGCTCGGGCCCGGCGTCAGCGACGTTGTGCGCCCGCGCCGTCGCCGGGAGACGCCGCGCTTCGGGCCGGGCCGGGAACTACGTTACCCAGCAGGCCCCGCGCCGAGCCGCCGCGGGTCGTCCAATGAGATTCGCCCCCGGGCCGGGACTTCCGGCCCCTCACGGCGACCCCCCTCGGCCGCTCGAGTGCGGTCGCGGTGTCGGCCCCGGAGGCGGAGGCGGCGCGGGCGCGGGCGCGGGCGCGGGCGCGGGCGCGGGCGCGGGCGCGGGCGCGGGCGGGCCCGGGGTCTGGGCGACGCCGCCCGCCAGGCCGGTCTCGGCCGAGCTCCCCGCTCCCTCCCTGCCCGCCCCGCGCAGTCCGATGGCGGCGCCGGAGGCCCCCGCTGAGGTACAGGCCGGGGGCGCCCCCTGGGGTCCGGGCGGGGATGGGGGGCGGGCGGGGGTCCCGGATCCCGAGCCCTGTGGGGGCGGGTCGAGCCCGGAGCGGTCGGGAAGCGGGTCCGTCGGGCGTCTGCGGGGTCCAGAGTCGGGGCGGCCCCCGGGTGGCCCTGGCCGCGGGGCTCTGGGGGGCCCGGACGGGCGGCGGCGGCCCCCCTCGCCGGCCCCGTCGGGGCGCTCGGCTCGTGCGTCCAGAGACTCCTCGGCGTCCAGGCCCTTGGGGACCCTGAAGGCGCCCCGCGCCCGGGGCCCGCGTCGAAGCCGGCTCGTCGGGCGGGACCCCTGCCGGGCCGTCGGGGGTCGGCTGTGGAAATGTACCACCGAGCGCTGCCGCCGGGGTCCCGCTGGGAGCGAGGCGACGCTGGTTCTGGGGTGCCGGCCCCGGGCGCCGGCGGGGCGGCAGGAGTCGGCCGGGAGCGTCCGTGGTGAGGCCGGGCCCGCGGGGTCCCTCGGCTGCCCTCGGCGGGGCGGACGGCGCGGTCGTCGGGGAGCGCGAGGAGCGAGCAGGCGCGTGCCCGTGCCGGCCTCCGCGCCAGCGCGCGCCGCGGGAGGGGCCTGGGCGGCGCGGGCAGGCGGCGGGGCCGGGCGGGCGGGAGTCCTGCGGCTCAGGCGCTCTGCCGGCAGGGAAGCGTGACCTTTGAGGACGTCGCCCTGCACTTCTCCTGGGAGGAGTGGGACCTTCTTGACGAGACCCAGCGACGTCTGTACCGCGACGTGATGCTGGAGAACTTCGCCCTCGCATCCTCGCTGTGTAAGACTCTCCCCCTCCCCGGGGAGGCCCTGCCTTTCCCTGGTCCCGGACCGCTGCGTCCCCCGAGGGTGCTGTGGGAGCTGTGGGAGCGGCGAACTTCCCTGCTCTGTGAGTAGGTGCAGCGTGGACCGAGGCTGGCCGCACCGCTCGCGGCCTTCACCCCAGCACCTGCTGCCCAGGTCCGCGGGGACTTCGGGGCCGAGGTGAGGTGATGTCAGTCCAGCGGATCCACTGGTCTTGCCCTTCCCTGGCTGAGCGATGGGTCTCTGGCATCACGCCACGCCTCTCCTGTCCCCATGGGCTTTTTTTTTTTTTTTCCAAAGATTTGTTTTATTGATTTAAGCATCCAAGAACTGGGGTACAGGCCAAAGGTGTGGGGGGGGGAGTGAGTGGATCCCCCAGAGACAGAGTGGGGAGCAGAACAGGCAGATCCACTGAAACACACTGCTGAGGGGAGCAGCGGGGAGCAGCTGCGCCCTGTGAGTAGCTCCCTGGCCAGGATGGAACTCAGGCCGCAGTGGCTGGACATAGCTTGATAGTGCTGAGACTTAACCCCTGCGCCACCAGGGAGCCCACCTGTCACTGATCCTCTTTCATGCCTGGCTGTGTCAGAAATTGCCGTCACTGACATAGTTACTAGTTAGAGGAATTCTTTTTGCAAGATTCACCTTCAAGTTTCTTTTTTCTTAATTATGGTAAAGTTGGAACAATTCCCAAGTGGCATTTTATTTTTTATTTTTATTTTTTAAGATTTATTTATTTATGCATACAAGAGCTGGGGTACAGGCCAGAGATGAGGGGGGTGAGAGGATTCACCAGAGACAAAGCTGGGAGCAGAACAGGCAGATTGAAATACACACACTGCTGAGGGGAGCAGCGGGCGAGACAGGAGAGGTCTGCCAGGCCATGTGGGTTGCTCCCTGGCCGGCCGGGTGTTGAACTCGTGCTGCAGAGGCTGCGGGTCTGCTTCATAGTGTGGTGCTTAACCTTTTGCGCCACCAGGGAGGCCCCCAAGTGGCATTTTAGTACATTTCTCACTGCTGTCTCTGTAATCACTCCTGGGTAGATTTCATTTGCAAATTGAAACTGTATCCCTTGAACCATCCACTGGCAACACCCTTGTTCTTTATTTGAATTTGATACTTTGAGTATCTCATGTGACTGAAGTCAGACAGTAACATATCAGGCTTATTTCACATAGCACAAAACTTTTAAGGTTCATCTTTGTCATGGAATGGGGCTACTGTCCCTCCTTTTAAAAACAGAATTATGGGGCCTTCCTGGTGGCTCAGGCGTCAGGTCTCAGCACTACCACTGCTGCTGCCTGAGTTCGATCCCCAGCCAGGGAGCTGGCCCACAGGGCGCAGCAGACCTCTCCTGTCTCCCGGCTGCTCCCCTCAGCACTGGATTTCAGTGGCTCAACCTGTTCCGCTCCCCACTCGGTCTGGTGAATCCTCTAAACCCCGCACCTCTGAGCTATACCCCAGTTCTTCTATGCAAGCCTAAATAAATAAACTCTTTAAAAGAAAAAAAAATGAATCACATCCTTCTGTATGTCGGTGCCATGTTTTGTTCATCCATGGATGGACACTTGCGTGGCTTCCACCCTGGGTTCTGTGTGTGTGACGCAGCCGTGGTCGCGGGTGTGCAGATAACTTTTGGTGTGCCAGCCTCAGTCCTTTTGGGTGTATGCCCAGGTCCAGAACTGCTGCATCATATCATTCTGTTTTTAATATTCTGAGAAATCACATTTTCCATATCGGTTGTGCCATTTCGTACCCCCAGCACAGAGGCTTCCGGCTCTCCCATCCGTGCCCGCGCTTGTCTCTGGGTGCGCGATGCGAGCCCTGCTCACTAGCGCGAAGCAGTTTCTCGCTGTGACTGTGATTCGCAGTTCTGTACCAGTCAGTGATGTGGGGCGTTTTGTGTGTGTGCTTATTTGCCATTTGTATGTTTCCTTTGTGTAAGTATCCAAGTCTTTTGTCCAGTTTTGAATCAGGTTTGGGCTTTTTGTTTTTAAGCTTGAGGAGGTCACTGTATATTCTGCATATTCATCCCTTACATCATTTGCAAATGTCATCTCTCATTCTGAGAACTTGTCTTCTTCCTGTCTCCCCAGTGTCCTGGGAATACACACGTTATTTTTTTTTTTTTTTTTTTAAGATTTATTTATTATTTTTTTTAATTTATTTATACAAGCACTGGGTACAGTCAGAAGCACGGGAGGGTGATAGAATTCACCAGAGCGGGGAGCAGAGCAGGCAGAAGGACCGAAGTACACTGCTGAGGGGAGCAGCGGGTGGCAGGAGAGGTCCGCGCGCCATGTGGGGCCCTCCTCCGGTGGCCGGGGAGCAGCTGGGGATCGAACTGGCGCTGCAGAAGCTGCAGGCAGCTTCGCAACCCAGCGCTCAACCGCTGCGCCACTGGGGAGGCCCTATTTGTTTTTTGTTTTTTTTTTAAGATTTATTTATTTCTGCATCCAAGAGCTGGGGTGCAGGCCAGTGGTGTGGAGGTGAGAGGACTCACCAGAGACACACTGGGGAACAGAACAGGCAGGCTGACTGAAATCACTGCTGAGGGGCTCGAACTTGTGCTGCAGAGGCTGCGATAGCTTCATAGGTTGTGTCTTAACCCCTTGTGCCATCAGGGAGGCCCTGAGGACACAAGTTTTTCACTTTGATCAAGTTTATTTTGTCATGCTTTTGTTGTTTGTGCCTCTGATGTCATTTTCTTGACTTTGTCAATATTTTCTTTTATCTCTTTGGTATTCAGACTCTTGTTTAAAGTCTTTGTCCAAACAATACACCATCTGGTCATTCTCAAGGGTAGTTTTTCTTGATTTATTTTTTTTCCTACACAGGTGATGCTTTCCTGGTGCTGTATACGTCCTGTGATTTTGTTGTTGAAAAATGAATGTTTCCGTCTTATGATGTGGAAACTAAGAGCCAATCTTCCCCTCCCCAGGGTTTTCTGGGGGTTTTTGTTGTTATTTTTTGTTGACTGGATGTAGGGGGACTCTGGGCTGGAGTTGTCCAGGTAGGAAGGCAGATTCCGGGTGCTGACTACTCCACCAGCTTCCTTCTGCCTGGGCCTGAACATGCTTTTGGTAATAAAATATTTTTACTGTGCTGTATCGTGTGGCGAGTTGTTCTGCTGTGTTGTGTGGCCAGTATTAGCCACTGATTGTCCTTTCTTTGCCGTAGGATTTGTATCATCCAGGTCTCAAGCAGTTTCTCAGCCGGGGGTAGGGGAAGGTCCTCTGTGCCTAAGAGAGAGACATGACTCCAGTCTTTTCACGATGGGGTCACGGGGACCTGGGCCCGGCGAATGGCAGTAGAGGGGGGCCTGATGCCAGCTTTGTTCACGTCATACCGGGAACTGCTCTGTCCTGTTTCTCTGGTGTTTTGGTGCCATGACCAGTAGCCAGTTCCCTTTTATCTTCAAGTCTCCATTCTTGACACTTTGCTGCCTTGTCATTTCTGCTACTCATTTTCCTTCTGACTCTGTGCCAGTCCCCACCTCTCTGGACCACTTGTCTGACTCCTTCCTCACATTGTCCTTCCACAGTGCCTTCCCACGTCCTCGTGTCCAAAAGCTGCCCATAGCATCTGTGATCCTTGAACAGCTATTACTTTGTTCCCACCAGACCTTTCTGTGCCTGGAAATAGACTTCTGCACAACGCCACTGTCACCAGCAGACAGACGCCTTTTAGAAGCTGTTGAGAAGAGGCCTCCCTGGTGGCGCAAGGGGTTAAGTCTCAGCACTATCAAGCTCTCTGCAGCACGAGTTCCATCCCCAGCCAGGGAGCTACCCACATGGCACAGCAGACCTCTTCTGTCTCCCTGCTGCTCCCCTCAGCAGTGGACTTCAGTAGATCCGCCTCTTCTTCTCCCCACTCTGGTGAATCTTCTCACCCCCCCGCACCTCTGGCCTATACCCCAGCTCTTGAATGCATAAATAAATAAAACTTAAAAAAAAAGCTGTTGAGAAGAACGAGTTGTAGAGTTTCCCTTCCCTCTAGTCATACCCTTTTCTGTGTCCTATAGCCATTGAGACTGCACCATTCCGTGAACTTGGACCCCTAGCAGTACAGAACAACTGCTTCCGCTATCTGACCCCGACTGCATTTTCCTGAAAACAGTCCTGTGGATTGAGCCTTTGGTGTATGAGGTTACCTTTGTGATGGGCTCACCCCCTCCCAAGAAAGTTAACGTGTACTTCATGGTCCCTGTTTTCAGATTGCTGGCATGGAGTGGCAGATGAGGAGGCATCTTGTGAACAGACGACTTCTGTAGAAGGAATGCCACAGTTCAGGACTCACAAGGCAGGTCCATCTCCCCAGAAGGCCCAGCCCTTTGAGAGGTGTGGCCCAATCATGAGAGACATTTTGCACTTGGATGAGCACCAGCGAACACGTCTTGTTCAGAAGCCATACGCGTGTGGAAGAAGATCGTGTTTCGTTGCCAACCGTCAACAGTTCCAGCGGCCGTACATCACAGAGAGGCCCTTCAGAAGTTCTGTGGACGAAGCCTCCTTTATAAAGGCCTGCACAGTCCACGTGTCAGGAAAACCCTTCATCTGTGGGGACATTAGCAAGGACTTCATGGCCAGCATGGGCTTTTACCGTCAACAGGTCATTCTCACTGGGGAGAAGCCAAACATTAGTGATGGTGGGTATGAGAATATCTTCCATGGTGGAAAAAGTCGCCACCGCTGGGAAGACTGTGAGAAAGCCTTCAAGTACACAGATAATGTGGCTCAGGACCAGAGCATCCTCCCCAGAGAAGGACTTTATGAGTGCAGCATATGTGGGAAAACCTGCACCCGAAGGTGTAACCTCATTCAGCACCAGAAAGTCCATACTGGAGAAAGGCCTTATGAGTGCAGCGAATGTGGGAAACTGTTTACCTATTACTCCAGCTTCATTGTACATCAGAGAGTGCACACTGGAGAACGGCCTTATGAGTGCAGCGAATGTGGGAAATCGTTTAGCCAAAGCTACAGCCTCAATAGCCATAGGAAAGTTCACACTGGAGAAAGGCCTTACGAGTGCAGGGAATGTGGCAAATCTTTTAGTCAAAGGTCCAACCTCGTTCAACATCAGAGAGTTCACACTGGGGAAAGGCCTTACGAGTGCAGTGAATGTGGGAAGTCCTTTAGCCAAAACTTCAGCCTCATTTACCACCGCAGGGTCCACACGGGAGAAAGGCCTCATCACTGTGGCGAATGTGGGAAGTCATTTAGCCGAAGCTCCAGCCTCATTCACCACCGGAGGCTGCACAGTGGAGAAAGGCCTTATGAATGCAGTAAATGTGGTAAATCCTTTAAGCAGAGCTCCAGCTTCAGTTCACATAGGAAAATCCACACGGGAGAAAGGCCTTATGAATGTCGGGAATGCGGAAAATCTTTTAGCCATAGCTCTAACCTCAAGAACCACTGGAGAGTTCACACAGGAGAAAGGCCTATTGAGTGCAGTGAGTGTGGGAAATCCTTTAGCTGCAAATCTAACCTGGTGAAACACCTCAGAGTTCACACAGGAGAGAGACCTTATAAGTGCAGTGAGTGTGGAAAATCCTTTAGCCAAAGCTCCAGCCTCATTCAACACCAGAGAGTTCACACTAGAAAAAGGCCGTAAGAGTGCAGTGAGTGTGGGAAATCCTTTTGCTGTCAACCTGACCTCATTCGACACCAGAGACCTCACACTAGTGAAAGGCCTCAGATGCACATAGGCTATGCGGTTTCCTTCTAGTAGTTACACTGGACCAAGAAGTTTTGAGGGGTCCGTCTCCTAGAATCAAAGCCCATGCACCCGAAATTATCATTCTGGGCAGATTCCACTTGAATGCCAGCCGTGCAGGGATCTTTCAGGAGCTGTGTTACACTTTCTAACCTGTCAGGGCCCTTGTTACATATACACCACCTCAGTTTATGTGACAGTTCATTTCACCTCCTCCACCTGGCAGGCCCACCTGTGCATCACCCTCATGTGTTCAGGGAGGATGACTTCTACTTTTGCCCATGTGCTGAAGGAAAGATCCTAGGTGGTCTTAGGCCTTGCGGGGTCCTCATTCCCTGCGTGTTCACAAATCAGGTTGTGGGTCTCCCCAGTTTGATCCCAGGGGACTCAATCTTCATTCTCCTGGTGTCTTGCCCAGAAGAGCTGTGCCAAAGACACATTTATTTTATGTGCTGCAGGTTTGAATCTTCCCTGACTCCAAGGCACTGTCCTGGAGATGCTTCCTCATGTTGCTTTGGATTTTTGCAATAATAAAGACGTGATTATGTAAGACACCTGTGATCTTGGGGTTTTATTCACTGTATGAAATGACCTGACAACAAGTGGGTTCTGTCAGCATGACGGAGGCCACAGCTTTCATGCAAGTCCCGTGTGTTGCGCAAAACAGTGATGGAGAATACAGCTTTCTGGTTTGGCTTAATTTGCACTGTTGCCTAAGTTATCCGAGGAAAGGCTGAAACACTCGTGGTCTCAATTTGTGAACCGGGTTGCAGGATTTTGTGTGGGCTCAGACCACCCTGAGGAACCATGAAGTTGTGACAACCTCAAGCACTTTGGGGAACAACATAGATTCCTTTTTGTCACAGTGAATAGCACATAACATACAGCATGTTGAGGGGAATCTACCCCACATCCTGCAAAGAAGCCACGTCCCCTGTACCCAAAATCCACTAAGCTAGCGTCACTAAGACTCCAGGGCCCCGACAGAACCCTAGTTGGTATAGTGACATCAGGCAAAATAGCTGGAATGTGCCTTATAAAATCGCTTCAGCAAAAGAGGCGGTGACTGATGGCAGTGTCGCCGGGCACAGAAGTTGTCAGCATGGGCGTGTGTTTCTTTCGTAGCTGAGGTCATCGTCAGAGCAGTAACCTACTGCTGTCCTTGGTTCCTGGGCCCTTTATGGGCTGTAAACCCGAGGTCATGCCCTGGCAGAAGCAGCAGCTTCCAGAGTGGCCCTCCCGCCAGGGGCGCTTTTGTGCGTCAATGTTCGCTCTACTTAGCTAGGCCCCTCCTCCCAGGTCACTGGAAAAGAGATTCAATACAGGATCGCCAACCCGATTTTGTGAAGAACGGGGCATCTAGATGTTTCTTTTGAACCCTAATTAAAGGTATAATTGGGTTAGGTGTAGCTGACACGACACACCAGACCCGTTGGAAGTTTTGATATGTAAACCCCGGAGAGCTCCATCATGAAACACACACTTATTTGCGTAACACCAGCTCTTGTTTGCATAAATAAACCTTTAAAAAAAAAACTGGGGTGCAGGCCAGAGGTGCAGAGGTGAGAGGACTCACCAGAGACAGAGCGGGGAGCAGAAGAGGCGGATCTACCGAGATCCACTGCTGAGGGGAGCAGCGGGGAGACAGGAGAGGTCTGCTGCGCCCTGTGGGTCAGCTCCCTGGCCAGGGATAGAACTCAGGCTGCAGTGGCTGCCGATAGCTTGCACCACCAGGGAGGCCCTGCACCCCAGTTCTTGTCCGCATACATAAATATCCTGCTCCTGGCAAAGGTGGACGTGACCCTATAGCGGGCTGAGCGGCCTCAGGCGCCTTTCACGCTCCAGCAGCCAGGGACTGACGTGTCCGTCGCTGCCCACCACGTTTCCCGCGCGTCAGGCCCCGCAGGCGCCCCCGCGGACACTTCAGCGCCTTTGCTCGGGCTTCTTCCCGGACGCCCCGTCGCCCCAGCTGGGGTTCAGGCCCAGGCCCCGGCGGGCTCGGCGGCCACGGGCCGGGACTACATTACCCAGCACGCCCTGCGCCGACGGACGCGGCGCCCCTGCGCGCCTGAGGGGCGTGTCCGCGCGCGGGGGCGGGACTTCCGGGCGGGCGCTGCTCGGGTTTCCGTGGTGACGGGTAGCGGCCGCCGGGGGCCCGCGCGGAGGGCCGAGGGGTGGCGACGCCGCGGGACGCTCCAGTCCCGGGCCCCCCGCCCGCCCGGGCCCCCCAGTCCGCGGCCCGCACGGCCCGATGGCGGCGGCCGCGCCGAGGGCCCCGGCGGAGGTACAGGCGCGCCCGCTCCCGCCGCGGCGTCGGGGCCGGCTCGGGGGGCGCCCGCGGGGTCCGGACGGGGATCGGGGGGCGGGGCGGGAGCGGGCGGGGACCCCGGGGCCGGCCTGGCGGGGGGCGGGGGCCGAGCCCGCAAAGTCGGGAAACGCGTCGGTCGTGGGTCTGCGGGGCCCTGCGGGCGGCGGGGGGTCCGGGCCGCGCGGGGTTGGACGCCGTCGGGGCGACTTCGGCGGATGAGGACAGGGGCGGCCGCTCTCCTCGGGGCGCGCGTGCGGCCCGGCCGGGTCCCAGGAGGCCGCAGCCCGGGCCCGTCGCCTTCCTCTGCCCGCTGGTGCTGGAGGCGGTGGCGCGCCGGGAGCCCGGCGGGGGGCGCGGGTGTCGGCTCTGCCGGGCGGGACGCGCCCCTGGGGTGCCTGGACTGTGGCCGAGTCTCCTTCTTTGCGGATTTTCTCCAGAGTCGGGACCCTGGAGACACACCAGCCCCTTGCCGAGCGCAGCCCGGGCTTGTCGGCCCAAGCGCTCCCGTCTGGGCCCGCCCTTGTGAGCGGATGTGGAGGGCGCCCGGGATCGCTGGGCACGAGGCGGGGCCCGGAGGTGTGACTGACCTGCTACAGGTCCCCACACTCCTGTGGCCACTTGCACTGGGCGTCCCTTGTGCGGGGAGGAGGTGTCCGCGGAAGTGCAACAGCTGATCTTGCCCGCGGCGGTGGGCCCAGGGGCCGGCTCAGGGGGGCTGCTGCTGCCAGTCAGATGGTCCCCGATGGTCGTGAAGGTAGGAGATGAGTTTGATTTTAGTTCGTCTTTTATAAGGGTCAGTAATCATTCAGATGTTGTAATAAGGAGTGGAAGCCTCTGCTTTAGGTAAGACTCCAGAGTTTTTGGTTCTGGCAGCTGAAGGCATGGATGCGCCTTCATCCCTCTGCTGGGGTGTGGGATTTGCTGGTAGCTTAATTTTCCCTGGAGATATCACAACTTTTGTTCTGACCCTGGTCAGAGTTGAAGGAACGGTGGGTGGTGGCCACAAGAGGGCACCAGGTCTGGTGATTTGTGTGCAAGGGTTCAAGGTTGGGGTCACAAAGATGGAGGCTGTTCTGTGGGCACGAGTGAATCACATTTCCGAAGGGGATGCAGGTTGCAGGGGCCTGCTACTAGCCTGTCAGAGAGACTAGGGTGCATGGGGCGGGGGTTTTCACTTGTTGAGCATCTGGTTGGAATTGCTGAGCCTTAAAAAGGCAGATGGGGACAAGGACCACTGGAGACCGAATGAGCTGGCAGGTGGCCACGGCGTCCATGGGGTTTGTGTGCCCACGGTGACTTCAGAGGCGCGGGAGTGATTGAGGCAGTTGAAACTGAGGCTGGGATGCTGGGACTCTGGTGAGTTCACAAGTGTTTGGAGTCACCGGATTGTATAGTGAGCTTGGGTGGGACCCGGGGTGTTTCATTCTTGGTGGATGAGATTTAGGGTAAAGGTAGTTACTTGTGAGAGAGGCTGTACCTCGCAGGATACTGTCACGACTTGGGTTCAGAGGAAGAATGAGTGGAGGCAAAAGTGTTGAGACAACAGCACACAAGTGCCAGAGGGTCTCGGGCACCTGCAAGTCACCTGTCTTCCCGGGTGGCCGTCATGATGCAGGACTAGAGACCCGCAGGAGGCCATCACTGCAGCATCTGGGGCTCCCCTGGCCTCGGTGTCCATGAGAGGGTTGGTTTTCTACTGGATCCTGCCTGAATTTGTCCGCATACCAAGGAGCCCACATGCCGCGTGCATGACTGAGGCCAGGAGGTGTCTGCCACTGTCACAGGCCGGGAGATGGCAGAGCTGTGGGCGTGCCGCTGCGGGGACTGAGGCTGTAGAGGCGTGGCGTCTACAGGATGACGTGCACAGACGGCGGGCCCTGGGATACGCGAGACACTTTGGGTTGTGCCGTAGAAGTGCAAGTGGGAGGTTCCAGGGAAATTGGAACCTGCAGGCCAGGCCCAGAGCTTCGATGGCATCTGCTTGGGCCGCAGCACCTGCCTGTCCCTGCTGCGGTCTGAACACAGTGGTGTCTGAGACCCTGAGGACAGACTGGGACAGCGGCCAGGGCCTGCTATCTTCTGGGGTGGGAGCTGTGGAGGAGGGTAAGTTGGGATACTTGTAGGAGGAGATGTGGTTTCTCGGGAAGACAGAGCTCACGGTTTCCTCTGTCCCCTTCCTGATAGATTGACGTGACCTTTGAGGACGTGGCCGTGTACTTCTCCTGGGAGGAGTGGGGGCTCCTGGATGAGCCTGAGAGACGCCTGTACCACCTTGTGATGCTGGAGAACTTGGCGCTCATCTCCTCGCTGGGTAAGATTCCTCACAACCTGCCTAGCGACAGGCACAGACTTGGTCTCTGTCTGCGCATGGGGACTGTGTGTAGTTGCCGTCCTTGCTGGGGTGGATTTGGTCACCCTGTGCCCTTGGCTTCCCCAGCACCAGTACCTGCTGCCCTGAGTTCTAATACGGGAGGATTTCACAGCCATCGTCTTGCAGTGAGTCCAGTGGATTGCACTGTGATCGCCGTCTTCACTGGTTCATGATGTCCCGATCCACAGCACATATGTGTCCCGGGGTCTGGTTGCTTAGCTTAGCCGACATCGCCTTACTCCCTGCTTGTGCCAGGAAACGCAGGCTCTGCTTGGCTCCTTGGCTACATACCTGGACCATGGGCTATCTTACAAGACCCCTCCTATATGGTTGGGTTGTTTTTAAAGATTTATTTATGCATACAAGAGCTAGGGTACAGGCCAGAGGTGCGGGGGGTGAGAGGACTCACCAGAGACAGAGTGGGGAGCAGAACAGGTGGATCCACTAAAACATACTGTTGAGGGGAGCAGCGGGGAGACAGGAGAGGTCTGCTGTGCCATGCGGGTAGCTCCCTGGCTGGAGATCGAACTCGTGCTGCAGTGGCTGCAGACAGCTTCATAGGTTGCGTCTTAATTCCTTGTGCCACCAGGGAGGCCCTCATGAATGAAGGTTTATACCTTTTGACCAACACCCCCCATTTCTTCCACCCCCAGCGTTCTACTCTGTCTCATTTTTTGTTTTGTTTAGAAGGCACATTTAATGATATTATTCAGTATTTGTCTTTGTCTGACTTACTTGTTACTTCTCCTAGCATAGTGTTGTCCAGGTTCATCCTTGTTTTGCATATGGCAGGTTTTCCCTCTTTTTATAAGACTGAAAAATAGTCCATCGATGTATGTATGTGTCATTCATTCCACACTTTTGCTCCCCATTCATTCGTTGCTGAACATACCTGGCATATTGCGAATAATTCTGCGGCGAACGTGAGGGTGCAGGTGATCTCTGCAGCTTGGATGCACTTCCTCCTCTTTGATGTTTGGGAAGAGTTGAGGAGGGATTGACATTCAGTTGGTCTTGAACGATCGGTGCCTACTGTAATTGCTTCTTCCTGAGTTTGTGCACATACTTCTACACACCTGATGTGACCAGCAAAAGAAGTCCTGTAGGAATCCTTGTAGGAGGAACACATTTCAGAAGATGCCGCGCTTCCTCATGTGTGTGACCACTGTCCCGGGCTTGTGAGAACGCCACTAATCTTTTGACTTAGCTACTAAATAATGCCCGCACCCGCTTCCCCAGTGAGTTTCTACTCCTTTGTCTTGAAAAACATCCTATGAACTCATTCCTAGGTGAGACGGATGCGTTTGTAAGGGTCTTGTCCGGGTCTTGTCCCTTGCCCATGGGCAACACGTTTCTGACCAGGCACCTCCCTGGTGGCCGAGGGGTTAAGTCTCAGGTTGTTGCCACTGCGGCCTGAGTTCAGTTCTGGCCAGGGAGCTACCCACAGGGTGCAGCAGACCCCTCCCGTCTCCCCGCTGCTCCCCTCAGCAGTGGATCTCGGTGGATTTGCCTGTTCCGCTCCCCACTCTGTCTCCGGTGAGTCCTCTCACCCCCTGCGCCTCTGGCCTACACCCCAGTTCTACGCAAAAAACAAGCAAACAAAAAGAGGTGTCTGACCAGCCTTTCTTTCAGGTTGTTGCTGTGGAGCAGAGAATGCAGAGACACCCTTTCAACCGAATGTTTCCATAAAAGTATCACAGTCCAGGACTCCCAGGGCAGCTCCATCTTCCCGGAAGCCCCACCCTCGTGAGACATGCGTTCCGGTCCTCATGGACATCTTCTCCCTGCCCGAGCTCCCAGGAGCGCATCCCAGCCAGGACGTGTTTGGTTGTGGGGCGTGTATGGAACAATTGTTTTTAAGTGCAAACCTCCAGAAGCAGCACATGGGCGAGAAGTCCTTTACAAGCAGTGAGGACAAAGCCTCCTCTGTGAAGCGTTTCAGTTTCCATGTGTCGGGGACGCCCGTTACCTGGGAGGGAGCTGGGAAGGGCTTTCTGGCCACCTCTGAGCACGTCCAGCAGCAGACGCCTCGTGCCGGGCAGGGGCCCAGCGCAGTCACCCAGTGCGGGGCAGCTTCACGACGCAGAGAAAGTCATGTCAGCGGGAGCGAATGCAGGATAGCCTTCCGCTCCAGACACGCGCTAGATCGGCGCCGGGCCGTCCGCGCCGGCGGGCAGTGTTCTGTGTGTGGCGAAGGTGGGAAAACATTCAGGAGCCGATCCTCCCTTGCTGCGCCCCGGCGGGGTCACGCTGAGGAAAGCCTGCGTGGGTGTGGGGACAGCGGCCGGTCCTCTGGGCGCAGCTGCGCCCCCGGGAAGCCTGGCAGCGTGCCCGGGGGGGAGGGCGGCGCAGCAAGCGCGGGGTTTCCTTTCGCCAAAACACCGCCTGCCTTCCCTGCCTTCGCCCCGGAGACGGCGCCGGGGGAAGCCGTCCCCGGTGCGCCCAGCGCGCAGGGTCCCTGGGCCGTGGCCCCATCCTTGCTTCTCGGCAAGGGAGGGTGTCCCCCGGGAAGGGAAATGTGGAGTGTGCCGAGTGTGGGAAATCCTTTCGGTCACGTTCCAGTCTCCTTGCACACGGGAGAGCTCACACTGGAGAAAAGCCTTACAAGTGTGAAGAATGTGGGAAATTTTTCTCGGCCGAGTCCGGCCTGCGTTCTCCTCAGAGCGTTCACGCTGCGCCCAGGCCCCGCGCGTGCGCCGAGTGCGGGAGGCCTTCACATCTAGCTGCTGCCTGCGCTACCACCAGCGGGCGCACACCGGAGAGCGGCCTTTCGAGCGTAAGGCGTGTGGGAAGTCTGTTCCCTACAGCTCCAGCCTTCGTTGTCCCCAGCGGGCGCGCACGGGGACAGGCCGCGCGCGAGCGGCGAGTGCGGCCAGGCCTTCAGCCGCTGCTCGGCTCCGCCAGCACCGGCGGCTCCCCCCGGGGGAAAGGCCGCACGCGGGCCGCGAGTGCGGCCGATCGTTCATCAGCAAATCGTCCCTGTCGCGACACCGGAAACTCCACGGCGGGGGGAGTTCTCAGGAGGGCGGCGCGCGCGGGGCGGCTTCCACCTGCGGCTCTGCCCGCCGTTCGCCTCGGCGGCTTCGCACCGGAGAAAGGCCCTGTGCGTGCACCGAACGGGGGACATCATGGCGCCGGCAGACTTCCCTTTCCCGGCACCCGGGACTTCGCTCGGGAGGAACCCCCTCCGGGCGCCGGCAGCGTGGGGGGCTCCTGCCTCTGCCTCCGCCCTTCGTCCTCGTCAGGCCACGCGCGCGGGAGAAAAGCCTCACGCGTGCGGGCGGTGTGGGAGATCTTTCACACAGAGCCGTGGCCTCCGCTTACAGCAGGGACGACACTGGAGAGAGGCCGTCTGAGTGCAGCGAGTGCGGGGAGCCCTTTTCCCAGCGAAATCACCTCACTGTGCACCTGAGAATTCACACTAGAGAAAGACCTTAGCGATCCCGGAACGGTGCAATTTTCCTTTCCAGCGTGAAGGCACTGAGGGAAGCCACACGGAACCCGCCGTCTGAAACGAGAACCTCGCATCCAGGCGTTCGCAGCAGGCAGCCTCCCTGTTATTTTCAGGGATCTGGGAAGCGTGTTTGGCCGCGGTCCATTTTCTGACCTGCCCGTGACCAAAACCATTCACCTCGCCCCCTGGCAGGCCCAGCCAGCACGTGTCGGTCACCACGGCGGTCTGCTCAGGCATGCTGACCTCTGTTCTCCCAGGTCTTGGCTGCTAAAGGTTAGCACAAGCCCGTGGGGCTCTGACTAGCTCGGGCAGGGGCCTGACCCGCTGTCGGGCGAGAGAATGTGCGCGTTCAGCCGGAAACTGCGGAGCAGGACGATTTTTTTCAGTGATACGTTCCCGTGTGGTGAGTTTTGCTGCTTCCAAGATACTGGTCTGTTCTTTGCTTTGGGTTCTGCAGTGGGGAGGCCTGGCTGTAAGGGCTGCTTCATGTGGGCTCTTATATTTATTCTGTGGGGTGTTTCATGGGCAGATTCGGGCTCCAGGAGCAAAGGGGGACACTTTTTATGGAGGTCTCAGACTTGCTGTACCTTAAAAGGTAGCGGCATGGGGCCTCCCCGGTGGCGCAGCGGTTGAGCGCTGGGTTGCGAAGCTGCCCGCGGCCTCCGCGGCAACGGTTCGATCCCCGGCTGCTCCCCGGCCACCGGAGGAGGGTCCCACATGGCGCGCAGACCTCTCCTGCCGCCTGCCGCTCCCCTCAGCCGTGCACTTCGGTCCTTCTGCCTGCTCTGCTCCCCGCTCTGGCTCTGGTGAATTCTCTCACCCTCCCTCCCGCGCTTCTGACTGTACCCAGTGCATGTATAAACAAAAACAAACAAACAAATAAATAAATAAAACATGCCTCTATTAAAAAAAAAAAAAAAAAGGTAGCGGCATGATGGCAGAAAAGAACTCACCGATATTGAGCAGAGTTGCATTGCTGCCAGCAGCCATCTCAAGTGACTGCAAGGCTTTCTGGCCCTCACCGGGAGGCTGGTCACTTTTAGGGGACTCAGGTGACCTTGAGCAGGAGGCAAGCATAGTAACCTCACATTCTTCCTCGAGCACCATGGGTTTTTTTCCCTACTTGTTCCCAGAAAATGACAGTGTTGTTGAGGGGAACCTTCCCCAATTCCAGCAGAGAGCCATGCACCCTCGTCCGCAGTGTCGTGGGTCCGGGTCACTGGTTGTGAGACCACAAGGATCAGGGTAAATCTTAACTGCTGCTGAGACACGAGTGTGTTCAGTGGCCACTGAGGCCGACTAGATGGAAGGTGCCTCTTGTAAAAGTGCTTCTGGCAGTGGTCTGTGGCGGTCAGAGTGCAGGGAGAGCGCACGCAGGTCTCAGGACCTCCAGGCACGCTCACCTTGTACAGCTGGTCTCAGAAAGTCTTCAACAGGGTTCGTGGTTTCCTACAGCCCCTCAGCGACGTTGACTTCAGAGCAGGCAGACGATGGCCAAGGGGCGTGAAGGGCACAGATGCGCTTTGTTTTTGGTGACTCGGGTGGCACGAACCTTCACTGCTCCCCCGTGTCTGCTGCCACCGAGCAAGACTGACCTCGGTGCATGAAGAGAAACAGCGGGGTCAGTACAGAGCTGCCATGCATGCTCTCCGAAACAGTGGGACTTAGAGGTGTCCCCCGCAGCCATCTCTTAGAGCTTAGCTGGTCAAATTTCCCAGCTGCACATGCTTCCTGGCGTTTGGCACGTGTGTGAACCGTATCCCTCGCTGTATTCTTCCCTCACTGTTCTTCCCTCGTGTTTCTGATCATCTCTGCCCCCACCCTTCACAGCCCTCCAGATAACAGGGAGCCGATTGATTTTCCTTTATGTAGATACTGTGGCATTTTCTATATTTCTGTGGTTACAGTCATTAAGTTTTATGCCTTCCCCCCCCCCTTTTTTTTTATTTATTTACACAAGCACTGGGTACAGTCAGAAGCGCGGAACGGTGAGAGAACTCACCAGAGCCAGAGCGGGGAGCAGAGCAGGCAGAAGGACCGAGGTACACTGCTGAGGGGAGCAGCGGGCGGCAGGAGAGGGCTGCGCGCCATGTGAGACCCTCCTCCGGTGGCCGGGGAGCAGCCGGGGATCGAACCCGCGCTGCAGAGGCCGCGGGCAGCTTCGCAGCCCAGCGCTCAACCGCTGCGCCAGCAGGGAGGCCCATATGCCTTTTTGTTTTCCTTGTCCCTGATGTTGCATAATTGCTTTGACTCTCATCAGCAACATTTGAGTAGGCTGGCGTTACTTTCTTACTGTTCTTGAATGCAGCTCTGTTAGTTTACCCACTGCTCTGACCTCAGATTATTACCAGTTTTTCACCACTGTGAATAAAGCTTGTACAAACGGCGTACAATTCTTTATGGAAATGTATGTTTAATTTCTCTGTTGTAAATAATGTAGAATGCAGTGTCTGAGTCCCGGAGTAGGCGACTGTTAACTTGGCACAGGCCCTTGGGGCTCTGGCAGATGTGGGCGAGGACCTGACCTGTTGTTGGCCCAGAGAGTATCATGAGGTCAGCTCAGAAAGTTATGATAGAAAACGTCCTTTTCTTACCAGCTTTTTATAAGTGTTCCACTTCTCTGCATTGTATAATTGGGGTGCTGTTAATCATTTCAAATTTAGCCCTTTCAGGGCCTCCCGGGTGGCGCGGGCAGTTGAGCGCAGCGCTGTGAAGCTGTCCGCAGCCTCTGCAAGCGTGGGTTCAAGCCCGGCCGGCCGGCGAGGGTCCCACATGGCGAAGTAGACCTCGCCTGTCTCGCCCGCTGCTCCCCTCAGCGGTGAATTTCATCAGTCTGCCTGTTCTGTTCCCCGCTCTGTCTCTGGTGAATCCTCTCGCCCTCCCGCGCATCTGGCCTGTAGCCTGGTTCTTGTATAAATATAAATCTAAAAAAAAGAAAAGATTTATAAATTTAGTCCTTTCCGTGAGCTTGTTGTGCTATCGATTTTTATTGCATTTCCCTCAGCATTCCCAATGAGTATTTTTTCAGATGTTTATTTCCTATCTGTAAGTTTCTGGTAAAGTGTCTACTCAAATTTTTTGGCCTATTCTTTTATGAACTTTGCCTATTTTCTTTAGCAAATAGGGTGAAAGGGACAAAGTTGGATGTTGGGGTTTAATATATTTTTTAAGGTATTCTTTTTTCTTAATTTTTTTTTTAAGATTTATTTTTTATTTATAAAATAGCTGGGCTACAGGCTAGAGGCGCGGGAGGGCGAGAGGATTCACCAGAGACAGAGTGGAACAGGCGGATCTACTGAAATCCGCTGGTGAGGGGAGCAGCGGGCGAGAAAGGAGAGGTCTGCTGCGCCATATGGGTGGCTCCCTGGCCGGCCGGGAATTGAACCCTGCGGACAGTTTCACAGCACCGCGCTCAACCCGCTGCGCCACCAGGGAGGCCCTACATGAGTGACTTCTATGATCAGTGGAATAACTTTTCATTACTAGAAAATACATTTTATTTCCTCAAATTTTTTGTGCTGTGCACAATGTAATGGCCATGTTGACCATACACTTTGGGGATTAGTGTGTGTTACTGCCACGTTCTCCATCAGTTTCTTTCTTTCTTTCTTTCTTTTTTTGTGGGACCCTTGCCAGCGGCCGGGGAACGAACTGGTGCTGCAGAGGCTGTGAGCAGCCTCCCAGCCCAGTGCTCAACCGCTGCGCCACCAGGGGAGGCCCTCCATCAGTTCTTAAGCTTAGACATTCAGTACTCTCAATACATAATAAAGTCTTGCTTTGTAGTGTGGGCTCATTTTCCTGGTCTGTCATGGGTGGATTGGGACAAATGGGGACCCTGATGGCGTAGAGACGGCGAGCAGTGAACAGACTCCCCTGTGGGCCAAGTGCCCTGAATGGGAACCATGTCTCCCCACCCGTCTCTGGGGCTCACAGGCAGTGCTTCTCCTCTGGGCCTCAACTCCTCCCGAATACCGAGGTGGTGGGAGTGACCCTCTGCAATTGTGGATGTGACGAGCTGAGGTGCCACATGTGGTCTCGCAGCCGCAACATTGTCCTCCACCTGCGTACGGGCACATCCCAGCAAGGTCCCCCTTCAGGCCCCTCAGGGACTCAGGGAGTGACTCTCAGGTTTCAGTGTAGGTTCCCCACTGCGGACCCCTGGCAGATGGCTACCTCTCCTAGAGGTTCAGGTCACCCCTGACTGTGTCATGCAGGTGAAGTCGTTCTCCGCAGGGGTCATGGAAGAAAGGGAAAAGGCGCTCTCCTGGGTGCCGGGGCTCCAGGACTTGATATTTTGAGCATCTTCGTTTTCATGCTCACACCCACCTGGGGAACTGGCAGTTACCACATTGGCATTGAATGTAAGCATTATTGTTGAATGAGACACAAGTCGTGTTGTGGAAATGGAAGATCAGGGAAGTGGAGGGGGTCCTCCCAAATTCACACAGTACACGAGTGTCAGACTCAAGAGGCTGGATCCATCATCCGAGTCTTGCTCCAGCGCTGGTGGTTCCTGTCTTGACCTCTGCAGGTGAAACCCTCAGCCCAGGCAGGACCAGGGAGGCTTCCCTGCCGCTGTTACTGTAGGAATGATTGTGGCAATTTCTCCCATTCTTCTTTGGGGCTCACTTGTATATTTACTTGGGATTCATTTGTATAAATATAAGGTCAGCGGACAGAGAACCCAGCACCCTGTTCTGACACGAGTCGAGTAGACCTCCCCCTGCTCCTGGTGGAAACTGCATTCATGTGGAAGCCTTTGTGATGGCTGTGTGGGCTCCTTCCCAGACAGAGGGGTCCCGTTAATATCCCATCCACCCTCACTCCCTGGCTGACTTTGTCCGGCATCTTCGCCTGGAAGCTAACGCCTCTGCCATAGAAAGCCAGACACCTCTGCCGTGTTCTGAGTCCCTTGTCTCACAGACACTGAGGTGGAAGATGTCTGCACGCGAGGGCCCCATCGTGCCTCCAAAACTCTTCCCTGTCAAAATCACAGCCCCCAGCAAATTCATCCTTCCGGCTGTTGGGGACCAACAGCAGCCTCGCAACCCAGCGCTCAACCGCTGCGCTACCGGGGAGGCGCTGAGTTAGGTTTTGAACACTCTGAACCACCTTGTGTTTTATTTTAAGTGTATTGTAGGTTCTAACTGTGATGCAGTAACAGACTGTCACCCCTGCCATAAGTTACTTTAAAAGTGGCAAATACATGGTGTTCTTGCCTTCCTGGATATCACAGAACACAGCCCTATGCTGTGAACCTTGGGGGAGGGATGGGGTCCAGCCGGGGCGGGTCTCACTGTCCCTCTGTTAGAGAGGGCAATTCACACCTGCACTTGAAGGGTGGAGGGAGCACAGCAGCGGTTGGATAGTACAGAGAGTAGAGCCCAGGGTTCCGGAGGAAGCTGGGATTTCCATGACTGTGTCTTCTCAGGGGTGTCCTACCCAAGCACTTAAACACCCCTTAGTATTCAGGGAACTTGAGCCTGGTTCCCTCAGCCTCTAAACCTCAGAAACAGAAAACCTCACATCTGAAGTCAGAAGCACATGGGTGACACCAGCTTCCTTGTACTCATCTTCCTCTAGCTAGGTGACAGACATCCATGTCTATGGCTCAGGAGCGAAAGCCTTACTTGCTGCTTCAGGGGTAACTCACACCTGTGACACCTGAGTAGTGTTGACCCTTCTCTTGCACATGTATCCATGCATCCACATGACACCTGCCTTAGGTCAGGCTGTGGCCTGTATCGCTGAAATCTGTGTCGCATGACTGTGTCGCTGAAATCTCAGCTGACTCTGACCCACGCGACCTGGTTGTCAACCTCTAGGCTTTCATGCCATCACTAGTCTGTTTCTTCTGCCCACGCAGAGCTTCAGATGGGTTCAACCAACACTGGAAGACCCTGCTTACCTCTGAGGCATTTTCTCTGGCCTTGGAGAAGGGGCCTGCAGGATCTGAGAGATGATGGCTAAACATGAGCACAGCTTCCTCATAGCTTCTGGCCACCATGGTACATACAGAGGACAAAATGCAAAGCAGACTTTAATTGAGGTAACTTTACATCTATGAGATTCAAGAGAAGGAGTAGTCAGTAGGTATCACATGTAAAATAAAATACCTTTAGGTTGTCCAAGGTATATTAGGTGAGAAAATCAAAACATGAATTTTTATACAAAGTGCGACTGTTTTTATGGAGAAACATAATTTGTAGGAATGTATTTGAACACAAACATACCCAGACAGACACAATTCTGAGAAGTTAATATTATACTGTAATTGTTTTACTCCAGGATGTAGAAATACAAGCTTTGTACTTTCATTTTATATTATGGAAAATAGCATGTACAATCCCCTCCCCCTTTAAGCAGTTTAAAAATCCTGCAGATGGGCCTCCCCGGTGGTGCAGCCGTTGAGCTCTGGGTTGCGAAGCTGCCCACAGCCTCTGCAGCGCTGATTCGATCCCTGGCCACCGGCGAGGGTCCCACATGGCACGCAGACTTCTCTTGCCGCCTGCTGCTCCCCTCAGCAGTGTACTTCGTGAGTCTGCCTGTTCTGTTCCCCGCTCTGGGTCTGGTGAATTCTCTCACCATCCTGCGCTTCTGACTGTACCCAGTGCTTGTAAAAATAAATTAATAAATCTTAAAAAAAAAAATCCTGCAGATTTACAGAGGACTCCTCATGCAAGTAACATAGTCACCAGTAGTAGGATGGGATGTTTCTGAAAATGCACCAATTCCCTGGAAGATTGTGAACACACAGGTTCTAAAGGCTGAGCCACAGACTGTTTTCACTAGGCCTCGCCCCCGCGTCTGCATTCAACTTGGTGATGCTGATGGTGAAAGCCCAGGAGTCATAAATCCGTGAAAACCAGCCTGGTTCCAGGCTCTAGTCCACTAAAGCAGAAGTCTGCAGGCTCAGAGGCACGGCCAAGTTTTCCCACACACGCCCTCTGAACGTGTCTAGTGAGCAAATCAGGCTAATGATCAACTTGGCTGGAGTTCTAGGCAAGGGCTCCACCTACCAGAGTTAGTCAACAAGTCTATTTAGTTAACATGTCCACCTAAAACTTATTCCAGAAACCCACAGAGTTATCCCTCATCTTCAAACTATTGCTAAATGATCCTGTTATCAAAGAGGCCTCCCTTACTGTGCTAAGTTAATAGACATCCATACTCCTAAGCATCTCCACCTTATGGACTTTCCCTTCTGCCTAGAGGATCGAACTCTACTATACATTGTCGAGATTTTCTTTTGTGATTCTCGTCGGTCTTACTTGAGTTTAACTCCCAAGAGGACAGGGGTCCCTTTTGAGCCCCAGTGTCTCCCATGCATGAGTTCTTGAAGCAAAATATTTACTTTGTTCATTTGTTATAAAAGTGAATAAACAAGATACACTGATTTCCTGGTACTTTCTTACAATTCTGTCTACTCATGTCTGCTTTAACTTTCCCTGAACCCCGATATTGTTCAAAGTTTCCAATATTGATCAAGAATCACCTTTTAGAGACAATGTCTTCCAGGACTGTTCTAATCAGTCACATGCTCAGCTTAACAATCTCTTCTAAGATGTCACCACTGAACCTTCTCTAAGCTGGTCATACTAGAGATTTTCTGTTGCTGCGATCTCTGAAGCACCGTGCGGTCATCATAGTTTTCTGTTGTTTGCATTTTACACGTTTTTCTCAGATAATATTCGTCATGCCCACCAGTGCCTGCAACCCCCGGGGCCTGACAACCACTGAGCCAGTAATGCCACGAAGGCAGGGGTGAAGTTGCCCCTCACTTCGTGGTCCCGGGCACCCCCCCCCCGCCCCCCCCCCCCCCCCCCCCCCCGCGTCCTGCATGCGCCCCGGCGACCCAGCTATCCATCACGTCCCCTTGACGTCTTCCACGTCGTCAGTGAATGGCATGAGACCCCCCAAAGGGCAGAGACCGTCAGGCGATCAAGGAGCTGGACACGGGCCGCTCCTCTTCCAGCAGCCCCGTCGTTTTCACGGGAAAAAAAGGCCGCGGAGCAGCCACCCGGACGCGGTCACCGGCACGGCGCTGGGGCGGGCTGCTGGGGTGCCCGGTGGCCCCGTCGCGCCCGTCCCGGCGCGTCCCCGCGTGGGGCCTTGTGACCCACGTCGCTGACGGACGGCAGGACGCGGCCGAGGCGCGGAGGCCCCGGCCGGGAAGCACCTGCGCGCGCGTCCGGCTCCGGCCGTTGGGCGCCACCTGCCGAGGCGCTGGGGGGCGGCAGCGGCGCGCGCGCGGCCCGGGCCTCGCCCCCGCGTCGGCGGAACTACGCTTCCCGAGATGCCCCGCGAGAGCGGCCGCGCGGGGCCAATCGGCGCGCGGGACGGGGGCGCTTCCGCGTGCGCGCGCCGGCGCGGGGCGGGACTTCCGGCGTCCTCCTCCGGGCGGTCATTTTGGCTGCTCGGCCGCGTCCGTCGCGCGCGGGTTGAGGCGCGCGGGTCGCCCCGAGGGTCGTGTCCCCGCGGCGCGAGGCGAGTCTGAGGCCGCCGCCATGGCCCGCGCCGGGGCCGCCGCGAGAGCCGCCCGCGCGCCCCCCGCCGCCCGCCGCCCCCGGCCGCGCTCGGGCCGCAGCCCCGGATGGCGGCAGCCGCGCTGAGGCACCGGCTCAGGTGACGCCCCGGGCCGGGCCGGCGGGCGGGGGGCGCCGGGGGCGGCGGGCGGCGGGCCTGGCGCCGGGGAGGGGGCGACGCCGTCCCGGGTCAGGCTGAGGCGGACCTGAGGCGGGGCTGGCGGGGGCGCCGGGACCCCGCACGCCGCAGGGGAGGGCGCCCCTGCCCCCGCTGTTCTCGGGGAACCCCAGGCCCTGGTGTCACCGCAGCCCGGGGCCTCGATCCCGCGCCCGGGTCTGTGCAGCCGCTCCGCGGGCTCGGACGGGCCGCCCGGCGCGGGGTGAGGACCGCCGGGAGTGACGCTGCGCGGGGCGTCGCGGGCGTCGGAGCGCCCGTTGGGGGGACGGGCGGGCCGGCGGCGTCTGTGCGGGAAGTGACGGGAGACTTGGGCCTCAGAAGGGGGTGTCTCGCCCCAGGTCTTAGCCGGCTCGTCCCCGCCCGGCGGGAGGGAGGGGCGGGGAGGGGACCCCCAGCTGCCTGGATCGGGGGCGACTTCGGGGACGGGTGTCGGATTCCGAACGTGTGTCCCCGCGGCAGCAAGTCCATTTCCCGGGGCGGAGGCCCCTGGGTTTTCCTGTTACCAGCACCAGCCGTGTTAGGCGTTTCCTGAGCTGCTCGTACCCCTGCCCCCCATCCCCCGCACGGCCTCCCCGGTCCTGGAGCCCCCCCTCCCGCCTTGCCGGGGGTCGTGGGATTTTACACGTAATGTTTAGGCCACAGAGCCCAGCCTTGTGCTCGCTTCCTCCCGTCAGACCCCATCTAGCCCCCGGGGGAGTCTGGGGTGAGGCGTTGGCTTCCGCGTTCACTTTCACCCCTTCCTTCCACCTGCCCTTTCCCGGCGCCCTTCGCGGTGGTACCCAGCATTGCGGCCTGTTCTGAACAGTGGGCATGTGGTTCTCATGTTTACTCGGGGTAATACTTGCGAGAAAACTGTCATTGAAGAAATAAAAGTGGCCCATCAGCTACTGACCCTTGTGCTCCGCATCTTTGTTCGTGCTGGCGGCTCTGGGAGCTCTTGGTGTCTTGTGAGGCCATAAGCTTCTAATGAGGCGCGTGTTTTGCCTCAGGAGGAACATGTTCTAGCTGAAACTTTCATTCATTCATTCAAACCTTCCTGAGTGGAGGACCTCGGAGTAAACGTGAACACGGGGTGAGAGCACTGCTCTGGGGCGCGCAAGCTGGACAGGAAGGTCTGCTGTGACCGAGGCTTCACTCCCTGGCCGGGGCCAAACTCCGGCCTCAGTCTTGATGGAGCTGAGACTTAACCCCCTGCGCCACCCGGGAGGCCCTTCCCCTCTTCATCCCACTGCCAGTGCCTCCGCTTGGTGGCCCTGGTGTCCGTGTCTGCTGCCTGCCGTGGAGCGGTGGCGGGGGCTCTGTGCCCCTTTTCTTCCCTCCTGGAACTTGACGGCATTTTGTGTTGTTAACCTAGCTGAGAGAAGTGATGAAAAATACAGTAGTGGTAAGAGAACTGTGTGGTATGTCAACATGAGGGACGATGAGATACCAAATAAAAATATACACAACTGCTGAAGAGTGTTACAGGGAATAAAGTGTAACTAACATGGACTTGTAAATGTTACATTCCCAGAAAAGTAGGACGAGCACTATATAAAAAGCCACAAAAGCCCATCCCACAGCTGCAAGTGGCCTGGCAGAAGCATTTCATGTAAAATTTTGCTGTGTCTTGCCCCAGCAGCTGCTTGTGTTAAGGCCACACCTGAAGCCACCGCACTTCTTCCCCGAATGAGTGACGACTGTCTCTAATAGACGAGGAATTTCTCCTTAACCGCGGCACCTCGTGTGTCAATAAAGCCGATCTCTGTGTGTTCTCCAGCACGATACAGTCTTCGGTTTTTCCTATTAGATGTTTTGAAAGATTTGTTTAAAGAATTAGGAAATGATTTATCTGTTATCACAGTGCAATGTTCTCATTTATAAGAACCAAAAATGTGGTTTTTCAGGTAACCCAAGTATATTTCTCCTCTAGTTGGTCTTCACAGAGCTGCTATCCCACAGCTCCCAGAACTTGGAATTTCCTGAGCCATTAAAACAAAGGGGGCATCTTTTGTCTCCCAACTGACCGGACCCTTGGAATTTCCTGAGCTGTTGGAGCAACAGGGGCATCTCTAGCCTGATGTTTGTTCTCTTGTCCTCGGTTCCCGAGAAAGCTTCAGAGCCCTAGACGGGTAAATGACTGTCTTGTTCTTAAGGGCTGTTATAAGGAAGGTAACTTAAGGAAACCAGTACACCTGCCAAAGGGCTGGTTGCCAGGGAAACCAGTAGCGGATGGGGTTATTGTTCCTGCCCCCAGATTTCCCTGGAAGGAGGCAGGGAGGAGGTGGGGTTCCGTTGCCAGTGGCCCATGATTCAGCCAGTCGTCCTCTTGTAAGGAAGTCTTGATAAAAGCCCCGAAAGGAGCTGGTGCGACGAACTTCCATCTTGGGGAACCAGACCGCTTCCAAACTGTGGTCTTGCCAGGCCCCAGGTTCCACCAGGAGTGAAGTTCCTTTCTTGGACCTCGCCCTCTGCTTTCATCTGGGCGTATTCTTGGTGCTGACTGGATGGGTCAGTGAGTAAATGGGTTTCCTGAGTTCTTCGTGAAGTCCGGGCAAACCAGTGGAACTTGAGGGAGAAATTGAGGGGTCCTCCAAGTTATAGGTGGCACGTGGAGTCTGAGCCCGGGACCGTGGGCATCTCCCCTCCAATAGAAGGAGAATTAACCCCTGGGACTTGTGACCTCTGTCTGCAGTGGAGGGCCGAGCCCTTAGCGGGGCTGATCCTGATTTCAACTTAAGATAAATGATCTCATCATCAGCACTCCCTTATTTGTCGTGAATTTTGTTTGCTTGAAAAAGGTCACATGCCCTATCTTCTGATCCTTGTATCAGTGTCATTTGCCTGAGCTATGACTTGTGTTTCCTGCACAAAGGTAATTATTTTACAGGTGAGACTAGATTTGGAATTATTCCTGTGTGGCCTTGCATACTTTTTGCATGACATCATGCGGCACATACTATCCTTGACTTTTTAAAAAAAAAAAAAAATTATGCATCCAAGAGCTGGGGTGCAGGCCAGAGGTGCGGAGGTGAGAGGATTCACCAGAGCCAGAGCGGGGAGCAGAGCAGGCAGAAGGACCGAAGTACACTGCTGAGGGGAGCAGCGGGCGGCAGGGGAGGTCTGCGCACCATGTGGGACCCTCCTCCGGGGCCGGGGAGCAGCTGGGGATCGAACCGGCACTGCAGAGGCTGCGGGCAGCTTCGCAACCCAGCGCTCAACCGCTGCACCACTGGGGAGGCCCCTCATGATATATTTTTATAATTGTTTTAACAGCTTACTTTAGATAAAAGAGTATGAAAGTCCCATGTTCCCTGAACCCGAATGGTGATATTTACACAACTCCAGTGCCGTATCAAAACCAGGAATTTGACATTGCACGGCATTGCCAGCTGGACTTTGCACCATACTGGATGACTTAATTTTTATGGTGTGTGTGTTTTATAAAATGTCTCCCCCTGCATGGATGTGCATCCCCTCTGCAGTCAAGATGCAGACGCGGTCTGCCATCCCTTCCCTCAGGCTGCATTTCCGCGCACCCACCCCTTTTCCTGTCCCCTGGGGACCACCAATTCATTCGGTGTCGTTTAATGATGTTGGGAAAAATACGTGAATTAATGGCATAGCAGAACATTAAACTTAAAGCTCTTTTATTTAAAAACTAAACATGATATGTGCAAGTGCATAAACATTCCTGTTAGGGGAATCTAACAATTTATGGTTTTCCTGATTTTTTTTTTTTTTTAGTGATCTGAACATTCAGCAAGAGAGACAATCTATTCATCATGTTCACCATAATCTCAAGCTCTTTACTGAGGGCACACCGTGATTTTATTCACTCTCCCACTGGTGATACTAAGTTGATTGAAATTTTATTATAAAATACTTTACCCAAAACAGCTTTGTAATTGTGAAAGATTTGCACATGGTTTGTTTATTTGCATCTTAAAAGGACACTTTATTAGGAAAAGGAGAAAGGTAAAAGAGGCCCCTGGTAGTCACAGCTGGGCAGGACAGCTGCTCACAGGATGAGGGTGAAAGTGAAACTGTGTTACAACAGCAAAGGAATTTTGTGGTGTAATGATATGACCCCATTTTTTTTGTCACTAACTTACTCTGATTCAAAGTAAATCAGCCTCTGACACACCCCCCTTAATACCTTTAACATACCGAGTAGATCCACTGACCTCATTTAGATGTTCTTTTCCGCAGAGCAGAGTTGGGAACCCCAGTAATAGCACGTCTCTTTACAAAGTTATGCCTCAAAATGGGGCATACGTTGAGATTCACAGACTTTGTCATTGAATCTTTACAAAGCAAGTTGGTTGTTTTTTAAAATATTTACTTTTTTTAAGATTTATTTTTGTTTATACAAGAACTGGGGAACAGGCCAGAGGCATGTGGGGTGAGGGGATTCACCAGAGACAGAGCGGGGAACAGAACAGGCAGGTGGACTGAAGACACTGCTGAGGGGAGCAGCAGGCGACAGGGGAGGTCTGCCATGCCATGTGGGTTTCTCCCTGGCTGCCGGGGAATCGAACCAGCATGTCCTGCCCGGTTTCTGGGCCACCAGACTTTGCCCCGGTACCTCTCAGTGCTTGCAGTTCAGAATTTGATCCCTAAAGGCCACTGGTTTCTGCTCTTTCTCTTCTGGATTCTGAATCAAAGTCAACATTCCTCTAAGAGCAACAGTTCTGTTGAGCAGAAACACAACATGGGAAAAGTGTGTATATTTCCCTGGGGTATTTCAGGCATATTATGTGTCTGAGGAAACAATAGTCTCGGTCTGTGATACTGACGTAATGTGTCTAAGCCTTATGGTTTAGGCTGATGGTGCCATTGTCCTTGTTTCTTACAGATACAAGCCGTGAGTCCTGTACGTTTCTCAGCAGTAGCCTTTCTTCTGTCCCTTCGCATGAAGCCAGAGCCGTGTACACCGTCCTGATACTGGTGAGCATTTGACTCCTCCATTGACTTTTTTTTTTTTTTTAAAGATTTTTTTTAATTTTTGTTTATTTATACAAGCACTGGGTATCGGTCAGAATCGCAGGAGGGTGAGAGAATTCACCAGAGCCAGAGCAGGCAGACCGATGAAATACACTCCTGAGGGGAGCAGCAGACGGCAGGAGAGGTCTGTGCGCCATGCGCGACCCTCCTCCAGTGGCTGGGGAGCAGCCGGGGATCGAACTGGCGCCGCAGAGGCTGCAGGCAGCCTCGCAACCCAGTGCTCAACCGCTGCATCACTGGGGAGGCCCTAAAGATTTATTTATTTTTATACAAGAACCGGGGCACAGGCCAGATGTGAGGGAGGGTGACAGGACTCACCAGAGACAGAGTGGGGAGCAGAACAGGCAGACTGATAAAATACACTGCTGAGGGGAGCAGTGGGGGGACAGGAGAGGTCTGCCACACCATGTGGGATTCTTGCCGGCCAGCCGGGATCGAACCAGCACTGCAGAGACTGCGGACAGCTTCACGGTGCAGCCCTCAACCGCCTGAGCCACCAGGAAGGCCCTGGTTTTGATTTTATGTTGACACGCAAAGGGTTTTTTCCTTTTACTTTGCAAACATTAGATATAGAATGTTTCAAGTAGAAGGAGCGATAATTAGGTATATTTTTAGTTGGGAAGAGGCATATTGACTTTGAAAATAATCGTAGGTCTCTAGTATTTTTTCCAGTATATTTGGATAATATAAATAACCCTGGTGAAACGCAGTACTTTTCTTGTGTAGTGAAGGAATAAGCCTTTCTGCACTTACTCTTCTACATTTAGGAGGGCCCTGGAAATCTGGCAATTAGACTTAGAGAAGACAGATTTACAAGATTAAAACAAGAGTCTGTTAATATGTGCAGTGCACATTCACCTGGGAGAGCTAAGTGATGGGTAACTTCAAGAACTTGGACTTTTATAACATCGTAGTGAAAGAACAAGAACTTTGTTAGGATGTGACCAGACAGGGCCTCCCTGGTAGCCCTAGGGGTTGAGTCTCAGCGCTACTACCGCAAAGGCCTGAGTTTGATCCCCCGCCAGGGAGTGACCCACATGGTGCAGCAGACCTGTCATGTCTCCCTGCTGCTCTCAGCAGCAGATTTCAGTAGATCTACCTGTTCTGCTTCCCACTGTCTCTGGGGAATCCTCTCACCCTGCTACCTCTGGCCTGTACCCCAGTTTTCCTACAGAAAAATAAATAAAATTTGTAATTTAAAAAAGAAGATGTGGGGCCTCCCTGGTGGTGCAAGGGGTTAAGCACCACACTATGAAGTAATATGCAGCCTCTGCAGCACGAGTTTGAACCCCGGCTAACCAGAGAGCAACCCACATGGCACAGCAGACCTCTCCTGTCTCCCCACTGCTCCCCTCAGCAGTGGATTTCAGTCAGTCTGCCTGTTCTGTTCCCCGCTCTGTCTCTAGGGAATCCTCTCACCGCCCCCCCCCCAGTATCTCTGGCCTGTACCCCAGCTTTTGTATGCATAAATAAATAAATCTTTAAAAAAAAAAAAAAAAGATGTGACAGGACAAATTGGCTTTATTATTTTTTTAAAAGATTTTTTATGCATACAAGAGCTGGGGTGCAGGCCAGAGGTGCGGGGGTGAGAGAATTTATCAGAGACAGAGTGGGGAGCAGAACAGGCAGATCACTGAAATCCATTGCTGAGGGGAGCAGCGGGGACACAGGAGAGGTCTGCTGCGCCCTGTCGGTCATTCCCTGGCCCGGGATCGAACTCGTGCTGGCGTGGCTGTGCAGATAGCTTCAGAGTGCTGAGACAACCCCTGCGCCACCAGGGTAGCCCAGAAAGGATGAGCTTTAAAATGTTTTGTAAATTCAAGATCCCAGATGTTGTCCTTGGTGTAGCTGTTGTATATTTTCAAGAGTTCCCATATTTTGGAAATGTTCTTCGTGCCTATAAGCATCGGTGGGGGGAGGGGATCCCCAGGTACTTCAGTTTACATGGTATTTATACTGAGAAGCTCAACTTCTTTCCACATGCAGATTAGCAAATAATTGTCACAACTTTCACAGAGTGAAGATTCTCTGCTGTCATCTGTTTAAACTAAGTCGATAGACTAGTTCGAGGATACAGGAGTTTCATTTACTGTTTTGTTCAGACACACGCAGACGCTGGGGATTACCTCACTAGAGGAGTGAGCCAGCCTTGACAGCGCTGCAGATGCTGTAGCCTCAGTCCTGGCACGGGTACCCCCTTGTGCTGTTTTATGGGTTCTTCCTCAGCAAAACAGAACAATAGTAGAAAAACTCAACTTGAGAACCCACGGGTGCTAGTTGGCTCACATGATGTCTGTAAAGGAGCTCCTGACTTCAAATTGATTAAAAATTTGGGGGAAATTGGTTTGGAGTTTTATGTTTTGACCCAGAACTATGAAGAACCCAAAATATAGCCAGAGAGGAAAAAAGAATCAAAAATTTGCCAAAAGTTTGACTCTCTGCGTCAGAAAAGCTGCTTGTGGAGAATGATGGCTTGACGCCCTGCGGCTCGCTTCCGTTTTCACTCGTGGCAGGCGCCGGCCGTGCTGCCGGCTGGGGCTGGCCCTGCTTCCGTTATGAATAACTGGGAAACCAGGGCGCAGAGGCGCCGGTGAGCCTTGAGAGAATGAAGGGGCCGCCCGCGGGCCGCCGCCTCTGGCTTCCTCGGGTCTGGGCGGCCCCCATGCCGCGGGTGGCCTGGCGCCCCGACACCCCAGACGCCTGGCGGCGGGAGCGTGTCGGACGCTGGCCCCGTGGCGACGTGATACCTGAACACCTGAGTGGTCAGTCGTGGGCTCAGCTCGGAGCCAGGGCACCGGCTCCCTTGGGTGCTGCTCCCCGTTGTCCAGGAGGGCCCGGCAGCCCCGTGTCCGGTGCAGGGAGCCCGAGGGCACTGGCCGAGCCCGGTCGCATCCAGGGCGTTTCGGCGTTTCCGGGCGTGGCGTCGTTCGGGGCGTCCGGCGTCCCCCCGCGAGGCTCCCTAGGTGGCTCCCGCGCGCCTTCTCACGCTCTGTCTCCCAAGTGCAGGATCCGGACGCCGGTGACCGCGGACGCCGTGCGGAGCGGTGGGCGCCGCGCAGGTGGGTCTGACGCCCGCGCAGTCCGATGGCAGAGGCCGCGCCGCGGGAGCCAGCTCAGGTATGGGCGGGCGCACCGCGCAAGGGGTGGAGTAGGACGACCTGGAACATTCTGGAACCCTGGTCGTTCACAATTGGGGAGCAAAGAAGGGAGAGTCGCCGGGTCCTCCAGGGAGAATCAGGCTCGGAATACCAAGGGGCCTTTCAATAAAGGAAAAACGCCGTTTGCCTTCAGGGACCTGCAGGCACCCTCGCCAGCGCTGGAAGCTGTCTTTGGGCAGTTGGGGCCCTTCGGTGGGAGCCCCTAGCCTGCCGGCCAGGGCCTGCGGGACTGCCGGACTGCCCTCCCCCAGCCCCACAGTGGGCTGCGCTGCCTGGCGCGAGAGTCCTGGGTGCAGACTGCCTGAGGGGAAATGCCTGAGGAGGCTGTTGGGGAAGAGCCACGCTGGTGACAGGGGCGGGAGCTTGAGCCTTGCTCAGGCCACACGGGTGGCGAGTCCAGCCAGGGCGGTGAGGAGAGGCCTCCCGCCTGCGGTGGGGGGGGGGGGCACAGTGCAGGCGCCCCGAGCCCGCCGAGATCTGGCCGCTTCTCCCCCGACCTGTCCACTGTCTCAGCGCTCAGAAGTCCTTTCCCAGTCGGCGTGAGTCAGATGGGGGCCGGGACCCCTCACCTGCCACGCTGTGCTCTGGGCCTGGGGCCCGCGGCCGGGCCGGGCCGGGTCTTCCATGGTGGCTTCCCATTGGGGCCGGCAGTGAAACGGGGGAAGGTGGAGCTGGCCTGGGAGCACTTTGGGGTTGTAGGTCCCCGTGGAGACAGCGGGAGGCGGCGTCTGTGTGCGATGTGGGAGCAGAGGGAGGTTCCGCTCGTGAAGGGAGGTGACCCGGCCCGGCCCTTGACGTGTTGGCTGCCTGGGAAGGTGAACAGACGGGGAAGGTTCGGGCGGAGTCCACCCGCGCGCGGCACGGGGGGCAGTGGACCTGGATGTGGAGATGGGCGACGTTACTCGCTTTGGTTCATGTTTCAGAAACAGACCCACTGGGAGCTTTGCGTGGGGCGCGTGGGGGCGAGGGCGGGCGGCCTGAGCGCGTGGAGCAGGCGTCGCGGCGGCAGGAGCGGTCTCTGAGGCCCGGGAGTCTTGGTTTTGCCACAGCGAGCGCCTGCCGTGGTTCCGGAAACCCTGGGTGAAGGCTGCGGCCGGCAGCTGGACACCCAGGCCTCGCAGTTGGGGTCAGCACAGAGACCGGGTGCCGCGTGGACACCGTCGCGCTGGGACGGGCGTGCGGGTTGCGGCGGGGCTGTCCCGGGGCCGGAAGAAGGGGTGGGCGCCAAGTCTGCGTCTCTCTCGGGTGCCGTTTGGAGGAAGAGGCTCTCGGGGACGTGGCCGGAAGCGGGGAGGATGATCCAGCAGGTGTCGCCGTGGGGTGGCTGCAGAGGAGGGATGGCGTCCAGGCAGGAGGACCCTGAGGTGCGGCCTCCTGCCCGCTCGCCAGCTCCCGATGGACCAGACCCCACCGCACGGGAACGGGTGGGCGTCTGCGGCCCGTGGCACTTGGGTTCAAGGGTTGAATTGTGCTCCCCTCAAACTTCTGTGTTGAGGTGCTGATCCCCAGGACCTCAGCATGTGGCTTGATGTGGAAGCAGGGGCTTGAAAGAGGCCTAATCCGATGTGCCCGGTGTCCTCAGAAGGACAGGACGGTGCGGGGGAGGGAGCGAAGACGGGGCGAGCCGAGGAGAGGGGTCGCTGGAGAAGCCGGTCCCGGCGGTGTCCCCAGAGCGGCCGTGGGGTGTCCGGCCTGCACCGTGTTCTTACCGTCGTCCTGGCAAGTCAAATCCGCCCGGGAGAGCAGCGCCAGCCTGGACTGGGAGTCGGGATGAGGGTGAACGGGGAGGGGGGGCTGGCGAGGGTCCTGAAGTCACCGCGGGGGCCGCCGCGCCGGCCTGAGGCTCACGCGTGGGTTCTGGGTGAAACGAGGTGTCTGGGTTTCGGCTGAAACGAGGGTCTGAGGCTGGCGGGGGCCGTCGGCGGGGTCCGCTGTGGGTCCTCTCGGCCTCTGCTGCGCCTGGGGCCCGCGGGGAGTGACGGGGAGGGTGCAGAGGTGCGCTGCCCCCAGTCCCGGCTCAGGCGCTCACGAGGGGGGTCGGGCCACATGGAGCCGCAACCGGAGGGGGCACGCTGGGTCCCAGGAAGCGGCCTGGGCGGGCCTGGCGAGGCCTGCGCTTGAGTTTTGTCTGCCCGCTCAGCCGCCCGCTGTGCTGAGAGGAGAGGCCGAGGCCCGGCCCCGGGGCGCCAGCTGCCTGAGTGGGGGGCAGGCTGCGCCGGGTTTGCGCGTGTTGGGTGGGTTGTGGGTCCTTGGGGCTGTTCGCGGTGTCATCTCTCCCCCCACGGCAGGGCGGCGTGACCTTCGAGGACGTGGTGGTCTACTTCTCCTGGGAGGAGTGGGGGCTCCTGGACGAGGCCCAGCGATGCCTGTACCACGACGTGATGCTGGAGAACTTCGCGCTCGTCACCTCGCTGGGTGAGGCTCCCCTGCCCAGCGCCGCCCGGCCCCCCTTTCGTCTGGTTCCTGGGCTGCGTCGTCCTCACATCCGAGCAGTCGGTGCTGCCTCCGCTGCCAGGCCCGCGGCGCTGTGGTGGACGGGACCGACGGGTCAGCTGCCTGTCCCCGGCCTGCGTCCAGTCCCCCGCGGGTGTGCAGCAAGGACTTGGGGAGAGCAGGCCTCGGTGTTGGCCGGAGGGGCGCAGCAGGCCTAGCCCCGGGGGAGCTGGGAGAGGGTTAGGGCTCTCTACACTGTGCGCTTCCCCCGGGCGCCGGTTCCAGTGAGCCGTCCTCCCTTCCGCCCCGCGCATCACTTTCCCCTGCTGCCCCCTCTGGAGGCCCCAGCGTCGGGTCGGAAGAGCACCCGAGTGCTTAGTAACCGAGTGCTTAGTCCGGTCAGTCCCAGGCAGCTGTGAGCGCCCCCACATCACTCATGTCACCGGCGGCCCAGGCCTCCCTGAAACGCATTGGCAGGGGAGGAAGCGAGACCCTGCGTCTGCCTGTGCCTCGAAGCCCGTGACCACGTCCCGTGAGGCCCCCCTGACGACGCTGACTCGCAGGGTCCTGGCGCTGCAAGGCAGCCCTTCAGTCCGCCTCGCCCGGTGCCTTGTCTTGAGAGCAGCTGGTGGCCTCGCTCGCGTGTGACACCCATGTGTGAGGGTCCCCCCAGCCGCCCCAGAGCGCTCACCCTTCACTGGCCTTTCTGTGCTTGCAGGGTGTTGGTTCGGAATGGAGGACGAAGAGGGAGTTTCCGTGCAGAGCGTTTCGCTAGAACAGATGTCCCTGGGCAGGACGCCCCCGTGTGAGAAGTGCGTCCTGGTGGGGAGAGACGCTTTGGAGCTGCCGGAGTACCAAGGGTCGCCCCCAGGGCAGAAGCCCTCCACCTGGGAGGCGTGCGGAAAGCACCCGTGGCTCAGCCCAAGCCCTGGCCAGCACCGGAAGCACAACGAAGAGAAGCCATTCAGGAGCGAGGTGGAGAGGGCCTCGTCGGGGACCAGCTGCCAATTCCACGTGCCGGACGGCCCCTTCACCCTCGGGGAGGTCGGGAAGGACGTCCTGGCCATGTTGAGTCTGCTCCAGCATCAGGCCTCTCTCAGAGGGGCAGCGCCACACAGCGGCTTCACGTGCTGGGAGGCCTTTGATCCCGGGAAAAGTCGCCACAAGCTCAGTGAATACGGGAAATCATTCGGCTGCGAATACACACTGTGCCAGCATCAGCAGCCTCCCGCGGGAGAAGGGTACTGTGAAGGCTACTACGCCCGTGCCGACGCGGAGAAACCGTTTGACCAAAGCTCCGTCCTCCGCAGCTGCCAGAAGGTCAGCGCAGCAGCGACGTCTTACGAGTGCAGCGATTGTGGGAAATCCTTTAGCCAAAGCTACAACCTCCTTCAGCACCAGAAAATTCACAATGGAGCAAGGCCTTACGTGTGCAGTGTCTGTGGGAAAGCCTTCACCTACAAATTCAGACTGGCCCAGCACCTGCAGATTCACACTAGAGTCAAGCCTTACGTGTGTAGCGAATGTGGGAAATCGTTTAGCTACAGTTCCTCCCTCATCAAACACCAGAGAATGCACACTGGAGCAAAGCCTTACAAGTGTGGTGAGTGTGGGAATTCCTTCAGCCAAAGCTCCAACCTCATTCAACATCAGAAAATCCACAGTGGAACAAGACCTTATAAATGCAGCGAATGTGGAAAGACCTTCAGCTACAAATGCAAACTCGCCCAGCACCTGCGGATTCACACTGGAGAAAGGCCTTACGAGTGTCGTGAGTGTGGGAAATCCTTTTGCCACAGCTCCACTCTCAATCAGCATCAGAGGATCCACACCGGAGCCAGACCTTTTAAGTGTGATGACTGTGAGAAATCCTTTAGCCAGAAGTCCAACCTGATTCAGCACCGGCGGGTTCACACAGGAGAAAGACCCTATGAGTGTGGAGAGTGTGGGAAATCCTTTAGCCAAAGCTCCCACATCATTCAACACAGAAAGCTTCACACCAGATAGCAACCTCATGAATGCAGCAGCTGCGGGGAGACCTTGAGCCGGCGCCCTGCTGTCCGTCAGCCTGGAAACTTCCCAGCCCAGATCTACGCTCGTCACGCAGCAAACCGGGGGCAGCTTTCCTCAAAACACCTAATCTCATTCCGCCCCAGGATGTCCGCGCGGGGGAGAGGCCGTACACCTGCAGGGAGTCAGTCTGGTGAGGGAGCCCTCTGCCGGAAGTGGAACCTTCCATGACTGAACTGCGCGTCCGCTGCGGGAACTCCCCTGCTGTAGGTGTGTGGAGCCTCGCTGCGTTCTGCCTGCCGGTCCCCGTGCCTGAAATGGCCCTGCAGACGCCACCTCGCAGGTGCGGTCCGCGTGCCGGGCACCCCGGGGTGATCGGGGAGGGCGGCCGTGTCTGTTGCCTCTTCCGTTCCCTGGAGAACATCATGAAAATTCTGGGACTTGCGGGTGGCAGGGAGGAGGCTGGTTCCCTCCTCCCTGACTCATTAGGACGGGATCCTGACGCAGGCTTGGCCGAGACCAGTCTGGCTACTGCTGAGTGACTTGACACAAATGTTTACCTTCTTCCAGTCCTAACCTGCGTGGTTGCCACAGGCCTCCTGGGGCCAGCGGCGGGCTGTGGTCAGGATGTGTGCTCCAGAGGCCAGGATTTCTGTGCGCCCATGGTGACCCTGACGGGGAGGGTGTGGTTGTCATGACAACCTCTAGTGCTTCCTTGAGAAGTATAAATTGGTTCCCTTTTCCCAGGGAAGTCACGTAATGCTGCGCTCTAGTGCAGGGAAGCTGTTCCCCAGGCACTTCAAAGGAAACATGTGCCTTCGTGTCTAAATTTTGATTTTTTTGGTGTTAGTGGTTCTAAGACTGCAGGAGCCAGACTGAAGCCAGCGTTCGAGCAGCAGCACTGCGTGTGGTTAAGGTGCCCTGGCGCCTGCAGCGGCTGAGAGCTTGTCTCCCCTGGAGGCGCTTCCGCACTTGCTCCCGGGACGGGCTGTGCGGGGTGAGTGTACACTCCAGCCTGTTCTCTCCCCAGACAGCGGAGGCCGTGTCAGCGCGAATAAAGCTGTCCGGTGGCCGCTGGAAAAGGAGACTAGGCTGCAGGGGGAGCCTGTCGTCCAGGCGTGTAACTTTCCCGCGCCAGCCGTCGTTTCTGATTCACGCAGAAACGGTCTTGTCTGTCTTTCCTGCCACGGGTGCAGGGTTGCCCAGCGCCTGAGGGGAGAGATGGTGGCGTCGCTACGGGCCTCCTCAGCGTGGTTCTGAGTAGCAGGCGTCCCAGACTTCTCTCGGAACCATTTTTTAAAGTTCTGTTGAGGTGTAACTGACACGCTGTGGCCGCGCAGACTGCAGCTGTGCAGTGTGGTTGGGTTCCACAGAGACAGGCACCCACGGAAGCATCGAATCATAATTGAACATAATTCCCTTGTGCTCTTTCTGAGTCTTGCTCTCCATTGACCACTGTTGATTCACTCTCACAGTAAGTTAGTATTTTATAGACTTTTCTATGATTGGAATTAAAAATGTTTACTTTTTTAAACCGGTTTCCTTCATGCTGCATTCTTTTCATTGCCGAGTACTGTTCTGCTGTATCGTGTCCCCACCTACCTGTTCATGGACATTTGACTTGTTTTCCAGTTTGGGGCCATTATAAATAAAGCTTCACATGTGTGAAAAACAGAAAGGAATGTGTGATGGAGTCTTATGAGCCCTTTCCAGTATTCCATCATAACCCCAGGGTTCTTAACCGTGGAATGTGTAACCACTCCTAAAAGGACTCGTAAGTCCAGTAATTATCACAAAAACTTTACATATAGTAACAATGCCCTTTTTTTTAGCTACAGTGAGAAATATTTTTGAAGGCACATTAATTGCATTCAGCTTCCCAAGGGTGGAACTGGCAGAGTGGTAAACCGGTTGTGTCACGTGACACAGGTCTTTAAGGTTGAGGTTTGCAGAGGTAGAGACCTGCAGATGGGAACTCGGACAAGACTCAGCACAAGTGTTCAGATCAAAGACGGGAAGCTGCTTTCTGTTTATGATAAAAGGGTTACCTCCAAGTATGGTACTGTGAATTGTAAAACATGGATGAGGCTCCAGAGAGCACGGCACAATTAAAAGCACAAAAACAAAATTAAGTTTTTGTGAAGCAATAGGTACACCAAAGAGAATGTTTGAGCTCTGATTTATGATTTTTGTTTTTTTTTTTAAGATTTATCTATTTATTTATGCAAGCACTGGGTACAGTCAGAAGCGCAGGAGGGTGAGAGAATCACCAGAGTGGGGAGCAGAACAGGCAGACTGACGAAATACACTGCTGAGGGGAGCAGCGGGCACGGCAGGAGAGGTCTGTGCGCCATGTGGGACCCTTGCCGGCGGCCGGGGATAGAACCAGTGCTGCAGAGACTGCGGACAGCTTCACGTTGCAGCGCTCAACCACCAGCACCACCAGGGAGGCCCTGTTAGTGAATCTTAAACCCCAGTTTCATGGAGACTTGCATTAAAAAGTAAGCCTATAGGGCCTCCCCTGGTGGCGCAGGTGGTTGAGCACCGCGCTGTGAAGCTGTCCGCAGCCTCTGTAGCACAAGTTCCATCCCTGCCGGACGGCGAGGGTCCCACATGGCGCAGCAGGCCTCTTGTCTCCCCTGCTGCTCCCCTCAGCAGTGTATTTCGTCAGCCTGCCGGTTCTGTTTCCCACTCTGTCTTTGGCGAATTCTCTCACCCTCCCGCACATCTGGCCTGTACCCCAGCTATTTTATAAATAAATAAATAAATAAATAAATAAATATTTTTTTAAAAAAAAGTAAGCCTGTAAACATAAGTGGTTAAATAAGGGCAATCCCTGGGCCTCCCTGGTGGGGCAGGCGGTTAAGATACAACCTATGAGCCTGTCCACGGCCCCTGCAGCACAAGTTTGATTATCAGGCCCAGCCGGCCAGGGAGCTACCCACATGGCACAGCAGACCTCTCCTGAGAGGCCTGCTGCTCCCCTGAGCAGTGTGTTTCACTAAATCGACCTGTTCTGCTCCCCATTCTGTCTCTAGTGAGTCCTCTCACCACGCCTCTGGCCTGTACCCCAGCTCTTGTATGCATAAATAAATAAATCCTTTAAAAAAAAAAAAAAAGGGCAATCCCGGAGAGGAATTCCATCCGTGGGAAAAGTACTTTGACAAGCAAAAGCTGGAGAAACATGGGCTCATCAGTGGCCACAGACTGATGCCATGATACACAGATGTTTCTTAGCCAGTGGTTTGGAGTCATAAAATGGACACATTTTGACCAGGGACAGGATGGCACTATGGTTGGTCCACATGGGCAGGTCCAGGAGAAAGGTCATTGGTGATCGGCAGGACAAGGATGACGGAGACACTAACCTGGACGGTGAGACTCAGACATCACCTAAGTTCTGAGGCTGACACACATTCATTTGGAAAGTTTGTGATGGGGGGAATCTGGAGAAAAAATAAGACTGTGAGAGGCCTCCCTGGTGGCACACGGGTTAGGCGTCAGCAGTGAAGCTACCGCCAGCCACTGCCCTCTGAATTTGATCCCTGGCCAGGGAGCTGACCCACATGGCACAGACCTCCTCTGTCTCCCCGCTGCTCCCCTCAGCAGTGTGCGTAGGTCATTCTGCCTGTTCTGCTCCCCGCTCTGTCTCTGGGGAATCCTCTCGCCCCTGCACCTCTGGCCTGCACCCCAGCTCTTGTGTGCATAAATAAAAGAAATCTTAAAAAAAAAAAAAAAGAAATAGACTATGATATGGCAGAACATCAGCTTGTGTTGCGCTTATTCTGAGTTAACGCAGCAGGATTTTCGTAAGCACAAAACGACGTGCAGAATTTGTAAGGCTGACAGTTTAGGCGCAGCACCCCAATGGAGTGCCAGGCTCTTGGGGTGTGAGGAGGGGAAAAGGCCAAGTGTCAACATGAAATGCACTGAGTTTTCAAAGCTGTGTTCAGCTGGGCAGCTGCGGCCAGGTCGGAGCCTGGCGGGGATCAAAGGGGCAACTCCCGAGGCCCCTGAGAAGGGGACTGTCTCATGGTGCTTTAAAGACCAGCGCGGGCCCCGCCCCCCCATTATGCTGAACTGACATTTAAAAACAACACTGAAAACACGAGGTGCCCCGAAGGCGACCGGGACAAGTGTTGTCAGCGGGGACGGAAACCGGTTTTCATTCCAAATCGTCCCGCGACCCTGTGCCGCCCCCTCCAGCGGGGGCCGCGCCCCGTCGCCACGCGCCGGGGATGGAGGTGCACGCGGCCGCCTGGCGGCGCCCCCCGCCGAAAAGGGAGACCAGCCGCCCCAGGGCGCAGGGGCACCCCCATCCCGACGCGCGGCGGGCGCAGACTCAAGGGAGGAAGAAGCCACCCCGGAGGCCAGCGCCGGCGGGACGGGCTGGTCACGGCCGCACTTCCATTCAGAGGCGTTGCCCCGGGGCGGGGGTGCCGGTGGGGGGCTCTCGGGTGGGGGGCGTCCTGGGTTGGGGGGCTCCGGGGAGGGGGTCTCGGCCAAGCACGAGCCTCCAGGTCCGTCTCCCCGTGTCCGCAGTCCCCGGCTTGCCCAGGACGCTTCCCGCCGCCGCGCGCCGACCCGGCCACCTGCCCCGGCTCCTGCGCCCGCCCGGACGGGGGCGCGGGCGTCCCCCTCGGCCGAGCCCGCCCCGTCGGGCCGCCTCGTCTGAGCTCCTCGGAGGCCGCCCGGCGGCTTTTTCCGATCGCTGCTCCCTGTGAGGGCCGGCGCGGCGTTCCCACGACGGCGTCACGCCCGTCACCGTCGCCGCGGCCCCCGCTTGCCGAAACCCGCGCCCGACGGCTCCGCCGCACGCGCCGCGGACTACATTTCCCAGCAGGCGCCGCGCCGCGCCCGGCGGAAGGAGAACGGCGCCCGGCGAGACGGGGCGGGGCTTCCGACGCCGCGCTCGGGCGCGCCTTCCAACGGGCGCCGAGGGGGCGGATCGAGGGGCGCGGCCCGCGAGGAGGGGGACGCGCCAGCCCCGGGCCCCCGCCGCCCGGCTCCGCCGCCCCCGTCCCCCCGCGCCCCCAAGTCCGATGGCGGCGGCTGCGCCGAGGGCCCCGGCTGAGGTACAAGCCCGCGGGGCGCCCCTCGGGGGTCCGAACGGGGTTCGCGGGGCGCCCGCGCGGGGTCGGGGGTCCCCGAGCCGGGCACGCGGGCGGGGAGGGGGACTCGGATCCGGGAGCCCGTCGAGCGCCTCGGGGGCAGCGGGCGTCGGGCGGCCGGGTGGGGCGCTGGGTGCGGAGGCGCGGCCGGGTCGTCTCGCCGGCGCGGGGACCCGCGAGGGCCGAGGCGGGACGTCGGGGGCCGGGCTTGTCCGCGGCGGGGGCTGCCCGGCGCGATCTTCAAGGGGCGTCCGGCGTGGGGGGGCCGAGGCCTGGCCGTGGCGGCCTCGGAGCTGCCGCCCGGGCGGGCGCCGGCTGTGCTGGGGACCCGGCCGCGGGCCGCGCAGGGGAGGGCGGCGGGGCCGGCGTCCTGCTGTGGCCGGGCGGGTCCCGGGCCGCGGAGGGCCGAGGCCGCGCTGCCGCCCGCCGAGAGGCGACTTGCGGGAGCCGAGGCCGGGGAGCCCCGGGCAGGGGAGGCGGCGGCGGCGGCCCGAGGCGAGAGGACAGTGCGCGGCTTTGGGGCTGCCGCGGGGACGCGGCTCTGGGATCCCCAGAAGGGGCCGGGCCGGGCGGCGTCGCGCTGGGCCCGCCTCGGCCTGTCTGTCCTCGCGGCCGTCGCCCGCGCCGCCGGGGGTCCCTGGGCGGCTGGGCACCCCGCGCGCGAGCCGCAGGCGGGGCGGAGGGTTGCGGGGCAGGACGAGGGGTGGGCGGGCCGGGCGCTCGCGGAGAGCTGAGCGTGGAGCGACCGTCCCCTCGCGCAGGGCGGCGTGACCGTCGAGGACGCTGGAGGCCTGGGCGCGGCCGGCGCCCCTGGGCGAGGCCTCCCTCCCCCCGCTGTGGCTGGTCCCGGCCTCGCCGTGTCCGCGGCCGTCTTGCCGCCGCCGCCGGGCCCCGGGGCACCTTCCTCTGCCGGTCGCCGCCGTCGGGAGGACGGTGCAGGCCCTGCCGGGGCTCACGCGGGCGTGGGCCTCGCTTCAGGCCGCGCCTGCGGCTTTTTCGCTGTATTTGTCGGTTGTGCTGAGGCGCGGGGCCGGGGCGGCTGCTCCCCGCCTCTCTCCGCGCTGCGGCGATCCGCGGCCTAGAGGCCGGTGCGCCCGCCCCTCCCGCTCCAGCGGGGCTCCGGTACCGGGAGGCGCGGAGGCCCGGGAAGGGTCCTCGGACGCCAGCTGCGCGGGGCCGCTGCTTCCTCCCGACCTGGACACGCCCAGCCCGGCCCGCGTGGTTGGAGGCGCGGGGCTCGCGGGTGTGACCGTCCTCGCGGGGGGTCCTCAGAGAAGGGGTTTAGTCTCCGGAGTGTCACCCCGGCCCGAGATCGCAGCCTCTTGCCGTCACGGGTTTGTCCCGCCTGTGGCTCCCGCCGGCGACACCATCGTGCGGGCGCGCGCGGCCGGGGCTCCTCAGTGGCTGGAAACACGCTGGTTGTGTCAAGCGACTAAATGTGTAAGACTTTTTTTTTTTAAGATTTATGCACACAAGAGCTGGGGTGCAGGCCAGAGGTGCGGGGGTGGGGGTGGTGAGGGGACTCACCTGAGAGCGCGGGGAGCAGAACGGGCGGGTCCGCTGAAACCCACCGCCGAGGGCAGGGCGGGGAGCGGAGCGGCTGCTGCGCCCCGTGGGCAGCTCCCTGACTGGCCGGGACGGAACTCGCGCAGCAGAGGCCGCCGATGGCTTCATCGCGCTGTGCTTAGCCCCTTGCGCCACCAGGGAGAACCCCCAATGTGTAGACTTTGAGTTTGTGCCCCTGGGCTGTGCGCGTTGCCCGCCACGACGAAGGGAAAAGCAAGGGTCGGCGCCCAGGAGCCGTCGGTGTCCCGTCTGTGTAGCTGCCGTTTGCAGGGGTGCGTGGAGCCCCGCGCTGCTCCTGAGCTGCCTCCGTCCTGGCCTCCCGCCCGGGCGGGCCTTGCCTGCTCTGTGGAGTGGAGGCCCGGGTCTGGGACCGCCCGCCCCGGCTCCCGGGCTGCCCCGCGCTGGCCTTCTCGGGCGCCTCACCCCTGTCTTGCCTTTCAGGTCACGGTCGCGGCGAGGAGGCGGCAACCCTGTGTGGACAGCGCCTTTCTGCCCAAGCAGCCTCCCCGGTCAGGACGTGTAAGGCAGCGCCCACCGCCCAGAAGAAACCGCTTTGGGAGACGAGCGTCCCCGGCGGGAGGGAGGTTTTGCACCTGACGAAGCTCGAAGTCGCACACATGGGGCACAAAGTATTCTCCAGGGACAAGCGCGTGAGAGGTTTCTGCTCCGGGGCAGCCCTGCACCGGCGCCACAGCTGTCCCCGTGGAGAGACGCCCAGGAGAGAGGAGGCAGGCGGGGCCGTGGCTGTGAGGAACTGCGCATCCCGTGGCTCGGAGAAGCCTGTCCGCGGAGGGGGTGGCGGCGAGGACTTCCCAGCCACCTTGGGCCTGCTCCGGCCCCAGGCGGCCCCCAACTGTGGGCGCGGGCAGGGTGGCATTGCGAGGAGGGGGACCTGCGTCGCCGGAGACTGCCCTTGTAAGTGGTGTGAACGTGGGCAATCTCCCCGTCACGAGCACATGCCTGCTCACCACTGGAGCGTCTACACCGCAGAGCTGTTTAGTGAGTGTAGCAGCCAGGGGGACGCCGTCAGCTGCACGCGCAGACTTGTCCACCACCAGCAGCCCCACCCTGGGGCTAAGCTGCATGAGTGTGGTGAGTGTGGGAAGTCCGTCAGCCGAACGTCGGGCCTCGTCGAACACCAGAGAGTTCACACAGGATCGAAGCCTTGTGGCCGTCGTGACTGTGGGCGGCCCTTTAGGACAAGGTCTGTGCTCTTTCAGCACCGTAGAATCCACACGGGCGAGAGGCCCTATGCGTGTGGGGCATGTGGCAAGTCCTTTAAGCAGAGATCCACGCTGCTCGAACACCAGAGGGTTCACACCGGCGAGAGGCCCTATGCGTGCCGTGACTGCGGGAAGTCCTTCCAGCAGAGGTCCACGCTCACGCAGCACCAGAGGGTTCACGCTGGCGAGAGGCCTTACGCGTGCAGCGACTGCGGGCGATGCTTTCTGCAGCGATCCACGCTGAGCAAACACCAGAGAGTTCACGCTGGGGAAAGGCCTGACGCGTGCCGCGAGTGCGGGAGAGGCTTCAGGACGAGGTCCGTGCTCTCTCGACACCTGAGGACTCGCACGGGAGAACGGCCTTAGGCGTGTGGGCAATGTGGGAAGTCCTTTAGGCAGCGAGCCACGCTCACGCAACACAAGAGGGTTCACAGCGGAGAGAGGCCTTTCGAGTGCAGTGAGTGAGGAAGAGCCTTCGGGCTGAGTGCACCAGCACCAGAGTCCACGCCGGAGAAAGGCTGTGCGTGCGGTGGAGATGGAAGGCCTTGGGGGCGAGGTCTGAGCTCTTCCGACACCTGAGGACTCGCCCTGAGTAAGTCTTGCTGAGTGGGAATGTGGGAGATGCTTCAGGCACAGGTCCCCCCGGGGGGAGACCGGAGTAGCGCGCAGTGCTGTGAATGTGGGAAGTGCTACGCCTGCGAAAATGGGCCCTACTAAATACCAGCAGGTTTGCACCTCGAGGTGCTGTAGGAGCGTGGGGACTGCAGAACTCCCTTGGCAGCACCTCCAGGCTCGCCTCACGGGTCACCCTGAAGAGAGGCTTTGGGGGTGCAGTGAGCGTGGGGCGTTCTTTGGCGTAGTTTCAGCTGGTTTACACACGAAGTGTCACAGTGGAGGGAGGCCTTATTTGGGGAATGTGGGAGCACCTTCCTGTGTAGACTGAACGTGGTTTAGCGCTGGTGAGAAAGCCTCTGGCAGGCAGGGGGCAGGCTGTTCCCTCATTACTTAAGTAGTGAAGAAGCTGTGTATCGCTGTGGAAGGAGTTGTGCCCGAAATATCCAGAGTGGGGCCTTCCTGGTGGTGCAGCAGCCCTCTCCTCTCTCCCCGCTGCTCCCCTCAGCAGTGCAATTCAGTGGATCTGCCTGTTCTGCTCCCCACTCTGTCTGTGGTGACTCCTCTGGCCTGCACCCCAGTTCTAGGCAAAATAAATAAATAAACCAGACTGAGATGCCCCATTAATTCTACTCTAAGGAGCTGCACTGTTCAGCCTCCTCCTGCCAGCTGGGTGTTCTTGCCAGTTTCTGTGGCCAAAGACCCAAGACATTTCACCTTAACCGCCTGACAGGCCTGACCCTGACCCTGCTGGAGGAAATACTGCCTGATTCTCCGGCGCCCTCACTCCCTGACTCCTTAGGGCCTGACCCTGCGTGGGCTCGGAGGATGCCCTCAGGGTTCTCGCGTGGCTTGCAGGGAAGGACCAGCTTTTTCGGAAGCCCTTGGTGCATGTTTTCAGCCTCCACTCTCTGGCCTGCCTGCTGCACCTGTCCTGGCTCATCCAGCATTAGGTCTGTTGTTTAATGTGCCCTGTTCGTTGTTGGGATGGTTTGGAAGTGAACTAGACTGTGAGGCTGAAGGGCCAACACCTTTTGTGAGGCCTCTGGTTCTCTGCCTGAGACACAGTAGAGACTGCTCAGCTCCGATCTGTAGGTTTGCTCTCCGCGGCCTGCTGGGGACACGGGTGGGCTTCCTGGATGTTGTGGCCTGGACACCAAAGCTGCTCTGAGGCGACGTGGACATGGGAGCGTGCAGCGCGCGGTTGATGTCGGGCCGGCCGCGGTGTTCAGTACTGGGCAAACTCTGAAAGCCAGTCATGGCCACCCTCGCCCGCCTATTTGCCTCCTCCCCATTTCTGAGCCCCCTCCCCCTCCCCGCCTCCCCCGCCAGCATTTCCTGGACACACACCCTTCCCCCTCCCCCCCCTTCTCCAGCGGGGTGTCGTTCTGAGGAAACACGGGCTTGTGTCAGTAGCTGCTTTTCGTTGGGGGACCTGCCCTGCAGCGAACCTCCCTGCATGCTCATCTCCTCACGCAGGAGACGTGCTGCGCTTCCCCTCTGCGGCTGTGGCCCAGGAAGCTGACAGGAGTGGGTCCCTCCGCAGGTGCTGTGGGGTGTTTTCCGGGCGTTCCCTGCAGGCACAGCGCTCCCCGTCTCAGCAAACTGCCAGGCTCTGACTACGATGTTTGCTTCCCTCTGCACTGAGGCGGGACTGCAGCTGCAGGTGCTTGGGAAGAACCTGTTCCTTCAGGGTTAGGAAGGGGACGAAGCCATCTTGGACCCTTTTCTGCGCTGCTTCCAAATAATTCGTTTGTGTTCTCATTGCAAAATTTTTTTTTAATAGAGGCATGTTTTATTTATTTTATTTTGTTTGTTTATACATGCACTGGGTACAGTCAGAAGCGCGGGAGGGCGAGAGAATCCACCAGAGCCAGAGCGGGGAGCAGAGCAGGCAGAAGGACCGAAGGACACTGCTGAGGGGAGCAGCGGGCGGCAGGAGAGGTCTGCGCGCCATGGGGGACCCTCCTCCGGGGGCCGGGGAGCAGCCGGGGATCGAACCGGCGCTGCGAGGCCGCGGGCAGCTTCGCAACCCAGCGCTCCACCGCTGCGCCCCCGGGGAGGCCCTCTCATTGCAAAATTACCCAGCTGTCGAGCCAGCCTCGGCAGCTTTGTGCAGCTTGATGACTTGCGTTTTTTACGTCATCCCACTGTCACGGCAGCCTGGCTCTGGCTCCCGAGGGCCGGACCTAATAGTCATCTTCTTGATGTCCGGCTCTCAGGGAATGTGGCCTCTGCTGGTTTCCCGAGCTTTCCGGAAGCCTTGGCTGCGGCCTCCCTGGATCATGACGTGTGTGTGTGTGTGTGTGTGCGCGTGTGTGCGTGTTTTGAGGCTGATTTTCCATGTGTAGAATCCCAAATTTGGCTTCTGACCCTGCATGCGCCTTGTTTTGGCCCGCCCCTGTCCCAGGCCTGTGAAGGTTACGGGGAAACCTGCCAGGATGAGTCTATTTTCCTAATTCTTGCTCTCCGGGCGCAGCAGCTGTGCAGGGCCCGGGCCGGCCAACTGGTCGACCTCAGCAGGGGCCCCCTCCCCACCCCGCACCCGGGGAGGAGAGCGCGGGACCGAGGCGGGCGACCTGGCCCTGGCACCCCGCCCCTGAGGCGCCAGCGCGCCGACCTGCTCGGCTGGACGAGGCCGCCCCTGGCCCGCAGCGCGCGGGGGGCAAGCGCCTGGGAGTGGGGCCCGACTTCAGGGGGGCAGTCGCCGCCCCAGGGGCCGGTTCTGCTGGGACCTGGCTCCGACCCGCCGCCGCTTGTGGGGACGCGGGGTCACGCGCGCCCTCAGCGCAGCTCTGGGGGCCTAAGTCCCGCGGGAAGCACCCGCTCCCGCGCCGCGCTCCTGGCGCCCACGCGCGCTTCCGGCCATGAGGAGCCCCAGGTCCCCCCGTGCCGGGCGCCCCCACACCAGCAGGGCTGGCGCCACGCGCCGCTCAGAAGGCAGGACCCCCAGACGCGGCCCCCGGGGCGCGCAGGCTCCAGAGGGCGGGAGCACTGAGGCCAGCAGGGGTGCGGCTGCCGCCCCCGGAGCCGCCCCCGGAGCCAGCGGCAGCTCCGGGGCCTTCGACACACCCGGACCTCGGCGCGGCCCCTCCCGCCTGGAGAGCAGCGTCCCGCGTCGGAGCCTGGGGCGCAGGGGGAGGGAACCGCGCCCCGCCCGCCGCCCGCCGCCCGACGCCCGACGCCCGCATCTCGGGCAGGGGACCCGCGGCGCCCCCGAGGGCCGAGCGAAGGCCCCACCCCGGCTGGCGAGACGCCCCTGCAGGCGCCGCTGCGGGGAGGGGAGCAGCTGATGGGGCCTTGGGCCCCCCTTGCCGGGCTCCCGCGCCCCCGCTGCCCACCCGCGCTGAGGGGCTACGTCCCCGTGATGGGGCCCTGGCCGGGGACGCGGCTCCCCCCGCAGCCCCGGCCACACGTCAGCCCGATGCCCGGGGGTGCGGACACCCCCTCCTCCGCCCAGCAGCCTGCTGTGCCCCCCGGGGCCGGGTGTGGTTTCAGTGCAGCTCACCTGGGGGGCCCGCTGGCTCCCCGTGCCCCAGGGGCCCCCCCACACCCCGCAGACCGGCTCCCAGAGCAGCTCGGACAGCGACCCCGCCTGGGAGTGGGGAGCTGCTCTCACCCATCTGGGGGCCCCCACATCGCAGCCAGGGACGCCCACACAAGCAGCGAGCACAGGGCGGGGCCGTCGCACCCTGAGGCGGGGCCCGCTCTCCGCGTGAGCCGTTTCCTTCGCGGCTGAGCAGCGGCCCGCGGCCTCTCCCGCCCAGCCCCGGCCGCCCGCGCCCCTTTCCGGGACGCGCGGGGCACCCCAGCTCCTGCGGCGGGCGGGAGGCTCCGGGAGGAGCCAGGGTCGCCCAGACGGAGGCGAGCGGGCGGGCGCGCCCTGGCTGCGCGGCTCGCGCTGATTTTCCGGGCGAGACTCGCCCCCGCCGCTGTCGCGAGGGCCGCTCACGGGGGCGGGGAGCCCCCGGAGAACCCCCGGCCCACGGCGGCGCGCTCCGTCCCGCGGCAGCAGCAGGGGGCGCGGGGCCCGTTCACGGAGCGCAGCGCCCCGGGCTTCCCGGACACGCGCCCCCGGGGCGTGCGGGGCTCAAGGCGGCCCCCCCGCCACGCCGGGTCCTTTGGGCCCCCGCCCTGGCCTCAGAGGTGGAGGCACAGCCGCGCGCGCCCCCCGGGACGCGCCCCCACCCCGGCGGCGAGGGCGCGACGCTCCCCAGCTGGGGCCCCGGCTGCGCGGCCGCCCGGAGAAGACCCGGCGGGCTGGGCGGGCCTGGGGAGGACCGCGGGCGCCTCGCTGGGGGGCCGCCATGGCTGGTCCCGGGTGCCCGCCCGCGGGGCGCTGGCGCGTGCGGGACTCTTGCTCACAGCGCGCGTGACGGCGCGGCCGCCCCCGCCGGGTCCTGGGCAGCCTGCAGGCCCCGCCCGGCCGCGCCCCGGCCCCGCGCCCCGCTGGGCATCTGGTGGGCGCGGCCGCTCGCTCCGATGGGCGCCCCAGCGCTTTACTTGCTCTTCCGCGCGACTCGTCTCTGCGAGCCCAGCCTCGCCGCGGGGCCGGGACTCCACCCCCCGCCCGCGCCGGCGGGAGACGCGGCACCACGACGGCCCCGCGCGCAGGCGGCCCCGGGAGCGCAGACGCGGGCGGGGGAACGCGGGGCTCCACCCCGAGAGAGGCGCCCCGACAGCCTGGGGGCAGAAAGCGCCGATTTGGGGCCAGAAAAACCTCAGCGCCAGGGGCGGGGCCGAGCCGCAGGTCCCCGCGGGCCCCTGGAGCGGCCGCCCGGACCCCGGCGCCCCGCGCGACCCCTTTCCCCGCCCCGGGGCTGCTGGTCGACCGCGGGGGGGGAGCGGCGCGGGGGCCGGGACCCCGCGGCGGGGCCGTCCAGCTTCGGCCATGGGGGGCTTCTCCGCGCCGGGGGCGTTGCCCGCCCGGCTCCCCCGCGACCCTCCCGAGGGCGGCTCCGGCCCGACCCCGCCGGAGACGCGCGACCTGCGGCTGCGGGATCCCGGGATCCGGCCCCGCGCGCCCGGCTTCAGCCCCGGCGCCCGCCCGGGTTCGCGGCCCCGGCCCCTCCGCGGGCTTCGGCGCGTAGCTCGCTCCTCGCGGGGCTCGCCCGGCCCCCCGCGGCCGCCCCCGCCCCAGGTTCTCGGCCCGGCTCAGCCGCCCTGGCCCGGCCGGCGCCTCCGGGTTCGCGACTCGGCCCCCGGCCCGGTTCCGGCTCCAGACACCCGGGGCTCGCGGCCCCCGACCCCGCGGCTCCTGCCGGAGACTTGGGGCGAGCAGCGGCGGCACCTCCGGCCTCCGGGCGCGGCGGCGGCAGGAGCGGGCTGGACCCTCGTCCCGCGCACCCCGGGGCTCCCTCCCCCGGGGCGGGGCGCGGCGGTCGGGCCCGCGGAGATGCAGCCCGGGCAGGGTGCCGGCTCCGGGCAGGGCCCGCGGGCCGCGGGGGCTCCGGGCGGGCTGGGCGCCCCGGCTTCGGGTGGGCTGCGGGGGTCCCGGGCGGGGGGTCCCGGCGGCTGCGGGAGGAGGCGCGGCCCCCGCGGGGAGCTGGTCGACCCGCGCTGCGCGCAGCCCCAGCCCCCTCTGCAGAGCGCTGCCCGCGCCCCTATAAACCTGCGCCCACAATCCCCCGGCGTCGGACGCCCCGCGCACAGCCCGTCCGACCGGCCCGGCCCGCCCGCGCGCCCCGGCCTCCCGGAACCGCGCGCCGGGCGCCGCCGCCAGGTCCGCCCCCTTCGCGGGTGGGCGCGGGGGCGGCAGGCGCCGTCTGCGCGGCCGCCAGGGGGCGCCCACGGGCCCCCCGCCCGCCCGGCTCCGCCTCGCGCGCGGCTCTGGCGGGTCCGGGCGGCCGCGGGAGCGCGGCTTGACTTCGCGAACGCGGGGGGCCCGCACCCCCACACGCCCCCCGCGCGCCAGAGCGAGCGAGGAAGCGAGGGACCGTGGTCCCCGCGGGTTGGGCCCGGGCCGGGGGAATCCGGGCAGCCTGGGCGGCGCGCGCGGGCGCGTGTGATGGAGCCGCGACTTGGCGCGGCGGCTCCGGGCTCGGGCGTCCTCCCGCCGTCCCCGCGCGTCAGGGGCCCCGCGGTCACCGGAGGCCGCGGTCGGGCACCTGCCCCGAAGCGGCCACACCCGAGAGGCGCCGCACGTTCCGCTCGCGCCGGCTCCTCGCGGCCGGCGGCCACAGGCGGGTCCCCGGGGCGCAGCAGCGCGCCAGGCCCGCGCCGTCCACCCCGAGCCCCGCGTCGCCCGCGGACGCCTCCGCAGCCCGCGCCCCTGCCGTGCCCGGCCCGAAGCCGGCGGAGGCCCCACCCACGGGCGCGCGCTCCCTGCTGCGCCGCCTCAGGGGCTCCCCGTCTCGCCCCGCGGGCCCCGTCGCCGGGCGCAGCGTCGCCCCTCCCAGGACTCCCGCCCGGGCGCACGGCCGCGGGTCGGGCCCAGGGCGCCCCAAATGCCCTCGCCGTGGGGGGCCGGCCCCGAGGGCATCCTCGTTCACACAGCGCGGCAGCAGCGGGCGCCCCACTCCCGCTGCGGCCTTCCGCGCCCCAACTGCTCTGCCCCCACCCAGGACGCGGCCGTGGCGCAGCCCCCGCCCCCGCCCCGAGCGCCGCTCCCTGCCCGCCGGACCCCCGCGCCCCGGGAGCCGCTCCCGCCCGGGCTCCTGCGCAGCGCCGTGAGGGTCAGGGTGGCGACCCCGGGCGCGGCTCCTGGGCGCCCCAGGCTCAGAGCCGCGCCCCGCCCCCCGCGCCCCTCAGCCGGGCGCTGCCAACGACCCCAAGGCCTGGGTCACCGCAGGCCGGGCCGCGGCCGGGCCCCGAGCTTGCGGGTGGCGGGACAGGTGGAGTCGCCGCCCCGGAGCAGGGCGGGGCGGCTTCTCCTTGCCACGGGGCGCAGGCAGGTGTGCCCCAAGGGGCTGCCCGGGGCAGGACAGTCCCGCCCCACCCCCGGGAGGGCCCGAGCGGCCGGGGTCAGCCTGCGGGGCGCGGGCGGCTCTGCGGGGAGGAAAACCCGTTCCTGCCGACGGGCGGGCCGATCTCGCAGTACGGCCGCCTTGGGCGCCCCCTCCCGCGCCACACGGCAGCGTGGGGTGTCTGGGGAGCCTCGTCGGCTCCACCGGCGGACCCCAGAACCGCAGGGGCAGCCCCAGCCTCTGCCTGAGGCCCCCCCTCTGCAAGGGCCCTGGGGCTCTCCGTGGGCGCCGGGAGAGCCCCCAGCACAGGGACACCCCGGGCGCAGTGGGGGGGGGCTCCGCGTGCTGCCAGAGTGAGAACCACCACAGGTGTGTGGCCAGAGCGGGTGACGCGCCCCCACACTCGTGCACCCCGCTTGCTGCTTTGGTCTTTCACTTTTTGTAAAGATTTAGTCACACAAGAGCAGGGGTACCCCAGATGCGCAGGGGGTGAGGGGAGTCCCCAGAGACAGAGTGGGGAGCAGCGGGGAGACGGGAGGGGTCTGCTGCGCCCTGTGGGACCTTCGCCGCAGGATGGAACCGGCTGCAGAGGCCGCGGGCAGCTTCAGGGCGCTGCGCTCAGCCCTCTGCGCCCCCGGGGAGGCCCCTCTTTTTTCACTTTGACTCCAAATAAAGGGACTCCCGGCTGCCCGGGGGTTGGGGTGCCTCTGCATCCTGTGCACCCCGCGCCGCACGCCTGGAGCCGGGGCTGGGGCAGGAGCTTCGGGGCGGCAGGACCCGGGAGGGGGTGGCCCGCGCCGGGGAGGCTCCTGCTGGGGAGCGGCTGCTGCAGCGAGACCCGCCCAGGCTTCCCGGGGCCTGAGAAGCTGCTCCCGCGTCCCCACCGGCGCCGGCCGAGAAAACGACAGGGCGGGGGGCTCGTCCGCGGACACGGTCGGGGCCAGAAGCCGGGAGACCGTCCCCGCCGCTCCTGTCCGCGCGGCGCTGGGGCCCGGCAGAGCCTCGATGCGCCCCGGGCGCGGCCCAGCCGTGGGTGTCGCGCCGAGCAGCAACACCCGGCGCCCCCGACCCTCCCGCTGACGCCCCAGCCGGCCGGGCCCAGAGGCTCCCCCAACACACACACACACACACACACACACACACACACACACACGCGCGCTCTCCGGCGTCTTCCATCTTTTATTTTGTCTCAGCTGAAACGAGCCTGCCCCGGGCTGGGCGGCGCCCGCGTGGTGGGTCCCCCCAGGCTCCCCAGGGCCCTGCCCGCGGACGCCCCGCCGTCCTCCACCCCGCGCCTCTGCTCTGGGGCCCGCCCTGCGCCGCCCAGCACGGGTGGGAGCCCTGAGGGGGCCTCAGCCCGGCACCTCCCCGGAGCCCCCTCCTGCTGCACCCGGGTCCTCCGCTGCGGCTTCGCCCCCCGCTGAGCAGAGCCCTGGCCCTGTGTCCCCCCCACCCCCACCCCCGGGGCTGCTGCCTCCAGGGCCAGCGTCCAGCCCAGGCTGCCCTCGGGGAGGCTGCGGCGCCCCCTCTGGACAGGAGCCCCCGAGGCCTCTGCAGGCAGCTCCGGCCCTCGGGTGGCCCCGGCCTCCGCCCTGCCTGCCCCTCGCTCCGACTCGCTCCCCTTAGGACCAACCCGGGGGTCGCTGCCCGCGCCCGGGGGAGGACCCGCCCGCCCTGGCATCGGCCCCCAGCGCCGCAGGGTTCCACGACCGCGCGGGAAGGGAGCGAGGACCCCTGCTCGGCTCAGCCCTCCTCCTCCAGGGCGCCGGGCGCGCCCCGCCCCGGCCGCCTCCCCGCCGCGTGCGCCTTCCGGTGGCGCGCCAGGTGGGAGCGCAGGCCGTAGGCCTTCCCGCACTGCTCGCAGGCGAACGGCCGCTCCCCGCTGTGCGCGCGCCGGTGGCGGGCGAGGTGCGAGGTGCGGGTGAAGTCCTTCCCGCAGCGGCCGCACACGAAGGGCCGCTCGCCCGTGTGCACGCGCCGGTGCGCCAGGAAGTCGGAGCTGCGGCCGAAGCGCTGCCCGCAGTCGGCGCACGCGAAGGGCCGGGCCGCGGCGTGGCTCCGCCGGTGCTGGGCCAGCGCGGCCGGGTGGCCGAAGCGCTGCCCGCAGGCGCCGCAGGCGAAGGGCCGGGGGGCGGCGTGCGCGCCCTCGTGCTGGGCCAGCGAGGCCCGGTGCCGGAAGCGCCGCCCGCAGGCGCCGCAGGCGAAGGGCCGCGCCCCGCTGTGCACGCGCTGGTGCGCCACGAGGTTGGAGCGGTGGCCGAAGCGCTGCCCGCAGGCGCCGCAGCCGAAGGGCGTCTCCCCGGTGTGCACGCGCCGGTGCTGCGCCAGGTGGTCCTTGCGGCCGAAGGCCCGGCCGCACTCCCCGCACGCGAACGGCCGCTCCCCGCTGTGCGTCCGCAGGTGCTGCGCCAGCGTGGCCTTGCGGCCGAAGGCCTTGCCGCACTGCCCGCACGCAAACGGCCGCTCGCCGCTGTGCGTCCGCCGGTGCTGCGCCAGCGTGTCCCTGCGGCCGAAGGCGCGGCCGCACTCCCCGCACTCGTGCCGCATCTCCCGCGCTCAGGCCGGCCTCCCGCGGGGGGGGGGGGCCGCTCGGCTGCTCCCCGGGCGCTGCTCCACGGACGAGGACCCGCCCCCGCGCTGGAGCTGCCGCGACTCGGCGCTGAGCCGGGACGGCCTCCCGCACGCGGAAGGGGCAGCCCGGGCCGCGCTGCCTGACGGCCGGCCGGTGCCCCGCGTCGCTCAGGACGGGGCCGCGCAGGTCGCCAGGGGGCGCAGCCGCCTCGGACGGGGGCCCGCGGCGCGCGCTGGGCGTTGTTGCGCTGGGGGGGGGCGCGCCGTCGTCGTCCACGCCAGACCAGCGGCCTGAAAGCAGAGAAGCAGCCGGTGAGGGGCGCGTCCCGCAGGCCCACGCGCGGGGTCCGCCCAGGAGAGCCGAGCGCCGGGCTGGGCCCCGCGGTCCCGGGACGGGCCACGCAGCTCGGCTCGCGAGCGCCGCCCCGGGCAGGAGCGGAGCGGAGCGGAGGCGACAAGGGGGGACACGCGCAGGAGGCGGAGGGGCAGCGCGGAGGGGCGGCCCCAGCCCGGGGCGCGCCCGGCACAGGCGTCTCGAGGGCCCCAGCGCGCCGCTCACCGGGGCCGGGCCGCGTCCCTCCCGCGGGCGAGAGCCATGACCTCGCGGCGCCCGAGTCCTGCCCCTACGGCCCGGCCGCCGGCGGGCACCTGCCAGACGGAAGCCACTGGGGAGACGGGGCGGCGGCCGGGGAAGCCGAGCCCAGCGCAGCCCGCCCGGGAACGGGACGCGAGACCCGACTCGCAGCCCCCGGCCAGCGGCCTGGACTCCGGCTCCCGAGGAGACCCGCCCGGAGGCGGCGGCAGAGTCCACGGCACGGGTGGGGGGGTCGTGGGCCCTCGTCAGGCCACGCGGGGCGGGAACCGCCGGGCTGAGCCCCGACACTTGATCGCTGGACACGCGGGGCCGGGGCAGCAGGAGTTGGGGCGCACCGGGCGCGGCAGGCGCAGCACGCAGTGGAGCAGCAGCCCCCGGAGGGTGTGCGCGAGGGCGCCGTGGTCCTGCTTCGGGAAGGAAGCGGGAACCTCCCGGCCAATAAGGGAGGGCGGACACCCCAACCCCGGGGCACGCAGGCTCCCCGGGAAGCCCGCCCGGAGAAGTCACGGGACCCCGCGTGGCGTGCACAAGTGAGCACCGGGCAGGGCTCTCCCCACGAGTCCCGGTCCCCCGGACGCTCCCCAGGCACCCCAATACAGACCAGAGCAGGCCCCGTGCGCCGCGCCTCAGTTCCCGCCAACACCGCGTTCGCCTAGAGCCACAGGCGGGGGTGCAGGGAGAGGGGCGCGGCCGGGGTCTGCGCGCAAGGCCGAGCCTCCCGCCGGGAGTCCCCTGAAGTCGGGATCAAGCCCCCCACCCCCACCCCAACCCACCCCGACGTGCAGGGGGGTGTCCCGGGGATCCGCACGGCCAGACACCCACGTCGGGATTCCCACACCAGCCCCCGGGGCAGGTCACCCCATAGGCCACACGGCCCGACCTCGAAGGAGGTGACAGGCGCCCCCGCGGGCAGCGCGTGCGGAGAGGATGCTCGGGCCACAGGCACGTCTGAACCCCGCTTTCAAACCCTCCCCTTCTGGAAGCCGCGCCAGCCACCCAGGACCACACGCGGGTGCCCCCCAAGCCCCGCCCTCCTCACCCCGCGGTCACCCGCAGAGGGAGACGAAAGGGCGGCCCAAGCTGGGGCCTCCTCCCCACGCGCTTTCCAGGCTTTGGGGGACCCCTCCGGAGGGACCCGGGGCCAAGGGGACGGGTCAGCTGCAGGGCAGACCGGACCCGCCCGCGCTCATCGCGGGGGGCAGGCGGGGGCGGCCTCAGCCCCCTGCCTGGCCGCCCGCCGGGCCCCTCTCTCCTCCCCCAGAGACGGACCCTCCTCCCCCCGCCCCAGGCGGCTCCGGCGCCACCCGCCCGTGCCCGCCCCAGCCCTTACTGCACCCCGAACGACAGAATCGAGCACAAAGCTCCGCACGGACCCCCACGGCCCGCCGCCCCCAGGGTCTCGGGGTGCCTCCTTCCTCTGAAGGCCAGACGGGCGCGGCCGCTGCCCCCCCATCTCCCTGAGGTTCTTCTCGGAGCTTCGCGGATTCCACAGGGTCAGCGGGGGGCCCGGCGGCACCCCCGAGGCGACTCCCGTCCCGCCGCCATCACCCCACAGGGGGCGCCCGACTCCCCCTTCCCTCAGCCCCCGCCCCACAGGGCCCGTCTATGCCACCTCGCCACCCACGAAGTGCAGGATCCGGGCCCCGGGTCTCACCCCAGGTCGCGACTCTGGTCGCCACCCACGGTCCGTTCCCGGCCGCCCGCGGGTCCCGGCTCGGGCCGCGGCAGCGGCGGGCGGAGGGGCCGGGACCGCACCATCCGCACAGCGGCCCCGCCCACGGGGTCCGGCAGGGGCGACCGAGGCCCCCGCACCCACGCGGGATCCGGAGCCGCCGCCGGGCGCCGCCGCAGGGCGAGCGGCCACCGCGGGGCCAGACGCGGCCGTGCGCGCCGCCCGGCCGGCCTGGGGAGGCTCGCGGGCCGCTCCGGCCTCGCACGAACGCAGACCCGCGCCCGTCCCCCAGGCTGCGCGGGCCCCCGCCCCCACTCGCGGGCCCGCTGCTCCCGCGGGGCCCCAGCGCGGCGCCTCTGCGGGCGCTTCCCGGGCGACGGCGGCGACGGGGCGCGGGCGGGCAGCGGGGGGCGCCGCGGCCGCCGACCCGCTCCCTCGGGGCGCCCGCACGCCTCCCGGCCGCCGCGCCCGCCGCAGGGGCCCGCGCGGCCCACGGGACCCGGCCGCCCCCCAGACCCGATCTCCCGCTCGGCCCCGGCCTCCCTCGGCCGCCGCCCTCGGGCCCCGCCGGGCCCCGCGCCGCCCGCGCGCCTCACCTGCCGCGCCCGGCCCACGCCCGTCACAGGCGGGGGCGGCGCCCCCTCAGCAGGCGCCCCGCGTCGGGGCCGGGCCAAGGGCGGGGCCGGGACGCCGGGCCGGGGACGCGGCCCCCCTCGCCGGGCCGGCCCGCACGGCCGCGTCAGGCCCGGGCCGGGTCTCCGCGGGCGCCGTCCCGCAGCCCCTCACCCGACAAGATGTCCGGCGCGAGGAAGACACCGGAAGCCCCGCCCGGCGCGCCGCAGACCGGAAGCGGCCGGCGCGGGGGCTTCTGGGGGATGTAGTTCCCCGGCGGGATCGGACACGAGGCGCGGCGAGGAGCGCCGGGAAGCGGGCGTCGCGACTCCGACGGCCGAGGCCCGGGACCTGGCGCCGCGCGGGGAGCTGCCCCCAGACTCCGGCCTGCCGGGGAAGCCTGTGTCCGTTTACAGACTCAGCCACGACTCGCTGGATGATTTGCCACGCTGTCGGCAGAGGCATTGCCCTCCTCTGCGCGCCAGGAGTGGCGCCTGAGGAAAAGGAGGGCCGGGCCAGTCGCTCGCAGGCGGGAGATGCACTGTGCTCCAGGGCGAGGCCCGCCGACGCGACCCCCGCCACGCCCCCGCGCGGGGGTCGGCGAAGTCTCACCCGTTGGGGGCGAGGGCAAGCTTTCAGGGACAGGGTCTGGCCTCGGCGGGAGGGGGGAGCGCGGGGCCGGGGCTGCTCTTCAGAGGAATCTTTTCTGTCGGCCCCGGCGGGTCTTTCAACGCTGCGGATCAGCGCCCACGAAAACCGGGCAGACCCGGCGCCTGGGACGCAGGGGGCAGCAGTTTCAAGGTCCCCCCCCAACCCCATCTCTGCCCCGGCCTCGACCTTACAGCGTACATGTGTGTCAGCCTCGTGGGCTCAGGAGTGAGAGCAGAGAACGGGGAGGGCGGCTGCGGCCCGGGCGCACCCCCCTGGCTGAGAGGCCTGCGGTGAGTGGTGGCGGGTGCCGCCCGGCGCGGCGCCCCTGGGCCTCTGCTGCGGCCAGCGCAAGCTGACATCTGCCCCCGGAAGGAAAGATGTGGAAACTGCGGCCTCTTGTCTGCTGAGCCACGGGCCTCATCACACCCGCGGCCACCGGGACGGTCTCTGAATAGGAAGCGGAGATGATCTGTGGTAAGTGGGGGGCGCGGAGGAAAAGAAACACTTGCACATTGTTTAAATTATTGAACGTTATTACTGACTCTGTAGTAACTCACAGGGATGTGCAGAAACGGCCCTGGGGACAAATCGGGGACAGGTGAAGAGCCGGACGACGGCCACAAGACGTGAGCCGCAGACACCGATGACGGAACCAGAGAAAACGCCAAATCCTGTAGCCACAGAGGTGACCCCATGGCGCAGCCGCGGGCTGAAGTCTCACGAACCAGCAGCGAGCGGGGTTCCCGCACAGGATGCAGCCCGCTCCCCAGAACACCCTGGAATTTAGAACTGACAAACTGTCTACTTCTAGAATGTTCTGTTTTCCATTGCTAGACTGGCTGACCGGGTGTCCCCGAGACCGGGGTCAGGGAGAGCCGCGGCACTTCACTCCCGGCCGGCGCCGAGGGGGGCCCCGGGGAGGGCGCCCGCGCAGAGGCCGCGCCCCGGTGGGTCCGCAGGTGGCGGTGGAAGGTGCCCGACTGGCGGTAGCTGCGCTGGCAGAGGCCGCACACGTACGGCTTCGCGCCCGAGTGGATGCGCTCGTGCGCCAGGAGGTTGGTCTTGTGGCCGAAGGCCCTGCCGCAGACGCCGCACTGGAAGGGCCGGACGCCCGCGTGGGAGCGCTGGTGCGCCCGCAGCGCCGCCCGCGCGAAGAAGCCTTTGCCGCACGCGCCGCAGGCGAACGGCCTCTCGTCCCGGTGCCTCCGCGCGTGCGCGCTGAGCCGGGACAGGTACCTGAAGGTCTTGGGGCACATGTCGCAGCGGAAAGACCGGGGCGCGCCCTCTCGTGCCCCCCGCCGGGAGCCGCCCTCGCCGTCCCGGGGGGCGGGCGCGCTCTCGGGGAGCACCCCCTGGTCTGCGAGGGCGCCTGGGGAAGGGGGCGCATGCGGGGACCCTCCCTGGGGCCTGCAGGGGCCCAGACCCGCCCTCCTGGAGCTGAGGGGGTCCCCCAAAGCAGCGCCTCCCTCCTCGGGCGCGGGCCAGAGGGGATCTTGGACGATGACCAGGGAGGGTGTGTCACCGCCTTGTCCAGCGCCGCCTTCTCCATCATCAGGTCCTGCGGGAACGACAAGGTCACGACAAGGTCACCCGCGCAGAGGCGCGCCGGCCTCCCGGGCTGGTGCCCGGACCCCCGCACTCACCTCGCCCGGGCCCAGCGCGGCCCCCTCCAGGCTGGCCCCCGCGGGGGCTCCTGCTGAGCGCTGTCTCGTGAGGTGGGCGATCACCTCTCTCACGGGCATGTTCTCGGAGAAGAGCGCCTCCTGGCCCTGCATGCGCACGTGCACCTGGAAGGGCCGCAGCCTGAGCCACAGGCGCCGCCGCCCGCCCGCGGGGAGGGCCTTTCCCGGGAGCCACTTTCCTGCACCACAGCGTGGCCAGAAGGGAAGCGCTAAGGCTTCCCGAGGGCTCGCCTGCCAGAGCCTTTCTCCACCTCCTGAGGGTCCTGCCCCCAGGCCCCGGCCAGCCAGGCGAGCAGGTCCCCTAAGCTGGCTGCCTGCCCTGCACAGGAGTCGCCTGTGGTTCTTGCTTTTGAGGGGCCCGGCCACCCCGCCCGCTGAGGACGAGCGCGCTCTGAGACTGGGGGGGTGGGGGGGTAGCAGCGCCTCCTGCTGTCAAGGGGCCTCTCCAAGGGGCGTCTCTGGTTTTCGCCCCCTTAGCTCCTCCCGGGCAGCGCCTGTACTCACCAAGGCCGGCGGCTGCACGGCGTCATCGCTCAGGCCTTCCAGAAATCTCTCCAGGTTTTTGCCGCTGGCTTCCCATTGCATCTTCAAGGCAGACCTGTCGCTGCGGCGCCTGTTGAGCATAAACTGCTCCAGGACCACCTGACAGATCATCTCCTCCTTGCTGTGCTGCTCCGGCTGCAGCCACGAATGGAACGCCTGGTACAGCCTCTGCAGCTCCTGCCCTGCCAGCGAGTTGTTACCACTTCGAAATAAGTTGAGCAGAGTGTCCGGGAGCACAGACGCCGGCTTCTGGGGCGCAGGTCCCCGGTTGGGATCACCATCTGTGCTTTCCGCCCCGGGCTCTGCCCTGGAGGCGGCACCCAGGAACGAGGTTCTGAGATCTAAATCCATGCTGACGGGATTTCCCAGACGCCACTTCCAGGATTCCCTCCTGTGCTTCTGGGAATCTGAAAACAGGGATATTTAAGATACGTACTGATTTTATTTCCCTCGTTGGGTGCCAGTCAAATGCTGCCCAGAGCTGACACTAGAGGCTGCTCGAAGACAAACTAGGAATGGAATCACTAGTATTAAAGACCATCTTCAGAAAAACAAACAAACAAACAAACAAACAAAAAAACCTGGGAAAAAAAAGAAAGAAAAAATTAATAAATACCATCCTCGGAAAATTAGAAAACATAAATTTCAGAACAAGATTTTGTGACTGGTGACTGTGACGAGACATTTAAGAAATAAATCACCCTAATCTGACACAAATTCTTTGGGTGCCCAAAGAGAGTGTAAAGTTCAGGGCCTCCCCGGTGGCGCAGCGGTTGAGCGCTGGGTTGCGAAGCTGCCCGCGGCCTCTGCGGCGCCGGTTCGATCCCCGGCTGCTCCCCGGCCACCGGAGGAGGGTCCCGCATGGAGCGCAGACCCCTCCTGCCGCCCGCTGCTCCCCTCGGCAGTGTCCTTCAGTCCTTCTGCCTGCTCTGCTCCCCGCTCTGGCTCTGGTGAATTCTCTCACCCTCCCGCGCTTCTGACTGTACCCAGTGCATGTATAAATAAATAAATAAATAAATCTTAAAAAAAAAAAAAAAGATTGTAAAGGTCTATTAGAAGAGTGTAGTAATTATGATGGTGTGCAGCACGAGTTCCATCCCCCGCCAGGGAGCTTCCCACGTGGCGCAGCAGACTCTCCTGTCTCCCCGCTGCTCCCCTCAGCAGTGTGTTTCAGTCGGTCTGCCTCTTCTCCCCGCTCTGTCTCTGGTGAAGCCTCTCACCCCCCGCACCTCTGGCCTGCACCCCAGTTCTTGTGTGCATAAATAAATAAATTATATCTTTAGAAAAACACAGAGGAGGGATGACAGGAGCTTGAAAATCACAGAAAACCGACTTCCAGTATGGACGTTTCACATTTGGTGTCAAGGTCACTCTCCTCTGATCAGATTACCCAGTTGATCCCATCAAGCAATGAATCAAAGATGAATCCAGGAGCACCCCGTGCAGGCGCCTACCTTTCCCTAATCCATTCATGCTGCCCGCCTGGCAACCTTAATCCAGGTGATCTTAATGTGAGTAATCTTCTCAGGTCACTCCCCACCAGGGCTCCTGCACCCTCAGGGAGATGGTCCAAAGCCATCTGAGCTCTGATGGGCTGCTCTGGGCCCCCCTCGCAGTCCCCTCCTAGGTTCTGTGGGTGGCCCCACATCCCCCCCTCTCGACCCACCTGGGCCTCCCCACAAGTTCTTTCTAGACTACCCCAGGCTCTCAACCCAGCAGGGACACAGCCAGGTTCAGACCTTGGAATTCAAGGCCGGACCTTGGTTCCAAGCCAGAGGCAGCTGAGTGACCCCAGCAAGTCACACACCGGGTCCCCACCTGTGTGTCACCTGCCACCAGGTGAGTTAAGATATGAGAGGCAACTGACACCCTTCAATCGCCAGGGCCCAGCCTGTCAGCCGCGGGCCGCCACCTCCACCACACGCGACAAATAATCAGGAGGAACAGATCACGGGCAGGACAGATCACCCAGCAGAGCTGCAGGGACTCAGAGGGTTGCCTGGGCCTGTACGGGGCCCACCCACTGTGGGGCTGGACTGAGGACAAAGCTGCCCTCCCCCAAGCCTGGAAACCGGCGCACCCGTGTTCTGACCTAGGAACTTCCTCTGAGCACCCCTCAAACCCATGCAGGAAAGTCACGTACAAAGTTTGGTACTTCCCCTGCATTCCAGAAACTCACCTCCTTCCAGGATGAGCCTCCAGAGCGGCTGGCTGGGCTTCCCGCGGTGGCTTTCTGCCCTGAGCTCCACGGATGACACCCCAGGCTCCACCCTTTATAGGGCCTGGCATGGTGATGGGTTTAAACCCTGATTGGGTAGATGTTGCCTGTTAGGTGAAGATGGGATGACACTGGCAAGAAGCGCTGGGTGGAGGCAGCATCCCAGCAGGAACAGACAGGGCCCTGGGCTCCCAGGCTGTGGGGTGCTGGGGCTGAGGAAGCAACAGGACGAGTTCAGGGGTCTGGCAAGAGGACTCCGTGGTGGGGACGGCAGGGGCCAGGCGCGGTGTCTGATGGGTGAAAGCTCATGTCTGAACTCTGAAAATTCCAGTCAAGCCTCGTACATGCCTTTAGGGCCTGCATCTCCGGGCTGCACCCCTGTTCTTGTGTGCATAAAGAAACCTTTTTTAGGGTCTCCCTGGTGGTGCAGGGGTTAAGTCGCAGCAGACCCCTCCTGTCTCCCCGCTGCTCCCCTCGGCAGTGGATCTCAGTGGATCCGGCTGTTCTGCTCCCCGCTCTGTCTCTGGGGAGTCCTCTACCCCTTGCACTCTGGCCAGTACCCCAGCCCTTGTATGCATAAGGAAATAAATCTTCAAAAATAAAAAATAAATCTTTAAAAAAAAAAGAAAGTCTCAATCTTAAAAAAAAAAAAAAAAAAAAGGCGGCCCAAGCGGGGGTGGGGGGTGGGTGGGGGCGGCCCCACACGTTACCTGATGGCCGAGAACCCAGCAGGCCACGCCTCCCTCCTGCCCGGCCCCGCCGGGGCCCGCGCTGCCCTTTCTCCCCCGCGGCCCCGCTGGGCTCCCCGGCCCCGGCCCCTCCCGGCCCCGCCCGCCGGCTTTCAGGTCGCGCCGCCCAGGGCTTCGGCCGCCCGCCGCCCCGTCCACCCGCCCCCGGGCAGCGGCCGCCACAGCCCGCGAGAGGGGCCCCGGCGAGCCGGGGTCCGCGCGGGAGCCCCGCGCCCTGGACGCCCCCACCAGCGCCCCGGCCTGGGCGCTCCGCCGGGGCAGGCGCAGCTCAGGAGAGCGGCCCGGGCGGCCTGGGGCGCGGCCTGGAGCTGCGAGGCTGGAGGCCAGGCCAGGCCGGGGGACCGGGGCGCGGGGCGGGGCGGGGGTGTCCAGCCTCGCCATGGGCCCCGCGCGGCCCCCGGGGTGAGGACACGCGCTGCGGGCGGGGCGCAGGGGGCCCCGGAGCGCGAGGGCGGGAAGGGGCGCAGCGCCTGGGAAGAGGGGTTCCGCGCCCCGCGGGGCGCTCGCGGCTCTGGCCCGGGCGGCGTGGCCAGCGCTGACCCCGGAGAGATCGGGGTCGCCGCTCCCGGAGCGTCACGTGCCCGCGGAGGCGGCTCCCAGGGGCGCGGCAGGGGCTCCTGGGAACCCCGGATCCCAAGGGCGCCTCGTCCCGGGGGCCTTCAGGCAGCAGGCGTGGCTCTCGGCAGGGCGGATGCACGTTCCCTCCTCCCCTCACCTGCCCGCAGACGGAGGCCCTGGGGCGGGAGCAAGGGAAATCCGCCCGCAGAGACAGGGCAGAGCAGAGGGACCGGGAGCTCAGACGCCCTGAGGCGGGCGCGGAGGCGGGGCCCCTCCTGCCTGTGTGGTCAGCGGCGGCTCCAACCCGGCCAGGAACGGAGTGCGTGTGTCTTTCCCCATGCATGCTCCCCATGCATGCGTTCATTCAGAAACAGCAGCTATTAGAGGGGCCTCCCTGGTGCCGCAAGGGGTGGAGCACAGCACTGGGAGGCCATCTGCAGCCTCTGCAGCACGAGTTCGATCCCTGGCCGGCCACGGAGCAACCCACAGGGCGCAGCAGACCCCTCCTGTCTCCCCGCTGCTCCCCTCAGCAGTGGATTTCAGTGGATCCGCCTGTTCTGCTCCCCGCTCCGTCTCTGGTGGGTCCTCCCACCCTCCACGCCTCTGGCCTGCACCCCAGCTCTTCTATGCATAAATAAATCAATCTTGAAAAAAGAAATATGAACTAGTTGAGAATAGAGCCACTTACCGAACGCACCAGACCAGGACAGTGCCTGGAGTTCTCTGCCGGGATTGTACGCCGGACACTAGAAGCCTGAGGTAAAGATTTGCAGCATCAACGCTCATTCCTGAAAGGAGGGGACTCGTGACTACGTTCATGCACCGATTGTGCTTTCCTTTGGTGGACTGGCGATTATCTATTAAAAAAAGTTGAGAAATGAAAATGACTGAAAGTCGCCGAGATGGATCCTGTCGCCTGCGAGAGAGAGGGGTGCATGGGGGAACTTCCGCAAAGTGTCAGCAAAGTTAAGATCTCAGGGAAAGCGGAGCAGCAGCCTCTGGGGTGGCCAGTGCTCGCGCCTCTGCCGGCAGGCGCGGGTGCTGGGGAAACACAGGTCTGCGTGAAAGAATTCAGTTCACCCCCACGGTCTCCACTCAAGCAGCGCTGGAGCCCCCGCGCCTGTGCTTCTCGGTGTGCAGCTTCGAATGCTTCCCCGACAGGAGGGCACCTGCCGGGGCCACCTTCAGGGTTCTCCGGCCCCCCCCCCCGCCCCTCACCAGCCCACCCGGCAGCGCCGGCTCCTGGACTTCCCGGCAGGGGCGCAGACCTTCCCATCAAGGGGGCAAACGAGGAAATTCCACCACCACCGAAATAGCGGGACTCCCCTAGGGTTAGAAACAAAAAACCATAATTTTGTACCGGCCAAAGGTGTGCTGATAAGGCCCAAGGGCTTTCTCTTCCAGAACAGGGTGTCGCCTTGACTTGTCCTGCTGCAGCTGTGCCACGGCGTCCCGCGGCTCCTTCTCGCCTGTACACCCCTGGAGATGTTCACTGGACGGCTGTCACACTCCATTTATTTATTTTTGGTGTTGTCGCACTGTAAAAGGATCTTGTCTCTAAAACAGTCTCCTGAAAGGGAAAGGCTGGTGAAGGACTCCCACGACAGGTTCAAGACACCCAGCACGATGTAAAGTGCAACAGACACGCGACTCGGCACCTCCCCAAGGGAAGTGAGAAGCAAGAGGCCAGCAGCATCGCCACAGAACCAACAAGGTCCCACGTCTGTGCCCTGACCGCCACCCGAGTCTCGACGAGCGCCAACATTTCGAAAAAAAATTTACGTCCCTCAGAATCGGTGACCTGTTTGTATTTTGAAATACTTTTATTTTCTGTTATCGCCAGTAACGGAGGCTCGTCCATGCAGAAAGGCAGTTCCGCCGGAGCTGACGCGGCACCTCGGTGTGGAGGCGAGCCACCCGAGCGACCGTAAATGATGCTGCGGAGGGGCCGCGGGCTCAGGGGCCACGTGCCTTCCCACCCCCGCAGACGTTTGGAAACAGCCACGACAAAGCCGGAACACATCCTTGTAACGGTAAGTCAACGTTTATTTTTATTTTTGTGCGTGTGAGTGATTTTCTGCTGAGAAGAATAAATTTTAAGAGCATCAGGAAACTTACGTATCAAAATATACATCTTAATTATGTGCACTGAGGTCAGTGACACATGAGAGTATTTAAGGTACAAATACTCCAATACCCTCGTCCCCTGATCCTTTCAATGTCTCACTATCGGCCCCATTCCCGAGGGTCATGCGAGGCCGGGCCACTCCATGGGGGTCACTGGCGGTTAGCTGTGGTGACAGGACTGACCCCCAGGAGACAGGCAAACATGACAGACGAGGGCTGGATTATCACCCTGCCGAGGCCAGCATGCTCCAGGCCTGCCCATCCCGTGGGACGGAGAGCGTGTTACTGACGCTGAAGAAATGTCCTGGACGGCAGTCTGGCCTTTCCACTGAGCAGAGTACAGTATAAACAACGGAGGGGAAAAAATGACCATCTGTTCCTTTAATCTTCAAAAACCGGTCATCCCATGGAGCAAGGAAGGCACGTCACATCGCTGTCATCACTGAAATCGTACTTTTTTGGGTTTTTACTGAGGCAAATAATCTCAATTCATAGAAGACAGGGCAATATAACAATAGCCATTTCACTACAGATAGACAGTGGGCAAACATCTGGAATAAGTGAATCATCATAAATCCTTAAGGAAATGCAAGCAAAACCATGAGGTGCCACCACACAGATTCAGAGGCCAGTTAGAAAACGGCCTCCTCAGGCATCAACAGGGTGTGAAGGAAGTAGGAGGCTCTCACACTGATGGTAGAAACAGACAACCATTTGAGAGCCTGTTTTCAGTTTTGTGAAAAGCAAAATATACCCCACTCCCACGAATGAGGCATTGTGCTGTGATTTATAAGAAATGGGATCATCCACTTAAAAAAACTTACAAAAGGGCCTCCCCGGTGGCACAGCAGTTGAGCGTTGGGCTGCGAAACTGTCCACAGCCTCTGCAGCGCCGGTTCGATCCCCGGCCACCTGCGAGGGTCCCACATGACGCGCAGACCTCTCCTGCCGTGCCCGCTGCTCCCCTCAGCAGTGTATTTTGTCAGTCTGCCTGTTCTGTTTCTGGCTCTGGCTCTGGTGAATCCTCTCCCCCTCCTGCGCTTCTGACTGTACTCAGTGCTTGTATGAATAAATAAATAAATCTTTAAAAAAAAAAAAAACCTTACAAAAATGCTTGTGTAGCTTTCTTTACATTGGAAATAACCCAAGCAGTGATAAACAGAGGAATGCATAAACATACACAGGAGAGAAAGCTACTTGGGAAGAGAAAAGCTCAGAGAGTCCACTTACCAGTCTCAAAAGCACAACAATGTATTTGTTAGGGGGAAAAGATGCCCTGAGCAAACTCCATACAAGTTTTGTGGACTCCACCCCCACTCCAGACCTGGGTTGTGGACTGGGTGACACAGACGTGGGTGAGACCCATGGGGAGGTGACCATGGCAGCTTTTATCTTGATGTTGATTTTGCTCTTTTCCTTCCGGGCTTGTCTGGTTGTTTCTGACCCTTTTCTGTGGGTCCCCACTGGAAGATGCTTTAGACTTGTGGCAGGCTTTGGGGCCTTGTTCTGGGCCAATCCCATATGGATGGACTTTTACCCACGAGGGGACGGGTCACTTTGGGTGCTTCATTTAGAAACTAGACTCTTTGCCTTTCCTGTGTTGTTTCCTAGTTTTATTAAAGTTCCTTCCCATTAAAGTCTCCTATGTTTTGTGTTGATGCGGCGGGTGGCAGAACCCATGTAGAATAGGCAGGTTTGCGGGGCTTGGGCTGCCCCTCTCCCTGTCCTATAACAATGTGAGTGGGGTCTCGGGCACTTGTCTCCTGCTCTTGGCCAGGCAGGTTTGGTCGTGGCGGGTCACTTGGGATTCCAGGTCCGGGTAGGACTCATTTAAGACTTTATCTCCCTCTTTTCTCCCTGAATTGTACATGTCCTCATTTCCCCTTCCCTTGCAAATAAACCTTTGTTAACCATTTGCGTGGGCCTGCGGTGCGGATCCCTTTAAAGCACAGAGTGAGGACCCACAGTCAGGAAACCCCTTTTAAAGTGGGGAGGGATTGCCCTGTAACAATTTGGCCCCCAACATGGCTTCCAAGTTACACCCGTGGTTGACCAGTCCAAAGTAACTCCTTGCCTTGGTCACCTTAAATGCACTAGGTCTGCAGGACACTGGGAAAAGTGTTCCAGGTCTTGAACTTTTATTTCCTTGCATACGGCTCTGTCTCGTCTTCCAACCATGAGCTTAAGCAATTTCATCCCTAGCTTAAGTTCTTTAAGTTTTTTTCCAGCCGTGTTTTCCATTAAATATCACTTCCAGTTCTATAAACGTTAATAATTTAGTGAAACGGGCTGTGGCACATGCTTTTGCGTTTATATACGTATGCGGGTGGCTTCCAAGCCATCCCTGCTTTGCACTCTGTGCTTCTGGCTGTTTTTCTGGTCGTGTGTGTGAGTGCCATTGGCTACACTCCTGCTTCTCTGAGAGCTAGATGCTGCACTCCACCTATTGAGACCATGCCGTGCTGCAGGGGGCCTTGTTGCCCCAGCCAGATAAGACACTGGCAAGCAGCGAAGCTCAAAGAGTGTCACACGGTGGGGCCGAAGCTAAAGGGCTTCTCACATCATGGGGCTGAAGCTAAAGAGCCTCACGCCTCGGGGCTGAAGATTCCTTGTGCCTCACACCGTGGGGCTGAAGAGCTAACATCCTTTATTTTTTGTTCTTGGTCATAAAAAGAGAAAAATTTCCCAAAAAGTACACTAGGCAATAAATTGCATGTATCAGTAGACTGCAGGCAAACGGCACGGAAAATTATCTGTTTAGAAAATTAGTTACTAAACAATGTGGCCCACTTGACAATGGGAGACAATTTACTGTCCATATCTGACAAGCAATGCAGCACAACTATTATAGTAAATCCTTCTTTTGCGATTTTAGAAGTTTCCTTTTTATTTAGAAGTTTCTTAGGAAAGTTTTAAAATGAAGTTAACTGTGTTAAGGAGTTTCTAGGTAGAAAAAGTTCTGAGAGCTGAGAAGCAGCTGGTCCCCGGCCGAAGGCCGTAAGAACAGAAGAGTCTTTGGGTGCTTAGGCTTTAGCTGACAGGGGTGCACTCGCGGCTCTCCGCTGTCTTGGGTAATGGTCTAGCTGGAATAATAAGTTTTAGTGTAAGGTTTGGTTTGGTTTTTTATCTATTACCCTTGAAGGCTACCGTCTAGCTGGGACCCGCAGGAGCCAGTAGTCCGCGGGAATAGAACGCACTACTTGCTTCTGCTTTGCACAGGATGAGGTGATTTTTCTGCTTACTGAAAAAGAATAAATAAAGACCTGCTGAGTCTCTCGGCAGAAGATACTTGCACCCCATCCAGTGTCAGTGTCTCCTCAATGCCCTTCCCTTCAGCCCCGAGCGTGTCGCCTAGGCCGCCTCATGCTTTCAGGAAGCCCTGACACATTTTGCCAGAGGCTGGTCCCCAGCAATGCAGCAACAAATTCAGGCTCTCAATTTAGCTGGGCTGAGTATGAGGGAGGAAAACGCGGCAGTTCTTAGAAGTGTGCAGGACCAGATACAGGCTGCCTCCAAAAACTAGATGGAGGGGGGGGGCTCGGCTAATGGACAGAGAGGAATAAACCTTCCCCTTCCCGTGAGGACTGCAAGAGGGCAGAGTTAGAAGAGGAGGAGTATCAGTGGTTGCATTCCTCAAACACAGCAGGACAGGGCCTCCCTGGTGGCGCAAGGGGTTGAGACGCAACCTATGAAGCTGTCTGCAGCCACGGCAGCACGAGTTCCATCCCCGGCCAGAGAGCTACCCCCATGGCACAGCAGACCTCTCCCGTCTCCCTGCTGCTCCCCTCAGCAGTGTATTCTGTCAGTCTGCCTGTTCTGCTCCCCGCCCTGTCTCTGGTGAATCCTCTCACCCCCGTGCCTCTGGCCTGTACCCCAGTTCGTGTTTGCCTAAATAAATCTTAAAAAAAGAAAAATGAAAAAAACACCAGGACAAAATCCTCCTCAGTGTAGCAATGTTCCCCCTGTGCAGACTCCTGAGGCTTCACAGCCCCCGATGCCCTCCGGGGAGGAAACTAAAATGGCATGTCCTCCCCACACTACACGCAGCACCCTTTATGGCTGACCAGAAAGTCCAAAGTAATTTTGACAAAACCTACTGAGCCTGATCCCAGAGGTCCCCGAGTGTGATCCGAAGAGGCCAGCGAGGTCAGAGGAAGAAAAGGCCTCCTTCAAGCGGCGCGCGCTCTCTCCAGCTTACTCTACATCCCATTTTCACAGTGACTGGTAGATACTGAATCAGCTGTCTGACTAAACCCGTAAAAATAAGAAAAATACCAAACTTTTAAATAACCAAGACCCAATTCCAGATACTTGTTTGAATTCCTTACACAGGCACCACGTTCAGATTCACAAAGCTATTTGCACACAGCAAGGACCAGGTAAGGGAAGTAGAAGCCCCGGTCCAGGCCCACTGCTTTGCCCGGGACAATCCAGCCCTCCCAGCACCTCCAGTGTCCACAGAGCCAGGGTTGTCCTAGGCTGCCGACAGCCAAAGCGCCTGAGCTTACCCTGGATGTCAGGTGAGACTGTAGAAGAGGATCGTCCCAGGGAACTCATGCCTGAGCCAGCCGGTGTGGAAAAGGAGCGCTGCCTGGCCTTAGGGTTGGGAAAGCACCTGTCTGTCCCCACTGTCAGCTGCTCCTGGGCTCCTGCAGGGAAACAGGGAGAGGAGCTGCTTCCTAGACATGGGTTGGCAGCTACAGGTCCCAACGCAGTCAATACTGTCCCCAAGGGGCTTTCAGATGAGACAAATACGGCACCGCTCACCATTTTAACCACATCCCTGGCTTCCAGAAACAAACAGGAAACTCCAAATACCAGACACCCAACAAAAATACCAAATGCTTCTCAATTCCCACTCACCAAGGCCTGACACCACAGGAGCCCCAAATTGAGGGAGACTCACAGACTCCCTCCCATACTGAGGGGAACTGGACTTCCTCCCAGATGGGGACTCTGATTCCCCCCAAATGTGTGCAGGCGAGGGGCTTGGCTTGCATCCGGGGAACTGACACCAAATGCCAGGGGACTGCGGTTTTCCACCCAGGTTCCAACTCCTCCAGGACGAATCCAGGGGGCAGAGAAGAGCTGTGCTTCTCCTGGGGAGGACTTGGCATGTTCCCCAGAGGAAACCCCCCAACAACTGCTGGGCCTCTCCCTCCCCCTGGAGAGAGGGTGCTCCCTCTGAGCACGGGGGTCAGGCAGTCACCAGGATGCCCAGGTGATAGGGATGGCCTGCTGAGCTGCTGAGGGCAACTCTGGGAAGTCAGAGAGGGGGCTGGCAGAGCCCAAGTGGCATCCAGCTCCTGGCTCTTGCCTGCCCCATGGGCCCTATGCCGGCCTCAGATTCCCTCAGCCGATAAAAGGAAACCGAGTTTTGGGGAAAGGAAAGTCGTTGAATTTGCGGACAAAGGAGGAGCGCAGCAGACTCCTGTGACAGACCCCGCCCTGAGGGAGGGTCTGCCAAGGGGAGGGGGAAGGGGTGGGCCCAGATGGGCGAGCTCCAGGCTGCTTTCCTCAGCTCCTGGGAAGGGGAGAAGACACACCTGTCACTCGAGGGGGGAAGTGCCCGAGATGGGGGAGACCAACTTGTGCACTCCTCCCTGCGGGACCGTCACTTGCAGCTGCATCCGATGCGCCCCAGCAGCTCAGACCAAACCTCACATTCGCAATAAACGCTTCTTCAGCTCCACCGGCCCCCTCCGCTCGCACTCACACCCCCGGGGCAGGCTGTGCCCCAAGACGCCCTGGGCGGAGGGCCGGGGTCAGTGTCAGGGAGGACACCCCCGTAGCCACAGGCAGACGGTGACCGCGGCCCCCAGACGCCCCACCGCGCGCACAAGCCCCGGGCAACCCGCATCCCTGAAGGGGAAACGGCCTCACCTGGCCCAGCAGCGCGGAGAAGCCCCAGGCGCCGCCCCAGGTGAGCAGACCCCGCCCCCGGACTGCGCAGGCGCAAAAGTGACATTTCTCAGAGTCGCCGGCAGGGGGCGCCAGAAACCCCTGGCCCCTCTACCCGCGTTCCCGGTTCCCCCCTCAGTATTTTAGTAAGCATTTAATTATTTAATAATAATTATCCAATCATTTAATAGTAATTCCATAAGCATTTAATAATTACTTGATTACTCGATAATGTTTTGACAGTCAGGTCGACAGGCCGGACGGGGCAGAGCGGCAGGTCCAACCCCTCGTGCCCCAGGCTGAGCAGGGGCCGCCAGCGGCCGCCCCCCTCGGGATCCAGGCCAGACGGGGGCAGGGTGGCAGCTCGACCCCCTCGACCTCCAGAGCGGGCTGGGGCCGGCCTGCACGTCGACCCCCTCCGGCGCCTGGCCGAGCTGGGCCCGAGCTGCAGGTCAGCCCCCTTGGGCTGCAGGCCCCTTTGGGCTCCGGACCTAGCAGGGGCCAGCCAGCCGGTCGACCCCTACGGCCTCTGGGCGGGGCTGGTGCCGGGCTGCAGCTCTACCCCCTCGGTCTTCAGGTCGACCCCCTGGGCCTCCAGGCTGAGCTGAGCGGGGGCCAGCAAGCGGGTCCACCCCTCAGGATCCAGGCAGGAGTGGGGCAGGGCTGCAGACCGACCCCCTCCGGCTCCAGGCCGGACTGGGGCAGGACTGCTGGTCATTTAACAGTAACTATTCAATTATTTCATAACCTAATAATCATTTATTAATTACTCAATGATGGTTTGATAATCATTTAGTTATTTAATAATTAATTATTCAATCATTTAATAGTAATTTAATAAGCATTTAATAATTGTTTAATTACTCGATGTTTTGATAATCACTTATTTAATAATTAATAGTTAATAATCATTTAAATATTCAATAATTTAATAAAATATTCAATAATTTAATAATTTGATAATCATCTATTAATTACTAGATAAGTTTTGATAATCATTTGTTTACTCATTAATTATTTAACAATCATTTAATTAACAATCATTTAATAACTATTCAACTAATTATTTAATAATACTTATTCAATCATTTAGTAGCAATTTAATAATCATTTAATGATTATTTAGTTACTCGATTTTTTTTTTTTTTTTAAAGATTTATTTATTTATTTATACAAGCACTGGGTACAGTCAGAGGCGTGGGAGGGTGAGAGAATTCACCAGAGCCAGAGCGGGGAGCAGAGCAGGCAGAAGGACCGAAGGACACTGCTGAGGGGAGCAGTGGGCAGCAGGAGAGGTCTGCACGCCATGTGGGACCCTCGCCCTGTGGCCGGGGATCGAACTGGCGCTGCAGAGGCTGCGGGCAGCTTCGCAGCCCAGCACTCAACCGCTGCGCCACCGGGGAGGCCCAGTTACTCGATGTTTTGATAATCATTTAATAATTGTTTAATCATAAATTATTTAATGCAAATTTAATTATTTAATAATCATTTAACAGTGACTATTCAATTATTTATAATAATTTAATAATAATTTAGATTTAGGATAGAGATACCAGAAGTAGTTTTAGTTTGTTCTTAGCGTTCAGGGGGAGAGGATGTCCTGAGCAAACTCCCTACAGGCTTGGACTCCACCCCCACTCCAGACCGAAGCCCTCCAGACACTGGAAATGACAAACGCCATCAGCACCCAAGGGAGGGTGGCTGGGACGTGAGGGTGGAGGTACGCAGCCAGCTCCCAGCAGGCCCCTGGGATTCCAGCGGCAGGGGTAGGACGTGTTCATGACTATCTCCCTCTTTTTCTCCGAGTGATTCATTTCTTCATTTTCTTTTGTTTTGTAAATAAACCTTTTATAAACCTTTCGGGGGCGCCTGCAGTTGCGTATTACTAAGTCCCTCTGAAGCGCGCGGGCGAGGACCCACAGCCAGGCCACCGGTTTCATATCAGGGCTGTCCTGTGACAGTTTGGAGCCTGAGGTTTCCAAGTCACACCCGTGGGTGACCAGCCCAAAGGAACGCCTTGCGTGGGTCACCGTAAGCGCCCTAGGTCTGCAGGGCACTGGGAACAGTCTTTGTCCCAGGTCTTGAACAGCTTTTCCCTCTTGCATACATTAGCTGTCTGGTCTTTCAAGCACGAGCTTCAGCAATCTCATCCCCAGCCGAAGTTCTTTCCGGTTTATCCTGGCCTTGACTTTAAGCATCAGTCTCTTTCTCTTCAACATCACTACCAGCCTTAGAAACATAAATAATGTGGTGAAACGGGGACTGTGGCCCATGATTTTACTTTTGTATGCGTATGTGGGTTGTTTGCAAGCCATCCCTGCTTTGCAGTCTGTGCTTCTGGCTGCTTTTCTGGTAGTGTGTGAGCGTTACTGATTATACTGTTGCTTCCTGAGGGCTAAGCTGTTCTCCTTCACCTTTTGAGAATACACAACACATTCAGGCTCTTCACTTAGCTATGCAACAACAAATTCAGGCTCGATTTAACTATTAAGAGCATGAGGCATGAACACCATACTGTTTTTGAGTCAGCTCTTAAAAGCATTCAGGACCAGATACAGGCTGCCCTCCACAAACTGGACGTGGCAGAGGCTCGGCTGATGGCACAGAGAAGGGACAGATCTTCTCCTTCCCATGAAGACTGTAAGAGGGCACAGGTAGGAGCATCACTTGTTAAACACCTTAAACACATCAGGACAAAGTCCTTCTCCTTGTTACAAGGCCCGTCCCGCAGACTCCCGAGGCTTCACAACCTGCACTGCCCTCCGGGGAGGAAACTAAAATGGCGTGTCCTCCCCCCATTAGACGCTGCACCCACTTTGGCAGGAAGGGTCACCCTGAGACAGGACAGTTTCCTCTCCGACAGATGCCGATGGGGGGGCTTGAATGAACACAGGCGGCCTGCGGGGTACTTTCCGCTGCACCATCCCTTCAGCACCACGGACCTCCTAAATCGGAGCAGCTCTGACCCCTCATTCCGGCCAGCTCCTAAGAGGATGGCAAACTTGTTTGACTCTAGCTTCCTCTCCTAACCCCCATACAGTCCATGCTTCAAACTGTGCTGACTCTGGACAAGCAGAGAATGGTACTCAGGAAAGCCAGGGCGGAGGCTGACCGTCTCCGCCAACAGGACGGCGACTCCCCGGAGCCAGGGATGGTTGTCCCGGTGATAGATCCTGAGTGGGACCCCAACAATGGAGGAATGGCGATGTTAGACCTGTATAAAAGATGTTTATTGATAGGACTGCAGCAGGGAACCCACAAACCAAAAAACTTGGACAAAATATTACAACTTGAACAGATTGCTAATGAGGATCCATCGGAGTTCCTCGAAAGAACCATCGACACAGACGTAAACCCAGATGCCTCAGAAAATGCTCGTCTGATCACTGTGGCGTTCATCACACACAGTGCCCCGGACATAAGGAAAAGGTTAGCCAAGGTGGACGGCGTCACAAAGCTGAGTCCACCCCAGGTAGTGGACTTGGCATTCCAGGCTTACAACAGAGGACAGGAGACCGAAACCTGAGAGCTTTCAAAGAGAGCACAGGACAGGGGCTGGGGGAAACAGTAAGGGACTTTGACGTGAACCCCTAGGGAGGAGTCAGTGTGCTTACTGCAAGGAAGACAGTGCGAGTCCAGTTGCCCTAGATTACAGGTGAGCAGCAGGCAAAATGATGACAGACGGCAGGACAGAAGACTGAGGACACCACACGATGATTCACGCAGGGGCCCCTGGACAGAATAGAGGACGACAAAGAACCGGGACCCGAGGAGAGGAAAGGAGACAGATAGTAGCCCAGAGTAGAGGCTCAGGTGCCAACAGGAGGCAAGACGGGCAGAGAAGAAATCAAGAGCCCAGTACAGAGCAAGGGAGACAAATGATAGTCCATAGAGAGGTTTCAGATGAAGAACAGAGGGGCCCAGGGGCTCCACCTGATCCAAAGAAGCCCGTTAGAGTAACTCCCTCAGAGCCCCGGGGAACTCGCTGTGGGGGACCGTCCCATTGATTTCTTAGTGGACACTGGAGCGACATACTCGGTTTTAAATTCCAAATTGAGTAAAGCGAGCAAAGGGACCGCAGCAGTCACTGGGATGACAGGAAGGCCAGGACAGCAACCCGCCTCGCAGCCTTCGGAGCGCCGGCTGGCCGTGCACAGCTCCCTACACATGGGAGTGTCCAATCCCGGTGCTTGGCCGTGACCTTTTATGCCAGCTTAATGCACAAACTATGTTCTCACTCAAAAATCAGAGGCCTAACCCACAGGCATCTCCAGAGCATGCTCCACAGCTCCAGCTGCTACTCAAGATGTTCGACCGAAGGGAGAAGTTTGACCTTCAGAAATCGCTGAAAGTGTGAAATAAATGGGTGTGGACTAACAGGACCCCGGGACGTGCGAAAAATGCAGAGCCTGTAAAGACGGAAGTGATAGAGGGGAGCAAAACCCCAAGAAGGAAGCAATACCCGTTAGAGGAGGAGGCCTTGAGGACTGAAAAGGTTCCTTCAACCCGGACTCATTCGGCCCTGCTCGGCCCTGCCACCCACCGTACAACACTCCGATTTGGCCGGTGAAGAAACCCCATACAGGCGAGCACCGTTTTGTCCAAGATCTAAGGACCGCTAACGACAGCGTTCGGGATGCACATCCCACCGTGCCTAGCCCCTACACCTTATTAACTGCCACACCTGGGGACTCTGGCTGGTTTTCCGTATGAGACCTTACGGATGCCTTTTCCGTGTCCCAACCGATGTCCAGGACCAACTGCTTTTTGCCTTTGAATGGCAAGACCCCATGTCCAAGAGCACTCTCTGGTACTGCTGGACTGCGCTTCCACAGGGGTTTAAGAACTCCCCAACTATTTTTTGGGAAATACTGGCCAGGGATTTCAGGAAGGTTCAATTGAACCAGGGCTTATTACAGTATGTAGACAATTTATTGATTGCAAGTCCAGACTATGAATCTTTTTAAAGATTTATTTTATACAAGAACCGGGGCACAGGCCAGATGTGCA